TAACAATTGCTTGAAATGCTTGAGTGTTAGGAAGATTTGGGTCGCCAGCGATTGCCCAATAAGATGAATCAGTATCACCTTCAATGAAATGAAAACGATTAACATTCAAGCATTTATACATAAAATCATAAATGAAAACCAAATACCAGTATTTAGCATTATCTAAAGTGAAGAATGCCTCTTGTAAACATGTATCACATCTATAAAATCTATCTTTAAGCATCACTTGATATGTATCCTCACCTATTTCTCTTATGTTTTTAAACTTATTTGACATACATGCAACGCGTGACTTCTGTGCATTCATTATTTTAGTCTTTGTGTAATTTTGTGTATTCATTGCATCGTAACCATATGATCCATTAAGTGAAATCTTGCAAAATAAACTTTTTCCTTTATTTCCTTCTAATTCAGCCTTTTGTCTTTCGTTCATAAATTCGTTCGCAAATTCATTAAAACAAGTGTTTTTAGTAAATGTTAAAATTGATTGAATGTCATCAATGATAAAATGAAATCTGTCTATTAGATACCAAAGATAATAAGAAGAAAATGGTTGATATTGGTTGTATGTTGATGCTAACTGAGTTAATTTCCTCTGTTTCTGGTCAACTGGTAGATTGTTTGATTTCATGTAATTATACATAAAACTGCCTATTGTTTTTTCATCTGTGATAATATCTAAGTTTCTTATTATCGGTAAAAAGTTTATGTAATCATTAATGTATTTTTCATCAATGTGACCCTTTACTTCAGCCACGAATAAAGTATTTTTCTTCTTAATTATTCCCAGTGCTTTTGCTTTCTTTGTTGCTGTATCACAAATGATAACACTATTCAATCTTCCCGGCATATACATTTTATGGTCAGTATATTGAATGAAATCATGAGGATTAGATGAAAATGATGAAGGATATAATGAATTAAAGTCAACACCAACGAAATGAGTCATGATGTTGGAAGTGTCCTCATTTGATACAGTTTTAGTTTCTGGACTATATGAAAGTTTATTAATGTGCGTGATTCCTTTAAGATTTACTCTATGTTGAACATTTGATAAACCACCAGTAATTCCATTACGGAGAATGTGATAAGCTTCAACTGAATCTAAAGTCATTGGTAAATTATTTTTTAATGCATAATTTCTTAAATTGATTCTTAAACGTTGAACATCTTCATCTTTATTTGATTTTACGACATTGCAATAACAACACATTAACTGACAATTTTCTTTGGTATGTGGTTTTTCATTATCGATTCTATCCAATGTTGGTTTATTTGCATATGTAAACGCTTTACCACACATTTTGCATTTAGATGAAAGGATTAAATCGTGATAGTATTGAAAATCATCCATTGAAACATTATTTTTAGTATCTCTTTCTGCTTTTTCATCTTGTTTCTTATATGATTCAATTTTATATTTCCAATACTTTTTCGTTAATTCAAAACTTGATTCTATCTCTTCCTCAGGATATTTTTCATTAGGATTAAAGTCTTTATATGCTAAAGCGTAACGAATCATTGAAGCATTCGATGATAAAGAAAGATTATGAAGCATGTCAATTTTATAAACAAATGTTTCTTCAATAATTTTATCGATTGGGTCAATCATAATTTCACCATCTTTATTGCAATAATGAATAAAATATTCTAATATATTCTTAAAATTTTTAGCATCATTGAGATATATTTGATAATCACTATCTGATATAGTTTCTTGAGTTAATGCTGAATAAAATGAATCTTTCGTGAATGGTTCCACTTTATATAATTCTTCTTCGTAATTTTCCCATGTGATGAATTGATAAGGGAAAAAGGATTTAACACGTGATTTATTGTTTCCGAAATCTTGAGTGAATTGGTCTAATGTCCCACCCGCTATATAATTTCTGATGTCAATAAATCTCAATTCATATGGAACGTTTGTTTTCTTTACAATGATTTGCTTAAATTGTGAAGATGAACCCAGCATTGATTTTATTTTCCATTTTGCAGTGTTTAAATCACGAAGAATTAAATTTAAATCAAACTTTCCCGAATTAAAACCTATGATATTCACTTTATTGAATTCCTCATCTAGAAGTTCTTTAAATGCTTCCTTCTGTTTTTCATTTAATGTATGAGACAAAGTCCCCGCCGTTTGCGACTTCAATAATTCATTGTATTGACTCATATTTGATTCAACAACTAATGAACAGGTTGAAAATAAAAACTCAATCCAATCAGAAATAAAAGAATCACTCGAAGTTAAGCAAAAATTCCTCGTATATGTTTTATCGTTTAATTTAACCGTTGATGATACCATGAATGGTTTTAAGTAAGCATTCAAAGTTGCACACTCAGAAAGTTGTAATTCTTCTTTAGTCTCTAATGTTTCAAAGTCAAAAGTAATATAATATCTTGTCGGTTTATAATATTTCTGCAAATTGTGAGCTAATAACCACTGATATATCTTCTGTTTCGTAATATGTGGTGCATATGGTTGCTGGGTCTTATGCAATTGAACGTCTTGAATTAATCTCCCATTATTTTCTTTACATTTCTCACAATGCTTTAAAAATCTTCTTTGGTTTTTCCTTTCTGGATCATCACGGATAGAATAAACTTCTTCTTTACAATATGGACAAACTTTATAGCCAGTGAGTGCTTCAACGTCTGTTATTCTGTCAGCGTGAAGTTTTCCACATGGACTCTGTGTTAATAAAATATTTACTGTTTCAAATTCTGGATCTATCATTATTGATTCCACTAATGGAAAGTCTACCTTATTTATGTCCACGTCTTCTGGTTGAGGATCACAATAATAGAAATCAATATTAACATTTAACATTCTCGCTAATCTCTCACTTTCTGATGAAATGTCAAACCCTTCATATGCATCTATTGCTTCATTTAAATAGCTTCTACGAGTTTTAGGATTAACACCATCAGGAATGTTATAGAAGCGTTTAAATAACCTTCTACCTTCTGCTCTAATTTGATTATCATTCATTTTAGCTGTTCCGTTTTTGTTCATTTATGTAAGAATAAAAAATTAAAAAATAAATAAAAATAAAGTTTATTTTTTAAAGCCCATAAAATGAATTAAGAACACATAAATTTTTATCATCTGCGACGTGACGAATACATTTTAATTTACTCAAGAATGCGTACCCTGATACATTAAATCTAATTCCTGTCTTATTTAATTTCACAACTTTGAAAAGGAATGTATGAATAGCTATAAAATGATGAGAAGATGTTTTATGGGTTGCTTCCATTTTTTCTGAAATAAATGAATAAATATAATGCTTATATGTTTTCATATCTTTTATGTTCTTAATAACGAATGGTATAGACCTTTCCACTTCATCTTCCTTCGGTGCTGTTCTTTCATATGAAACATTATTGGTATCTTCAATAATGAAACCACAATCACACAAAATTTTATAGGTTCCAATGATTTCTTTTGATATTTTATCTAATAAATCAAAAACTTTATCAACACCTGTGCATTTATTTAAATAATAATTTGTGTAAATATCATGATCTTCTTTCTTAATCGTATTAGTTGCATATGTCACGTTTTTAAGAGCTTTTTTGAATTTTTCGGAATCTAAAGGTGGTGAAAGTAGGATACAGGGGTATTCTTCATTATCAATAAATTGTAACTTATGTTTACGAATAAATTTAGTACCTTCTTCTGAAAGTGTTTCGTCTATTTCGCCATCTAATAAATTTTGTGTTGATTCTGAGACATAATTTTTATATCTTTCTTCATGAGATTTCTGAACTTCTGATTCTGAAGCTGGGATATTCATTAAACCCTCTACTTCATTTTCATTATATTTTTCAACTTCTCTTAATTCCTTAATTTTTTCATCTATTTCATCTCTTATTTTTTCAGTCTTTCAATTTCATTGTATTCATCATCTTTAATCCGTTCTTCATAATATTCAGGGAAAACATCAGGTTCTTTAGGTTTTTCTTCTTCAGATGTGGGATATAAGAAATTTATAACATCATCTTTATTCATTTTTCCATCATAATCTAAATCATTTAATAACTCCGCGAATTTTTTACAATTTCTTAAATAATATTTATCAACTTCATATCCCACCTCCTCTAATATATCCTTTATTTCCTCGTTTGTGAATCCTAATTTTTTAATGTTGTTAGTTTTGACGCTCATTTCATACAAAATAAAAAAATAAAATAATAAACATAACTAAGTTTTAATTTTTCGTAAGACATGAATTTTTAATTTCTTTTACTCGTTTATGAGGTCTTTGATTATGACTTCATTGATTCCATTCAGGATTTAAACAATGTTTAATTAATCGCGGAATATCTGACATCATCTATATATAGCTTCTTTTATAAAAGATAAAAAAAATTATTTTAAAATTAATGTTAATTTTTTTAATGATTTATAAATAAATATATTTTAATGCATCGTCTATATATAGATGTAACAAAAAAAGTCACAAAACCCGTCATACCCTACTACTCATTTATAATTTCAGAGAAACAATCAAACACATATCGTGTATATTACATTTAAGAAACAGGATTTTAAAATGAAATTTTAGTCAGATCGTATTTCAGAAGAAATGGATGTGATCTGATATTCGCTTTGCACATTTTAGATTAGATGCATATGTGTCATTAAAATATACTAATTTTGGATTGATCTATTAGATTTTATTGTTTTATTTTTGGAAAATCAATATTCTGAGTGGACAAATCTGTTTTAGACATACTGTATATTTAATTAAATTCATGTTTTGTGATTTATTTTTTCCAAATTTTTTTGTTTTTCATATTTTTAATGTAAAATTTGTTAAATTTGTCTTTATTTTTTCAAAAATGAAAAAATTTTGGAAATCATTCATTGCTTAATTTATAAAAATTCTAATTTGATTTGGCATTAACATCTGTATTTTCCTATTTTTGAGATAACTTTTATGGATGCAGAAATTTTGAATTAGTCTGTTCAGGTTTTGAGTCCTTTTTTTCTGATGAGAATTACTCTCGCTTATCCAGAGAACGGCACACAAGTTGTCGTTGATATTGATGATCCAGCAGCTCTCAATGCTCTCTACGAAAAGCGTGTTGGCCAAGATATCGAAGGCGAAAAGCTCGGTGGCCAATTCAAGGGTTATCTCTTCCGTATCGGTGGTGGCTTCGATAAGCAAGGCTTCCCAATGAAGCAGGGTGTTATCACACCACGCCGTATCCGCCTTCTCCTCAAGACAGGCGCATCCTGCTACCGCCCACGTAAGGATGGTGAGCGCAAGCGCAAGACAGTCCGTGGCTGCATCATTTCCGACGAAATCTCTGCTCTCCACTGCGTTGTTCTCCAGAAGGGAGAAAAGGAAATCGACGGTCTTACAACAACAGTCGTTCCACGCCGCTTCGGTCCAAAGCGTGCTTCTACACTCCGCGCCATGTTCGGCATTACAGATTCCAAGTTCGATGCTTCCAAGCTTGTTCTTAAGCGCGAAGTCAAACCAGGTAAATTCACATCTCCAAAGGTCCAGCGCCTTATCACAGCTCGCCGTGTTGCCCGCAAGAACCGTATGCTCAAGGAGCGTAAGGAGAAGCGTGAGGCCACAAAGAAGAAGGCTGAGCAATACCAGGCTCTCCTCAAGCAGCAGCAGAAGCAGTAAAATATACTTCTATTACTAATTCCAATCATGTTATTCTAATTTTTCTTTAAGAAAAATGAACTTTAGAAAAATTTGATATCATATTGTTTTGATTTATTTTGTGAAATAGTAATAATATTATTTTAATTATATCAAGATGAAAAATGATTTTTTTGTTCTTATTCCGAAAATAAAAAAGAATATTTTTTTTGAAATAGTAAGCGACATCATCATAATTAATCAGCTGCTTATTATCCAAGTAATTTCACCAGCGATTAACCATATTTAGATCGTTGGCTTGGTTAAGATCATTAACCATATTGAGATCGTTGGCTTGGTTAAGATCATTGACCATATTGAGATCATTGACCATATTGAGGTCATTGACCATATTGAGATCATTGACCATATTGAGATCGTTGACCATATTTAGATCTAAATCTGTCTTTTTTGATTTAGAGCCAAACGAAGCTACTTTTGGTTGTTGTTGGATGACGATGGGTGTGGGTGCTGTGTTTTCCATATATTTAATTGATTCGAGGGTGACATCTTCTATTGGTCCAGGTCTAACTGGAGATGGTTTAAAAATTGGAGGTGGGACTGCCAATATTGGTGCAGCTGGTCTTGCATTCCTTTCGCCAATCAGTGGAGAAGTTCTTTTCTTTGCATATGGACTGTATGGACGCTTTGGAACTGGGACGTCTGGCCTTTCCGGTCTCCTGTTGAGTACATACGGAATTTTATCATCCGTAGGAAACTGTGGAGAGTTTAAAGGAGGTGATTCTGATTCAGAATATGAATCTTGATACCTGGTACCTATTTTGCCTATAGTAAGTCTCTGAGAATTCAGTTGACGTAAGGGTGGAGACTTCTGAGTAGAGAAACTCTTTGATCCTGAAAGTGTGTTGTCCGTAACTGGAGCCTTATCTCTATCTGCATCAGCATCGTTTCTAAAAGATGAGAAAGATTGTCTTGTTATGTGTTTAGGATCGGTAAGTGCATTGAGATAAATTTGAGTCCCAGGATCTCTCCTTACTGAACAGTATTCGACTTGGGGATTGCATCTGGTTTTCTTGACATTTACGGGTTCGATTACAGGACGATGTGGAGAAGGTCTACGTAATGGAAGATCTCTGTTGAGTGTAACATCAATCTTATCATCCATCGCCATCCAGTTTTCTTCTGAATTTGGTTGTTTTAAGACCTTTGGTGAAGTGGAGAAGGATTTAAAAACACTGTTTTTGTTAAGAACAACAGAAATCTTATCGTCGGAGCTCCTATAATTAACCTGCTGAGGTACGAAAACATCATCAACAAGTGAATTTGGAGATTCGGAACTGCTTTCTGTTGTTGAATCAGACTGTTCATATAATTTAATTGGTGGTTTCTGAATTGGGTGATCTTCTACGGGCATTCTAATTAAAAATCCAGTGTCATACAATAAGAAATCGTTTGAAGGTGCTTCGACCTTTTCTTCGATATCGAACTCTGAATAAACTGATTTTTGGAGTTGTTTGATGTCTCCTTTGAGAAGTTGAAGCTCTTGCTTGATCATTTTCATTAAATCATCTGATGGAGCTTGCTGTGCTGCAATACCTGAAAAAACGAGAAGAAACATTCAAAAAATTTACAAATGTAAACTTATGAATTTGTAATTATGAATAACCGTTTGTCGGCAAAATTTAAGATTCAGAATTTAATTTGATAAATTTTAATGTTCAACATATGAGTATTAAATGCTACGATGAAGGTATTTTCAAATCGTCACCTTTTTGATAAAGGAAATTTTTTGAATCACAAATTTGTGAAGATGTAAAAGAACTCCTTATCAGAATTGGAAAATTAGATCAAAATATACCAAATGATGATTTCCTTTTATTTTTTATTTTTTTTTTACGAAACTCTTTTTCATCTCATGCAAAAGTCTATTAATCCAGAGTATCCCGTTTCAAAAGAGATCCTATATATGATGAATAAGCATCAATTAAACATAACTTATAAGAGAAAGATAATTTCTCAAGAAATAATTCTTCTTTGTCAATTGGCTACTATATAGGTGATCGATATGTGACCTTTACAGATCGTACGCCTGCATACGATATGTTAACGTTAGGTCAGGTATGTTATCAATATCGTTTCTTAAGTAATATAAAGCCAATATCACGTATAATATAAATTTGCCATTCGAAATAAATATCCTATGTATAGATATTAAATAATAATTATTTTTTAGAGATTTGGAAGGATATCCTTCATCATACAACATCAAAGAAGTTTATTGAATCCCAATTAAGTTTATGAGGATGATGTACTCAATTACACGTTGATTTTATTCATTTACTAAAGCTTGCTTATTGAGAAAGTTTATTATGGGAGAAAAGTGAACGTTTAAAATTTCATTAATGTTTCGAAGATTCAAGAAAATTGATCTAGATTCTATCGACAAATATACAAATGGAGAACTTCTTGCATATTGCAATAGAAATAAGATACCAATTTCCCCTAACCCAACTAGAGAACAATTAATTACCGCAATTCAAGCAACTCCAGTAAACCAATATTCTACTCAGATTCCACCATCATCCATTCCATATGAATCTAAAGATAAAAGCCCTTCAATCCAAACGCCAAAACCATTTTTCTTTCCAGCTGAAATTCAACCAACACCAATTTGCGCAAATCAAAACTATGAATATGATAGAATGTGGGATAGAAAACTAAGGAAGCAAAATAGAAGTTATAAGGATGCTTTTCCTTCAAATCCAGGTCAAATGTCTCCCTCTATTAAAGAACTGTCTCATCTTGAAGGACAGAAAAGAAATTCTAATAATTATGAATACAATTGGAGCTTATATGTTGAAGTTAGCGTTTTCATTCTAATCATATTGTTTTTTGTTTGGTTCTTTATGAAATTTTAAAAAAACTGTTTGTACTACATTCCATAGGATACCATCTTTTTTATTCAATTGCTATCCCAAGTGATTCGATAAAGGTGACCAAACTATTTTTTGAAAGTCCGCCATAACTTTAATGGTACTATTTCAGCGTGTACAATGAATACAAAAATTCTAAGAGTGCCACATAAAATAGTACTTTAGACTTGAGTTAATGCTACCAAGCAAATGTTAAAAAGATGACTTTAGTGTTTTGATAATCAAAGATTAAAATCATTATTGTTTAAATCAATGATCATAACGACAGAAGTTAATGTTTTTTCATAAGTGCTTTAAATCCACTTTTAAAAGTATACCTCAAAAATCAAAATATCAAAAAAAATTGGCCGATAGGTTTGGCTTTAATTTTTGTCTGCTTTTATGATTTGATATGGATGTTAGAATTTTAAAAGTTGAGCCAAATTCACCAATAGATTTTTGAGATTTGCAAATACTCAATAATTTTCAGCGTGTTATCTTTTATTAAAAGAACTATTTGGTTTCAGTATCATATAAATTGATATTTACTTTCTATTTGAACCTTCATTTAGCTAATGATTTAATAATACAGATTTCATCTAGTCCTTATAAGAGAATTTTGAATTTGTTATAATAAAAAAACAAACAGATATAGCTTACACTTCTATAATAAAGATACCTTTTATAGAAATCAGTATGAAATGTGTTTTGGCTTATTGGAAGCATATCAGACATAATCGCCATAATCAAAAAATCTATATACCCAATAAGTAATAAATTTGTCGATATAGATTTTCCATAAAATTAGTTTTTAGTCTGATCTTAAAATAAATTTAATTTTTTATAAAAAAAATCACATTTAAAAGTACCTTTTTAGTAGCTCGAAATCCTGTTGGTGGATTTCGGGCGTACTTCAAAATTAGCTTTTCTTCTACATATGCAAGCTATATTTTAAATATGGAGCAAATCGGATCGGCGAAAGGAGTTTAGTTACCTTTGATTCGATATATAAAATGTTTGTTTAAAAAAATTCTATAAGTAAATCATCATATTACATCTATATCAGCGATTGTGTAATAAAATTCTTAATCAAATCATTCAAATTATTTAATGAATTAAATTTTCTAGGAAATAATAAAAAAATGAGTATAGAGAGAACTTTTGTATTATAAAGTATATCAATTTATAAAAGAAATATCTGTATTCATTAGTTGGAAGCTGGGGCCGTGTGTTCAGGCTTTGTAAATTTAGGAGAGAACTTCTCTATAGGTCCATTAGCATCAACAATATATTGAATGTACATTTTCGGATCAAGGCCAACTGAATCCGGATCGAAGGGGTTATAATCTATCTTAAATTTAATTGGTAATTCTAATAGTTTTGTGATAGTCTGTGCAATGTCAAGACGTATATTTGCGTCTGCAGCATGCTGATGCCAGAAATAAAATAAATCTGCTCTGGCTCTTGTTGAAACAGCAATTCCTACGACATCTTCGGGGAACTGCTCACCAATAAGATTAAGAACTAAACGCTCCCAAGATGATTTAACTTGATTTTTCTGAAGTCTTACTAAAAATGAACCACCTTTGCGATTAGCTTCATCTTCCCACATTGGACGCGTGTCATTTCTAAAGAGATTGAGAGTAATTGTATTTGGAAGATTATGCGGTCTTTGCATGTGTGAATATATTTGCCAAAATTGTTCTGCTGTTTCGAATTTTCCGATTTTATGAAGACATTGCTCATAAGGGATATCACCTTGCTCGGCTGTAGGTTTTTGGAAGTAATAAAATGTCCAAGGACTATTCAATTGAAGCTCCATCAACAATAAAAAAAGGACTCCACAAAAAAAAATTTGATGACGATAAAAACGGTTGACCAAGCTGTCCTAAAAATGCTAATTTCGCACTTTAATTCAGATAAACAAAATCAAAATGAATACAAGAAGACATTTTTCGCTAACTATTTCTATAAAATTCAAAGATTTCTAATTTTTATATTTGAAATACGGAATGTATTGGAATGGGATGCTCATAGACATAAACTCGGTCATGGAACAAATATAAAGTACCAATAGATCCATTGGTTTTAAGTATAGAATAATGTTAATTGGTAAATAAGACAATTCTTATGAAGTATATTTAAAAGAAATATTTTACAGTATATATAAAACAAGTATATAATCTAATGACAAGCTTATTAATAATTCTAATTAGCAGATATTGAATAAAATAAATTAAATTTTGATTACCAATAGAAAGCATCAAGTATATCTGGTTCTGTCATGCCGCATTCAAGAATTTTGGTTTCAATTCTTCTTTCTGTTTGCATAAAACGCAAAATTGTTTTGTCGATGTATTGTTTTTCGGTCATTGTTAAATGGCGATAGTTTACATTGAGTGGCATTGATTCGAAAGCCTTATTTGTAATATATTCTTTAAATTCTGGCAAAGACTGTGTGACATCGATAGATCCACCTTGACCCATATTAAAAAATGAAGACATCGAGTGCCATAACATTCAACCTCATTATACTGCAACAAGTTAATCTAATTCTCATCAATAAAACCTTTAATTTGCTTTGAAAAATTAATTATATAAAATAGATATCAATTTAATCAAATAAAACTCTATAATTTATTGTATGGCTTTTGTTAGCTGCTTTGGTTCTGGCTTTGGCTTAACAACTTTTTCAAATTTCTTCTTTGGCTGCTTCTTAAGATGCCTTGGTTGTTTAACTTCTTCACCAAGAAGTGATGTATACAAATTTGGCTTGTTTTTCTGCTGAAATGCATAAAAATCTGATGTTTGCATTTTAGCTGCAGTTTCTTGATATTTACGAATAATTGCTTGTGTTTCAGCTTCTGTATGACGTGCAATCTTCTTGGTACCTGCATTAGCGCGTGCTTCGGCATCTCTTTTATCAATAGCTTGAATTTGTTCATAAGCGCTTTTTTCTAAATCAGCAACGTCTGGGCGTGACTTCATATACTTCTGTTTAAAGTACTCAACACCGAATTCGCCAATTCCGGCTTCTGGTGGCTGAGCATCATTATGCTTAAATTTTTCTAACAAAGCTCTATCTAATGATTTCTCATTTTGGTATTTAATGATTGCCTGATTACCCTCTATTGTAATTGTATCTATTTTTCCAAAAAGAGCGAAAGCTTCTTCGAGAATATTTTGAATTTTATCGTTTGTATCTGTTAGTGGGAAGTTGTATGCTTCGAGTTCAAGTGCACTGTGCTTTTTGTAAAAAACAGAGTGTTGCACATTGGAATCTCGATAAGGAAGCTTGAGAACTTTCCAAGCTTCACCCATTTTGAAAAAAAAATGTCTTTCTAAGATTTTGCTATGAAAAATGATATACGTAGAGAGTACAAAAAATACTTTGATTTTGATAAATTGAGTTAACTGCTGTTATCAAAATAAAATTTTCTGACAAATTTCTACCGAGATTCATGAATGCATCTGAGAGCGCCGAAGCGCAAAAGATTATCTCAATGCTTCTTGATCTCCCAGAGAACAATCTGTGTGCCGATTGTCATGTCAATCCGTCGAAGTGGGCATCGACAAATCTCGGAATTTTCATTTGTATTCACTGCAGTGGAGTTCACAGATCACTAGGCACTCACATATCAAAGGTTAGGAGCTGCTCGTTGGATAACTGGTCTTTAGAACAAGCATATGTAATGGCAAACGTAGGAAATAAGATAGCAAACGAATATTGGGAAGCAAACTTACCAAAAGACTTTGTTCGACCAGTTCCAACAAACAAAATGGAACTTGCCCTCTTTATAAAGCGTAAATATGATCAGAAACTTTGGACAAAACCAGGAATTCCTCCTCATCTCTCAATACAACCTAAAAAATCATTGCCAAAGCAAAACAAACGCAAGTCATCCCACAAACGTGCTCATTCTCCAAGCAATCCCGTTATTCAAAATCAGCCATCGTTTGAACCAATAAATGAAGCAGAAGAAAAGCCAAATAACTCTCCAAATTTACCAACACGATCGGGTTCGCAAATTATTTTTACTACAAACAAAGATGAATCAAGTTCAGATTCAATTAAAGGTATTTTAGAGCCTCCTGTTGAAAGTATCATCGCCAAAAATGTTATCGATTACATTGTCGATCAAATATTAGAGCCAGATGTTAAACACGAATTAAATTTGTTGAAAAATATTATTATTGAAGAAGATATCAATATAAAACCAAACGAAATACAAGAAAACAATAATACACCAGATGTTTTTGATGTAGATGATGATTTCTTTGAAGATCATCCTCCGAAATTTGTTGATTTACCAAAGAAAGAAAACAAAGAAGAAAAACATGAAGAACCACGCCATGAAGAAGTTGCCCTTGATGTTGATGACGATTTCTTTGACATAGAAGTCCAAAAACCAAAAATTATTCCAAATCCAATCAAAAAAATACCAAATCCGGCCAAACCAGTACCTGTTATTGAGAAAATACCAAAGAAACTACCAAGGCCAGGCGTAATAATCGTGGATATCAACGAAAAGAAGAAAAAGAAACATCATAAAAAGAAATCCGAAAAAAATCCAGAAAAAGTAGAAGAAAAAATCGTGCAAAAACAAGAACCAGAGCCAACTAAAGAGCAGGACAATCAAATTGATGAGTTTTTCGAAGAATACGAAGCAGAAACTAAAAATCAAAAAACAAATAAAGTCGACATCGACAATTTCTTCCAAGAAGAGGAGAAACCAGCAAAACCAGCCAAGATTCCGTCACCTTTTAAGCCTGCTTCGCTTCAAAAAGGCCCTGGAACACAATTACCAGCCAGACTCCAGAAACTGGTCAAAAGCAGAGAGAAGGTCGTTGTTGGAGAACGAAAGAGAAGAAAACATCATCATTCTGAGTGATTTTTCTAATTAATTTTTATGATATATTTTTATATGAGTTTTGTATATATATTTGTAATATTAAATATAATAGTCTTTCTCACTTTTGCATTTTTTACTCATAATATGACCGCATATTGAATTTTTTTCTAAATGATTCCGAAATTTAGATGCAAAACATGTTTCAAATTCATGTATTTGGGTATTCAAATAGAGAAATTAAAGAATCCGAATAAACAGAAAGCATAGAAAGAAAATAAAGTAATAATATTAATAGAATATGTTTATAGATGAGTATTTCTCTAATTCTTAAGGAAGATTTAATAGATACTTTCTTTTAGTTGTTCATCAGTGTTTGCATTTTGAGTATAAATCAAATTTAGCAACAATTATAAATATGATCTATAATTATAGGATTTATTAAGAAATTAGATGTCCATTCAATAGTATATTTTAGTTGTTATATCAGAACTTGATCAAACTGAAGACAATATGGTTTTTGTATCAATTCCAATAAATTAAAAACGAATATTCCAAAAGTGACACTTTTACAAATTTTTTTATATGGAACAAGTTAGTGACAACGATTTTGGCTCAGATGCACCTCCTCCAGAGGTCAAACCCGAGCCACAGCCAAAAGCTAAGAAAGGCAAAATAAGAAAGAGCAAAGAATACATCGAATACGCTAAAAGCCGCAGACAATACATCAATCATCTTACTCTCTCACCTTCCTCGATATTATTTATGCTCGAAACAAGCAATATCAAGACTGGTGTACAAAGTAGAGGAACACAACACCAGCCAAGCCGCTTTGGTTTATCAACACAAACAGATCCAATCACATTCAATACTGCATCAGCACAATTCCCAGATACAGAGCCAAACAAACAGCAGTACCCATCAACCATTCACTTCTTAAAAGCTGCTGCAGCTACAATAAGCGCATTACTTGATCAAGCTGAGTTTTCAAGTACAGCCAGTGACAAGCAACCACTTACACGCGTTAGCAAATTTGCAACAAAAGGTGTTCCTCTCAGTGTTTTAACAACAAAATCAAGAACAGTAGCTCTTGTCGAAGAATCTCCTGGAAACAGAACATTATACGTATGGAATGCTCGTTCTTCTACCGTAAACTATCAGTTAGTCTCACCATCTACCCCTACATGCTTCTGTATTCACGACGATGCGAGAATTATCATTGCAGGTACAGAATCAGGTTCAATACTTGCCTGGGACCTTCTTAAAAAGGCCAAGCCTGGTCAGAGCGAAACAGTCCTCCAGTCAGTCTTTACGACAAACGACATTCCCTCTAAGAATCACCAAGATTCAATAGCCGGAATTTCTGTCTTCGGCAGACGTGGCACAAACGTTGTCTGTGCTCTCGATGGCAGCGCTATCGCCTCTTTCTGGCATATTCGTACCGAAAATGACGAATTTTCCCTCACAAAAGCAGAAACTGTCAATTTAGCGGCCACTTATTTCCCGACTTTTTCATTGGCCGTAGCTCCCAATTCCGTTGACAGTTTTCTTGTTGGCTGTGGCTGTTCTATCTTCAACTGTTCCCGCTTTGGATCCACCACTTCCCCTTCTTCCTACAACGCTAGTGCCGCTGTAAGATCCATTGCGTTTTCGAAGTTGATTCCGACACTTTTTGCTGCAGGCCAAGACAACGGAAAACTTGCAATTTACGATATTCTTTCTGCTGATCCTTTGATTGAATTCTGTGTCGATATCTCCACCAGCGATCTCTCTGTCTGCTGGTCTCCTAAACGCGCGAGTGTTCTCTTTGTCGCTGCAACACAGACAATGAGATTGTTCGTATACGATTTGTCGAAAGACATGAGAAAACCAATTTACACACACAAGGTAAGTAATGCAGCTTATTCTGTAGATGCTGCAGAAACAGAGAACGGAGTGATCCTCGCAATAGGAGAAGGAGATAGTAGCGCTTCAGTACTTCGCGTGAAATCAGATTTATCAACTCCTTTGTCTGATACAGAAAGAGATTCTTTCTTGATGCAATTATATGGTTCTTATTGAGAAAAAAAAATAAAGTTTATTTATTTATGTTTGATGTCATTAAAAAAGCAATCGTATTTTTTATTAAATTTATCTAATACATTATATCATATGAATATGAAGAGATATTTATATCAATATGTGATTTTATAAGAAATTTGATATTAAATATTTAGCTTAACATTGTTTTTGGAATGTTCATTATTACTCTCTTTATTAGATAATCTATAAAGATAATAAAAAATTTTTGTTGAAAAAATAGAATTAATAGACTTTTATATTTTTAAACTTAATGTTTATAAAGTTTATAAGTTTGATTTGATATAGTATTATTCAGATTTCGTATTTCGAATTTCCTTCTAAAAATAAAGCTATATGGCCTATTATTTGTGATGAAACCATGAGTACAAGTGGATGCATGGGAAGCGAGTGAGATATTTTCAATCTTGTTGTTTTTCAAAAGTCCAAAAAATAAGGGATAATCAAGTCAATGATTGCATTCAATTATAACTCACTTTTGTTAGAAGAGGCGCGTAAAAATAATACTTCTAGGATATAGAAGAAAAAGTAAAAATATAATTTAAAGGAATTTCAATCAATCGATTATTCAAAGGTTTATTGAATTTCTATTTAAATTTTTGAATAGCTATTCAAAAACGAGTGGTAGTCGAATCAGTTATTTATTTAAGGGTTTCGTTTTGCTAAAATTATCACTTTTATAGCATATTTGTTTTTGGATGTTTTGCGAAACCAAAAAAAAAAAAAACTATGATATACAATGTGTGTGTAAAGAAAATACTTTATTTACTAGTTAAAAAATCATTTGGTATTGATCAAGTTATTTTTTCTGGATAAGATATTATATGGATAATTGGATAGAAAATACAATTATATAATCTTGTACCTGGTTTAATTAAGCTAATTGTCATCAGAAACTTGTAATTTTTATGAATTTCAGATTTTCTTTTCATTACTGCTTTTCTTAATAGGTCAAGTTCTTATTTACGTTATAAAGTATGATATTTACAAATATCAAGTTATCATGTTTTTTGAGAAATTATGAGAAACAAACAAAAATGAAAAAGATAGGAATAGCAATGAATAGTGATGTGGGTATAGAAAATGTAAGAGATATGAATGCAAAGCAATTAGTATTTAGGATATTGACCATAGATTTCGAAAAAAAAATGCTGCATATTGAGCGAAAACTATGATTATATTATAAGGCTGTCATTTAAAGCATAATGAAACTATTCCCTTTTCATTTTAATCGAATAAGATAGTAAAGATTTTTGAATTAGCTAGAAACTGATGAGATGTTTTCACAAATCAGATTTTTAATCTCTATAATGCATAATTCACTCAATATCTCAATTTTGATATTGCGAGATATTTTTGCTATCGGTTTCGCAATTTTGACACAATAGCAAGAGGGTTCTATAAGCATTATTATCAACGTAGAATCTGAATATCATATCAGAAAATGTCGCAAATCTGACATTTACCCGACCAAATAGCAAAAATAATTGAATACTTTTCGCAAAAACTTTAAAAATCGATAAAAATATGAAATATAGATATTAAAGAGACTTTTTATATAATATTCATAAAGATTTTCCAAAAATATGATACCGCAAAATTAAAAAAGTGACGTCTTGAGTAAGTCAAATGTCGAAATTGCTAGCTAAATGTTTTTTTAGCGAAATTGCGTATTGTACGTTTTTTTCGCAAAACGAAACCCTTAATTTATTTGCTTTGATTTTTTAGCTTTAATTATTAGTCAAAAAAATTTGCGAAGTTGGACGTTCCTCTATTTCCTTTCTTCTTTATCGTTTAATTAGCATATGACGTTGGATTCACATTAAATATTGATTATTAAATTGATCATCAGGTTTCAGCAAAGAAATTGAGAGAAGGAAAAAAAATAATAATAATAAAAATTATTTTTGTAATTTTATGATCAATGAACAAGCTAAAATTGAAATTGGCGGCCTGCATGATCCTATATTGAGGATGATCTATCTCAATTATACACCCGTAATCGAAAATAATGACCCTAAAAAATCAAAAGAGCAATTAGTTCTAATTTCCAACTACCAATTGATTCTATTCAAGCCAAAGTTCATGCGTAAGCTATCTATGCACGCCTCTTATACATATAATAATCTTAAAGTCCTAGAATTAAGAAAAGATCAGATTTATTTTGAGTTCGATAAAGATAACTACCTGATCACGCTTCCTTCTCCTTCCGCTATCTTTGAAAACGTTTGCCAATCAATTATCAACATTTTAACAGATGATTCTTTGCCAAAATTCATTCCTGTGCAAAAAATTAAGCGAAAGCCGAACTCCATCTTTTCCAGATACAAGTTCCTCTGTTTCTTAAATGAGAAAAAGCCAGATAAAAAAGTTTTATCTTTTCTTAATAAAACAAAGGCAATGCAATTTACTTTTGAAGAGATTCGAGAAGAAGTGTCACGCGATCTCGATATCTTCATGGAAGCTTTGGAAAACCTTGAATGCAAAAGATTGGAATTTCCAAGGTTTGAAACACCGCAATGGGATAAACTAGCCAAATTACTGGCTCAAAACCAGTATATTAACCAGATCGTATTAAATGGTCCGATTTCGGCTTCAATGGAAGAGGTTTACAATGTTTTAGAGAAAACAAAGACAACAAACGTCGCGTGTCTCACTTTTCAAGATTCTGAAGCTACTCCAGAGTTCTTTTCCCTTATTACTAAATTTATGAAACTTCCACAAATTACGACACTTTCTTTGATCTCTTTTCTCAAAGATTACGGGGATGTTCCAGCTTTTACCGATATTGTATACAAGAATCGACCTTATGAATTCATAGATACCCTTGAAATAAAATATATGCCTCGAATCAACTACAAAATGATACACCAATGCTTCCCGCACCTTGACAAGATAGAGTTCTCGAACTGCAAGATATCACTCGCTAATTATCTCGATTATATTTCTACTTGGAACGATAAAGGAGTTGCAAATATAAAATTAGAAGGAAATAACGCTGATTTCCCTATCCACGAAGCCCTTTCATTACCACCATGCATAATAGATATCGACGTGTCCGATATTTACTGGACTTCGAGAAATTTAATCACATTTCTTAAAATCATCGCCAAATACAGAAACTCGGCCAAAAATTTTAAGGTTGGGCTAAACAAAATCAAAATGGATACGAAAGGATGGGTCCAATTCAATTCTGAATTGAAAAATATTGAAGAACCTCAAATTCGCCACATTTTCTGGAAAGGAAACATGATATCTCCTGAAATAATTGAGTTCTTCAACCGCTGCAGGCTCACTTTACTTACTTTTGGCGACAATTTTGATGATGACGACGCAAGTGTCCTTTTATTCAGAGATTACTTGATCAGACAGAAATATCTTCAGACACTGGTATACCAAGAACAGGAAAGACCCTTCAATCTTAAGTCAGAACTGATAAAAGGTATCAGATACAACAGATCCATTAATTATTTGTCACTTTTGAATACACAATTTACACATGAAGACATACAGATGCTTGGCCTTGCTTTGCTTGAGAATTGCAACATCGGACAACTTTCTATTAACACTTTGCAGGAACATTCGACCAAAACTATCAATAAGTTCTGGAAAATAGTGGTAGGAAGAGGAACCCCACTTAAACTTGTTGGTTACGATATCAAAAAATCAGATGATCCGGAATTATTTGAATTATCTAAGAGTGTGAAGGATGGAAACCCAAATATCATCCCTCCTGATGAGAGTTTGAGGATTTCCAATGATAGAATTGAAGAAGTAATCGCTTCTTTCCATGATTCAGATGAGAAATTGAAGAAAATCCATGGATCCGACTCAGATATGTTGGAATTCCCTGATGAGAAGCCAAGCGAATTTAAACCAGACGATGCAATCAATTTTGATGACGATTTCGATGAGAAATCTAAATCTGAACAAAAAGACACAACTTCACAGGAATCGCAAGATAATTCGGAAGGATCTGCCTCTCTTACACCTCAAACTTCCCAGGAAATGCTCTTGTTGACGTACGAAGGCTCTCAAGAATTTACTCTTGACGAAAAAGAGAGTTATACACCTAAGTTTGAGACTAAGATGCAGCACGTTCCTCTTCTGGACGTTGATGCAACAAGAAAAATGCTTGAAGAAAAATTCAATCTGAAGAACCTCAGAAGACACATAAAGAAATGAAATTTGAAATGTTTATTTTATAATACACTCAAAATATATTGAATGCGTGCTTATCTTTGTTATTTTTTTATTTTTATTGAAAATTGTTTGTTTTATTTTAATATTATATGATTAATACTCTTTGGGAATAAAGTATTTCTTTTGAATTTAACTCTTTTTCACTCTATACTTAGCTAATTGTTAAAATCTGGTAAATTGAAATTGTTCTACAATTTCAAAAGGAAGATTCTCTCTGGAATACGTATAAAGATCAGGAATCTTTATTTATACTTATACAGTGACCGAAAAAAGCCGATAGTGACCAAAAAACCTGATCAATAAAATCTTTGTGATCTGAAATTCTTGTGATCAGAAATTCTCTTGCATTCAATATACAATTTTCAATTTAAAATTAAAAATTATATTATTGAAGGCAAGAAAATGCAATTTTCTTGCACAACATTTGAATTACAATTCAAAATTGAAATTCAAAAAGTGCAAGAAAACTGCTAATTTTTTGATGTCTGATCAATACAGCCGTCGAAATAAATTCACTGAATTACGAAGTATCCATAAATCCTACATCGATTTATATAATGCATTGTATCAGGTGAAGACGGAAAAAGAAGAAGATTTAAACACAATTTACAAAAATATCCAAACAGAATTGATTGATTCAATGAAGTTTCCTCCACAAAGTATTATTAGAGACATTTTAAAAATCATTCCCTATAACAATCGCTATGTAAATGCATATTTAACCCTTGCCAAACGCATATCTGATGATTATCATGTAGAAGATGTCAGCAATGTTGAGCCAATTTCAAATTACATGTTTTATAAAGAATATGGAATTAAATTAGACAAATCACGTGACTTTAATGAAATTAATAAATATTATCTCGATATTCATACAAAAAATACAATTTACAAGGTAATTATGAATAATGATATAGAAAAATTCATCTTCCTCACTGGAGCAGAAGGTTTTAATGAACATCTTTTCCTTGAAAGCGATTTATATCCATATACTCCATATAGATATACATTACTTGATATATGTTGTTACCATGGTGCAATTGATTGTTTCAAGTTCTTAAGAACAAAATTTAATTCAAAGATTTCTGATGACAGTCTTCGGTTTTCATTTTTAGGAGGAAATCCAGAGATCATGAGTGAGTGTTTGAAATACAAGAAACCATATGAAGAATGCATGAAATATGCAATTATTTCACACAACATTGGTTTTGTTACATTCTTGATGAATGAATACAATCTGAAGATCGATTTGAAATGGTGCAGATTATATAATAATCTCGAATCATTTTTAGTTTATTTCGATCAAACTAAAAATATTAATGAATGCTTTTTGAATTCAATTAAATTTAATATTCCACCCCTTTGTGAATATATCCTATCATGTGGTGCAAATATCCATACAAAAAATAGACATGGAAATACAGCCCTTCATAAAGCAGTAAACATCAATAGCAAAGAAATGGTCGAATTTCTTCTTTCACATGGTGCAAATATCAATGAAAAAAATAAAAATGGAGATACTGTTCTTCATTTTGCAGCATTTAATAATAGCAAAGAAATGGTCGAATTTCTTCTTTCACCATGGTGCAAATATCAATGAAAAATGTGTAGGTGGAGGAACCATTCTTCAAAGTGCAGCACTTAGTAATAGTATAGAAACGGTCGAATTTCTTCTCTCACTTGGCGTAAATATCGATGAGAAAAATCATTTTGGAGACACAGCTCTTATCTCTATTGCAGTTCATGAGAATACTGAAAAAACGGTAGAATTTCTTATTTCACATGGTGCAAATGTCAATGAAAAAATGTAGATGGCGTTACAGCCCTTCATAATGCAGCACTTAATAACAATAGAAAAATAGCGGAGCTTCTTGTTTCACATGGTGCAAATATCAATGAAAAAGCCAATGATGGACGAACCGCTCTTCATTATGCAGCAAGTGAAAATAATTCTGAAGAGATAATTGATTTTCTTGTTTCACATGGCGCAAATATCAATGAAAAAGATGATCATGAACTAACCCCGCTTGATTATACAATAATAGGAAACAATTGTATGGTAGCAGCAAAACTTCTTATTTCACATGGTGCAAATATCAATGGAAAAGATATAAATGGAAAAACACCCCTCCACCGTGCAGTAATATATGAAAGGAACTGGATAATCGCGCTTCTTCTTTCGAATGGCGCAAATATCAATGAAAAAGATAATGATGGAAAAACCGCTCTTCAATATGCAGAAGAAAGAAAAATGGACCTCGCAATGATAAAAATTCATTATCCGTCGTTTATGTGATTTTAATTTTTAAAATAGTAAAAAAGATGTTTAAAAACGTTTTGTTTACTTTTTCTAATCTCTAAATGTTATCATTATGTATGGAAAAAGTTCATCTGTCTATTGGAACAATTTGATTTTGAACTTCTCAATCCTATTCTTGTCAATCACTATTGAAAGTATATTCAAAATACTCCATAGTATTATTTTCCATAAACTATACAAGTTTGATAGTTGTATTACTTTATTTAGTTGGATATAAAGGAAGAAAATGATGAATTTACTTCAATATTTTTTTTTTGATTGATTGATTGATTGATTGAGAAATCCAAAGTTTCAAAATGAAATATTGTTAAAACAGCGATATGGTAAATAATTCTAATTCTTTTCCTCATTGAAGTAATTGATTCCCATTTGTGTCGATCTTATAGATAAAAACAGTGAAGGAATAACTTCACTTGATGGGAATCATCATATCAATACCGCTTAAATCTAATAGATGATTCAAATCGAAATGCTCTTTATAATATAGTGTTGTTCTTTTCCAAGTTCTCAACGCCCAAGATTAATTGCAAAAGATCTTGTATGATTATGATTAAATTTTCCACTTATTTGTTTAATTCTTTGTTAATTGTCATTTGGGTAAAATTAATATATTAAATTTCTTTATGGAATAATTTGAATAATTTGCGAAAAATTTGCTTTTCAACAATGAATCAAACTGTAGTTAAAGTGAAATCATGTCCATATGCAATTGCCTATATGCTACCCTTGATAGGAAAGGGAATTCTGATGAGAATGGTGATGATTCGGAAACTGTACGTTAAGAAATTTCTGACGGCCAATATCTTCTTTCTTATGAATCCAACGAAAGAAAAGAAAGAAGATGTTAATCTATATGAAGGAAATGATGAAAAAGAATTTCTCCGCATGTCTCCTAAAAAATATCAGCCTTCTTCTCGTCAGAAATTGCAAAATACTATAAAACTTATCGATTCTGATAACGATGCTGATTGGACAAAAGCTATCAACTGCCTGATGAATAATCCAGAATATATTACATCAGAAATTATACCAAGAATTTTCCAAATCGGATCTTCTGAGGACAATGAAATGCAATTACTTGTATTGGAATTCCTTAAACAATTTGTTGATGGTGAAGATTCTGATTTTGGAATTCTTATCGAAAATAATATATGCGATTTTCTAAGTCAATTTTTAGATCTCAACGATACATTTCTCTATTCATATGCAATCGAGATATTACAAAAATTATGTGATGCAAGCGAGGATATTTCAAAAACAATATTTGAATCTTCATTAGTAGAAAATTCTTACTCTTCAGCTGAATTGGCCATTCAAACTATGGAGTCATTTTCTGGAGATAACTCTAGTGATGAATTTCTTGAATATTGTTACATTGTTGAAGGAACTCTAAGGATTTTACAACATTATCTTCCTAAACTTGAAAAGGAAATGTTTACATTACTTATTGCACTCCTTTCTTCTCCAAATCAGACCCAGCAGACAATGTCTTTAGATTTCATTTATTATTTTTCAATTAAGTGTTCAGATGAGTATTTAGACCATTTCATTGAAATGCCAGCATTTAATACTGTACTAAATAATCATTTACTTTCTACAGACCTCGCAAAAATACGTGCAGGATTATTTGTAATTCAATCTTTCATTTCAAGGAACATTGAATACATTCGCCATTTCATGGAAGTTGGTCTCGCTCGACTTTTAGCTTCGCCACCCGGAATGACCAAAAATGAAAGTATTTTGTTCTTCAAAATTCTCATTAAACTTGCAGAGTATGATTCATCAGATTACATAGACGTTCTAAAATCAGAAGCAATTATAATCAAAGTAAATAATGCAATAGCTGAAGGTGAATCATTCCAACTCTCGAAACCAGCAATAATCTTTGTTTGTACCCTTGGAATTAGAGATGATGCAATTGCTGCGGGATTAATTGAGCATATTATAGAATACTATTATAAAGCAATCGAGTATCTTACACAGCTCATGCAAGAATGCGAATTATCACTACAATCCCTTATATTGAGATTTTTTGTCGCATTGATTAATTTTATTATTGGACGTGATAAAGAAGAAGCAACAAAAATTCTTCAAGCATTGAAATTTAATGAAATCATTGAGGGAATCGAAAGTATCCTTGAGAATAATAACATAAATGATGAGATGTATGAAACATGCCATCAAATTATAGATATCCTCCAGGAGTATGAATAAATATATTTTGCACTTTTTCACTCATTTTCGCCTGGCATTCTATCGTAATTTTAATTCATTATCTACTGATATTATGCAATCTTTAACTTATTACCTATGGGGTCTTTATAAATTGCAGCAACGTGGGTGTTGCAAATAAATAAAACCCATGGAAATTTGAGCTTTGTTAGAGATACATTCTTGATATATCTTTCTTATGATAATAAATGGTTTTATAATCAGCCAATGCTTATCTTATGAATACTCATCTACTTATATCTAATTTATACATTACTCAATATATAAATATGTAGATATTGAAGTGTTAGTGGCAATTTGAACTGATTATAAAGAAAATTATGATGTAATACATATGCACAACTACAATATTAAATTCCCCTATGGATAAATATTAATCATTGAGCCCAGAATTTATCCACATCTTTCTTCAGATTTGCTTGTTTCGTCCAAAAAAATTTAAAAATCCTTGTGAGATTTAAATAAGTGAATTTGCTCTCATGATTTTTGAAATTTAAATAGTTGTCATCATCGGACTGAATTTTCAAAATTTTGTGGCAAAAATATAGAAAAATGTCAGTTGATTTCGAAGGATATGCACTAGAAGATTCAGAAAAGCATTCGTTTAGTGAATATCCAACTGTTGATGAGTACATGGATAAGAATATGGCATTTAAAGAAGGTACTTTTAACAATTATGATCAAATTCAAAAAGGCTGGATAGCAGATTACTATAATTATATGGTTGAAGAGGAGAAAAGTGGCATAAATATTGATGAGAGCTGTCGAAAATACTATAGAACAAAATATCATACTCCCATTTATGATGAAGACAAGCTTAAAAGGCCAGAATGGAAAAGTAATAGTTCTTATAAGATCCAGAGAATTGAAATGAAATGGAATTTTCACGGTACATCAGCATTATTTAAAAAATCTTTAATAATCCACTTATTAATGAACCTAAATCCTGATGATGAAGTAGTTTATTCATATACTTTTAAAAGTTCTGATAATGAACTATTTAGATCAGATGTTTTAAGAATTGTTTCAGAAACAATGACTCAGCTTGGGCTTGGAGAATGTTTTCGCGAAATGCTTGATAGCCAAGGCAAAAAAATCGGTTTTTTTATATGTATAAATATAAATCCCGACAAAATTACCAAAAAGAACTAATCAACATTTAGAAATGTTTGTTATGTAATTGTACGACTTGTTTGTTTATCAATTCGTGATTTTAATAAAGATATCCATTTATTTTATAAATTTTAAATAAATAATGAAATAGTTATTAAGCACAAGTATAATTATTTACTCGTGAATGAAATAATTTAGTCCTTAGCCTCATGAACCTTGATGACATCTGGCTGGGACTCCTTTGGACCAGAAATGCCAGATGGGTCCTGGGCGAGCATGATGAGGACGCGGATACCGATTGTAGCCTGCTTCATTGGGATGTGGCCGACAGCCTGTGTAACAAATTGCTTTGTAACATCACCAGACTTGACCATGTAGCCCTCTTTATACTTGGATGTGGAAGCACGAGCACCACGGAGCTTGCCGGAGATAGCGACTTCGCAGCCACGAGCGCCAGCATCCATAACGAAACGGATGATGGAGTAGGCAGCACGACGAGCTGGGATACGAGCGATAAGCTTGTAGCGGAGGGATTCGAGCTGGTTGAGAGCGGAAAGGCCCTTGCGCTGGATACGGTCGATGAAGATCTCAAGAGAGTCTTCCTTAAGGCGCCAGCGCTTCTGGATCATCATGCGGACTTCCTGGAGACGGCGGCCGTGGTTGTCAACGAACTCCTTTGTGTTGGCAGCCTTGATGATGATTTCTGTGCGTGTTGGTGTTTGGCGAACTTCGCAGCCACCATAGCCTTCCTTTGTGAGTTCACGTGTGAGGAGCTCATTGAGTTCGGCGTAGAAGAGACCTGTCTCAATAATGCGGCGGACTTTTGTGCAGCGTTGTGCCTTCATTCCTTGCAAAAGGCCAAGGAATAACCGCAAATTCCTTTCAAATAATTTTTTAACATTTGATATAGGGACAACTATAGGTATATTCCTGAATAAGTCAATTCTCTGATTCAATTTCTCAAAAATCATTGAAATTTCGAATAATTTTTTTTCATAAAATCGATATCAGCTTGTATTATCATGAATCTGTTAATATGTTTGATTCTTTCAAGACTGGAGTCCTACTGAAAGCACAAAATTGTTGATTCCTTAATGAAACATAAATGTAATCAATTTCAGCTATGACTCCTATGATACTATATTTACATCCCGATAGGTAATGTGTATGATATTCATCAAATGGAAATTTTAAATTTTATGAAAAATGATTCCTGAAATTTAAGTCAATATTTGGTATTTGAAGAAAAAATATGTAACTTGCTATTAAATTCAATCATATAATTTTAAAGAAAATAAAAAAAGAGATAGGAAACCGGTTAAATCTATGGAATTGTCTTAATTTCAGTATCCTCGCCATCCTTCTTGAATAAGAACCAAGCAGAGCATCCGATGATGATCATCATCAGAGTTGGGAGGAGAACAACGAGGGAATCGAACACTTTGAAGAGGCCAGGACTAATTACTTTTAATCCGCAATCAGGGCCCTCGTAACCTCGCTCGCAAACGCATCCATCAAGAACGCGATGGCCGTGGCTGGAACAGTTCGGTCCGTCAGGATGATTCAGCCATCTGGCCATTGTATCCATAATTTGTTTGCGGGCAACAGTTAGTGCTTCCGGTTCACCAGCTGCCTCGTCTCCTAAGTCTGAACAATGCGATGCATTATTAATTTGGACGGAATAACGGCCAACTGGTGGATTTTGGACATTTTCACTTACAGAAAGTACTGACCATGGATCTGTCTTTCCGTTTGAGAAATATATCATTGTTGTGGCCGGATTCTGTGCATTGTAGATATCCATCTTTGCAGAGCGATTGTTGTCGATATCTGGGGAGATTCCGACTCCGAAATATGTTCTGCAAACAAGGTCGGAGTAGTTAAGGTCAACTTTGGCCGGGCGAAGTTGTCCGGACGCTGTTTGGAACCAGCCGAATTCGTTGCATGTCATCCATGTCCAGGATAATGAATCTGCGTAGTCTGTATGTATGGAGTGGTTTGTTAAAGCGAAATCGTCGAGATCGCTTGGATCTTCAACTCCTTCTACTTCTAAGTATTTGTAAAAGTAATCATGGAAGGAATCGTAGTTTGGAGAATCTCCGTTTTGGTTTTCGCAATATGGAGTAACAAGTTTATAAATGTTGTCGTATTGAACAATTCCTGCGATAAAATCGGAAAGAATTGAAAGCTGCGAGACGTGTGAAACACTTGGCTTGAATGGGATGTAATTTGTAATGTGATCCGGATGATCATTAAAATCATCGTAAATTAATTTTGTATTTGTAAGACATTTAGGACTGATTTTTCCTAAAACTTCAGCGCAGTGTGCATCGTACTCCCAGAAATCGTTTTTGACGTAGAGAGGAGGAGAGGAAGCCCAAGAGAAATCTGCAATGTGAGGATACTTCATACGGAAGTAAGAAGAGAGGGTTCCTGGGTATGAGCCACCAACAACAAGAATTGTTGGTCGAGATTGATATTTAATCTTGATAAAAGACTCAATGAAATAAGCCAAATCTGCGAGGGCCTGATCAGAAGTTAAATATTTCAGATTTGGTGTGATAAGTTCCTCGAATGGCTGGGATTCGCCAAAGTAACGATGTTCAAGTGCAACAACGCAAGAATCAGTTTCTTTAGCTAATTTCATGTAGGCGCCTTTTTGAACTCTTCTTTCGGTGATTGCGGCTTCACCTCCGATGAATACAATAAGCTTTTTAGTTGTAGTGTTTTGGCAGAAGGTATCATTGTAATAATATCTTTGTTTAAACGTGCGATTATCTGATGTGTTGAAATGATCTAAGAACTGATCGAAATAGTATGTGTCTCCTGGTAAATAGGTACGAAACGGTGGTTTCCTTAAAAATAAAAGCGAAAGAAACATTTTTAAAATTTAGTAAAGAAAAAAAAACTTTTTTTTTCTTTCTGGCGGTTTACAACCGCACTCCTCATTTCTCCATTATAGAACCGAAATATTGTAATCTTTCAAGAGCCATTAAGCTTTATCGAAATGGTATATAATGGAAATAAAGCTTAATTTTCGAAATAATAAAAAAAAATTTATAAATTTTATTCAAAAATAAATCATTTTGTATTATTAAAATCTTCCTGTATCTGATCAATTAGGACCTGAATTTCCTTAAGGCGGCCTTCCATATGCTCTCTAGTCTCAGCAATTGCGTTATTTACTTGTTTCTTGAGTTCTCCTAATGTTTTTGCATCTTTCTTAATGAGTTCTTCCTTCTTGGATGTATAAACAACTACCTTTTGCTTCCTTTCTATATTGGATTTTGTATTTTGACCTCTTGTAAGTGATTTCGTTGGAGATTTAGCTGGGGAAGCTCCTGGAGACTTCGCAGGAGACTTATGTGGTGACTTTCCTGGTGATTTCTGTGGTGTATTAAGTCCGGATTTATGAGATGGGCTCTTTGAAAGGGAAATTGAGGCTCTGGATGGAGACTGACGTATAGGAGTATTAGATGTTGGTGTTTCTGTGATTTCCTGGTTTAAATTATTACGAATTAACTTTCCAATCTCTGTATTCGCCAAAACAAACGGAGAAACACCTCCGTTGACGATCATTTTGCCTCCAGGAAGCTTCTTATGATTTCTGATCTTTGCATCGGCTCCGTGGTCGAGAAGAATTTGAACGCATTCGGAGCTTTTTGCGATTGTAGCGCAATGTAAAGGTGTATTTCCGTCAATATCAGCTGCATTTACGTCAGCGCCGTTAATAACTAACTCCTTTAATATATCTCCGAAGGCATATTGAGCAGCGATGTGTAAAGCTGATTGTCCTTGGCTGTTTTGGATGTTAATAGTCTTTTCATCTAAAAGTAATTCGATATTTTGCTTTTGGTGGGAGCGAATTGCAAGAATAAGAGGAGTATCGTTATCGATATCTTTTGCATTTAATTTAGCGCCGTTGTCCTTCAGAAGTTGTATCATTTCTGTGGATTTGTATTGGGCAGCTAAATGAAGTGGTGTAACTCTCTGTTTGTTTACAACATTTACATCTGCACCGCATTCGATAAGAATAGAAGCAATGTTGATAAGATTATGTTGGACTGCAAGATGAAGTGGTGCCCAGAAAAATGTTCCAATTGATGCTCTATCTGGATTGAAAATTATTCCTGGATTTGCACCGAATTTTAGTAAAAGATTTAATGCATCGACGTTATTATTTTGTACTGCATAATGTAATGGGCTGCAATATGACTCATCAAAAACATCTGGGCTTGCTCCAAAATCAAGTAAGATATTTATACATGAGAGGGAACCATTTGCAACGGCATAGTGAAGTGGAGTAGATTTCTTATTGTCTTCTAGTTTAATATCTGCTCCATTTTCAATAAGTGCTGTAAGGATAATATCATCATCGATTTGTGCTGCAACATGAAGTGGTGATAAGCCTGCATTTGTCCTCATGTTCGGATTTGCTTGATTTTGAAGTAAGAAAACCACAAGCTCGTTAAATTTTCCCATAACAGCGTAATGAAGAGGCGTCCATTTCTCAGAATCAGCAACATCAACCTTAACTCCCTTCTGTAAGAGGGACTGGACAAGATGGATGTTGCCGGTTTTGCACGCTTGTATCATCTTTTCTATCTGTTATGAAATTCTGAAATTTTACGGTTTACATGAGCAAAAATGTATAGGAATTGAGTAATCTGAGCTTTTTACAGGAAATATAATATAGTATCAAAAATTAATCATTTCTGTCGATAAAACTCTTGGATAATCTTCCAAAAAAATCTCAAAAATGGAAAAATGATATTCAACTTCTAGAAAATTTAATGAGGATGTTTTATTGTCGTCTGGAAAAAGTGACAAAATTATTATTGTCGTCTAAAAAGGTGACAAATTATTATTGTCGTCTGGAAAAGTGACAAAATTATCATTGTCGTCTAAAAAATAGATTTTTCAAGCATGTTTCGGTACCTAAATAAAGGAAGAACATCAATTCCATCTATGTATATAGTATGCAAACACGCATGATATATGGAGTAGCTCTTTATCTGGCTAAAAATCCTATTATTTGAAAATTCGCATTGTCGTCTAAAACCGCCAGACGACAATAATAATACCCCAAATTCATAATTCATTTTAACAATTTTTTTTGGAATTTTTAGAAATTTTTCTTGTTGTGTATCGATCTAGCACATGGAGAAAATCATTGTTTTCTATCCAAATTTCTACTACATACAAAATGAGATATAGGAATTGAAATTTCTTGCAAGAAGATATATGGGGAGTGTTATAATTATATTAGCTTAGTAAAATATAAGCAATCACGTAAGTAATTTTGCCATACATTATAAATCATCATTAAATGATATTCTATTGAGAATTTAGAAAGCATTCGCACATACGAATTTATTAAACTATGCCCAAAAGAATGAATGTCATGGTTAACATCACATAATAATAAAGATTTGGTTTCAATATTGCCCAAAATTCGTAATCTTTCTAAAAAATCGACTGAATATGATTTTTATTGTAACTGGTGTCTAATTATTCTATTGGACAAAGTTTGTTGGAGATATTAATAAACGATCATTCCATTTTTCGCGCCAATGTTACACCCTCTGTCTATTAAATTCACATAGTCTAAAGTGGCATATTGAAAAATTTTTACTTTTGCCGTTTTGCACCCAGATAAATTTGAATACAGTTTATTTTTCGATGGCGGGAAGATCTTCAGTTCATTAATTCATAATGCCAGCTAAGAAAGGTGTTAAGAAGACAGCTACAAAGACAGCCGTCGATGGTGAACGCCAACATCCAAAGACACGTTCATCCCGTGCTGGTCTTCAGTTCCCTGTCGGCCGTCTTCACAGATTCCTCCGTGAAGGCCGTTATGGAGAACGTGTCGGTGCCGGTGCTCCAGTCTTCATGGCCGCTGTCCTCGAATATCTTACAGTCGAAGTTCTTGAACTTGCAGGTAACGCTGCCCGTGATAACAAGAAGACACGTATCTCCCCACGACACATCATGCTTGCCGTTCGTAATGATGAAGAATTGAACCAGCTCCTCTCCAACATCACAATTGCTTCTGCAGGTGTTGTCCCACACATCCACAAGGTTCTTCTTGGCAATCCAAAGAAGGGCAAGGACGCTTCTCAAACACAAGAATAAATTTGTTGTTTTATTGTTTCTTTCAATTTATTAATATTTTTTTATAACTTTTAAGAAACTTTTAAATCAATGAATCAATATTAATTGGTTGAATTGATATAGAAACTTCCATTAATGATTATTTAGACAAGCGCATTTCGGAAAAAAATTCTTTTAAAATTAAAAAATAAACTCTATATATTTACTATCAAACAATTATATTAGCTAAGCAATACGGAGTAGACAATAGTTCCTATAACTCATTGGAATGAATCTGAAGAATCGTAGTCTGGATAGCTCTTTTTAGAATGCTTATGCTTTTTAGTATTCGACTGAGCGTTCATGGCCTCAATATCGTTTGCATTCATCTGTTTTGGCCTCAATTCTTGCATAAATAAAGCAAGAATTCCAACAGCGATTGCAAACACTACAAATATCAAAATAAACTTCGCTGAATTATCCTCATCGTCATCAAAGTAATTTTCGCCTTGATCTTGATGATTAAATTGATTTTCTTCTTTTCGCTTCTTACGAGAAGGTTCTTGAGGAGTTGGAGTGGGATCTCTTTCTTCTTCATCATAAGAATAAGGAGGTTCGATTTCAACTTCGTCATTTTCAAAATCATTATCAGATTTAATGATAAAACCAGTATCAATAGGGTTTTCATCAACTCTATTCTCTAATAACAACTCCTGCCATCTTTTGTTGGGTCTTGGTGGCTCTACTTTAGGAGCAATTTTGATAATTTTAGATTTATTTCTAAAATTCATACTAAAACAAATATTAGATCTTCTTACTCTGAGCATACCAAATCTATGTGCTGGATAATCTTGTGTAACGTATATTTTTGGCTTAACAGAAAAGATTTGGTGCTGAGAAAAATCATTTTTGCCGCAATAGTAAATAAAACTCAATTCAGAACAATAAAGAAACGCGGCATGCTCTATTTCAGCTAACTCAGTTGGAAGATGGATCGATTTCAGTGAGAAACAATCAGAAAAAGTATTTTCAAAAATTTTTGTCACTTTTGTATTTGACAAATCAATTTTTTCCAAATTAAACATTCCATAGAAAGCGAAATCAGAAACATTAGTGATAGAAGAAGGCAGCTTTAGTGCCTTTATAGATGTATTGAAGAAAACTGTCTCATTTATCATCATGGTTTTGTTTGATAAAGAAATTGAATTCAATTTTGTACAATTTTCAAACAAATCTGACTCAATACGGATACATTCAAGTTAGACATATCGATGCTTTCTAATTTAACGCAATTACCAAAACATCCGATGCCAATTGAAGTTAAATTTCGAGGAAACTCAATTTTTTCAAGGTTTGTGCACTCGTAGAAGGCGAAATCCTTAATAACACGAAGATTTGGCGGTAAAATTACAGTCTTCAACCAAATGGAGCCTTGGAAACAGAACATCGGAACCTTCATAATTTTACTGCAATTTGAAAAGTCCAAAACCTCGAAGTTAGTATACGAGAACGTGTATTTCGAGATGTGTATCAAATTATCTCGTAAAGATATGTCCGAAATCGGGCAATATTTGAAACAATTTTCTTGAATTTTTTCTATCGTTTTTGGTATTTTTAGAGAATTGAGGTTTAAACATCTAAAGAAGCAATGCGAAGAGAGGACCTTGAAGGAGGAGCTCTCCAGGTCAATTGTCTGTACTTTGTCCATGTCGGCGAATGCTAAAATGTCAATTTCTTGCAAATTCAATTTGATATTTGTGATTTTTGTGAAAGAAAACACATTTTGACCAACAAAATATAGGTTTTCTGGGAATATTATAGTTTCCAATGAATTGCAATTGTAAAATAATTTGTCCTCAAATTTTGTCAGTTTTTTGGTCGAAGTGAAGTCAATTTTTTGTAAAATTCTACAATTAGAAAAACACTTTTTTCCTATGTAAAGAATTGATTTCGGAATGATCATATCAGAGACCATTGTGCATTTGAATGCTGAAGAGCCTATATATTCGATTGTATCTGATAAAACAACTTTGGAAAGTATAATTGATTTACAAAAGCATTCTTCACCAATTTTCTTTATATTTATACCTTGAAAAGAGATTTCTTGTAAATAGGAACATGATTTGAATGCGCAATTTCCTATAATTTTGAGAGATTTTGGAAATATTATTTTTTCAAACTTGCAGCTTGCAAATGAGTAGTTTCCGATTGATTCAATGGAATTAGGTAATGATATAGATGTTAAACTTGAGCATCCATTGAAACACTTGTTCGGAATTTCACGAATTTTATCAATTTTGTAATTAATTTTTTCCAAATTGATCATAAACTCGAACGCACCTTCCTGTATAGTTTGGAGTGTCTGCGGGATGCTTAATTCTCTTATTGCAGAATAAGCAAAGCATCCATTGTTAATTTGTAATAAATCCCTTGGTAAAGTAATAGATTTCAACAAGGAACAGTTTTCAAATACAGAATTATTGAATATTTCAATATGCGTATTCGAAAAATCCAATTCAAGTACACTGGATTTGCAAAAAGCTTTTGAACAAATAATTTCTACTGTTCGTGGAATTATTACATGGGATATTTGAGATTTAAAGAAAGCTTTGTAGCCAATGGTTCTAATGTATTGAGGAAGCTTTAGAACTCTCAAAGAACGTGTATCATGGAAACAAAAGTCTGGAATTACATCGAAGGTCATTTTCGAAAGATCTAACTTAACTAATCGATCAGATGCAAATGAATATTTTCCGATTTTTCTTATTGTTTCGGGAATAAAAATTTGATAAGCGGGAAGATTGTAAAATGCATAGTCAGTAATCTCTGATACCGTATACATTTTGTTATCATACTTGATGTTTGTAGGTAAATGAAATTCATTGAAGGGTTGAATTGAATTATTAAAAATTATGGATCCATTACCAAGATTTACATTATTATTATGATCAACTGTAAACAAACATTCAATACCATCAATGACTTGAGTTATCGTTTGGGAGCAAGAAAGAATTGAAAACCATAGAAGCATACAATAAGAAAAAATGAGCAAATTTAAGAAGTTTTGCAATCTTCATAAATTTTCCTAGAAACTACTTACAATCCACAAAGTTTAAACAAAAATCAATAATTATGATATTCATTTGATGAATAAAGTTTCATGATAGAAAGTTTCTTTTATTCCTTTGATTAATGGCTTAACGGAAATAAGAATAAAAATAGTTAAAGATAATCTATTTATAAACAAACAAAAATTAATAAACCGTGAGAAAGTATTTGCGTTTTCCAGCTGAAAGCTTACTAACATTCAATGGAATACGGTATGTTCTAATGTTAATTGTGGGCAACAAACTGCATTTAGTCTTTAATCCTGGATAATTGATTGGAATGTTGCTAAAATCAGTAAATGAATTTAAAAATTTGATTATTACGGGTTCAAATATGATATTCTGACAAATTAACGAACCTTTGTTTTGGAAAATAATTAAATTTTCTAAAACGATAATTGACGATGAAATATAAAATAGAGCATCGACAGTAACTTCATTTTTCAGAATATTAATGAAAGTAATCAAATTATCTGGCTGCATGTTCAAAAACGAGAGAATTTGGTTAGGCGAGGTATTGTTAATAAAATTAGAGTATTTCATTGCGAAGTAAGCTGATTCTAAAGTGAGAATTCCAGCTGCATATTGGGATGGATGATTAAAACTTGAATTAAAGGATAAAAATTGCTGAACACCGTTAATGGAAACGCAAGATTCTGTGCCTTCAAGTTCTACCTTGGCAGGACAATTAGTTATTGTAGTAAAGTTTAAATTTTGTCTTCGAGCAGATAAATAAAACGCTTGACCACCATAACCTTGCTTAGGAACTAAACAATCGGAAAAATATGAGTTCGATATTGAAATATTTGAGACGTGGGCATAAATTGCACCACCATTTAACATAGATTTGCATTTTTCGAAAAAACAACTTGAAATACACGCATTGCATTTTTCATGATAAAATGCTATTGCAGCACCTTGCCCATTGTGGGAAAGATTGAGAAAAATTGTGTTTTGAATGAGAGCTAATTGCGGATTAAATTCTTCTGACTTAAATGTGACGGGTTTGCCTCTATCTGGTTGTGTTTCTGCTTTATAAGTTTGAGAATTTAATATCAAAGAAAAAACATAAATCATAATAATTTTATTAGAGGGAGATAAAAATAAACGGGGTGACTCGATCCACGATGAGATGTACTCTCAATATTGATCTTAATTACCTCGCAAGTTGTAGCATAACCTCATACTACACCTGAATTAGAGTGGCGAATGAACTAGTCTTTGTCCGTTTACCATCTTATATTTTTGATTAAATTCAATAGCTCAAAGATATCGATAGTTAGGGTACCAATTATATCCCAATCGAATTAGTATCCAAAATTTATGATATGGCTGTCTCTGATTGTAACAGAAAAAAATCTGTCGGCGCTCCACGCCAGTTATTTTGAAGACAATAAGACCATTCAATTTTAATCGAAATATTTTGGTTGTAATTGCACACAGCTGATTATAAAATCATGAATAGCTTGAACATTTTTTCAATATTTACATTTTTAGCGGTCGTGACGTTTTAAAATCAAAATTATATAGAAAATACGATATATAATTTCATTAGAAATTTTACAATATTACGTCAGCAATAATTTCTATAAGTTTTAGTTTCATTCAAATTTTTAGAGCGATTGTTTTCCTTTTATACAACTCAATAATATTAATTTCATAATTATTTCGATTTTTATTCGATCAAATATTCCATTGAAAAAAATAAATTACTCTCACAAAAAAGTCAATAATTCTATTGAAACGGTATAAACGTGACAATGCTAAAGCAGTTCCCAGAGACCATCCACTCATATATTTTTAAGAAAGCAATAGGAAAAGGTGGATTCTCTACAGTATATCTCATTGAAAGCGAAGAGTATCATCAGCAGTATGTTGCCAAAGTTACTCCTATTGATGATCAACCAGTTAAAGAGGGTAATGTAGATCCTCTAGATGCTGAAATCACAGCTCTTATGAGTCTCTCTCATCAAAACATTATACGTCTATATGATCATTTTACTGAAGGGCATAACTTTTTTATGATTCTCGAGTATTGCCAACAAGGATCATTACAAGACGCTGTAGGTGAAGCTGGTCTATCATTGCCGCAGTTCATTACTTACGCTCGCCAGATTTTATCAGCTTTAGCGTTTGTTCATTCAAAGAACATAGCTCATCGTGATATTAAACCAGGAAATATTCTTTTAGATAACTCTGGACATATCAAATTATCTGATTTTGGCATCTCATTACGAAACGCAAATAATGTAGTTTCTACATTTTCTGGCTCTTTACTCTACGAACCTCCAGAAATTGTTCTTAAGAAACCACATAATCCAATGCAGGCAGACATTTGGTCACTTGGCGTTCTCTTTGCTTTTTTGATCAATGGTTGCACTCCATGGCATTGTGACAGCATAAATACCCTCAAAACAAGAATTTGTACTGCAACGTATAAGCTCAAGACCAATACACCACCAGAAATTGTTGACATCATTACTCGTATGATTGTTGTCGATCCGAACGAAAGACCAACTGCACAAGAACTCTTGAATGAAAAAATATTCCGAAAAGACTCAAGTGATAGCATCCCATCCGAGTCAGAAGAAATCCAAGACGTTCTCTCTCCAAAAGCCCGTGCAATGAAGCAATCTATTCCTAGAAATAAGACTTCTTACAACGCTATGTCAAAAGCCATAGGAATTTTTAAGATGAACCTCGCAGTCGGAAATAATCGTTTACCACGTATAAAATCTAGATACCACTCAGAATTATCAGATACTTTTGTTAATGCATAGATTCTAATTTTTGTTTGTAAATCGATTTTATTGGATATATTTTTCAATTATTTCAATTTTTTCCTTTCTTCAATAAAAATATTTGAAACCATGAGGCAAAAATCCATATTTATAGCAATGCAATGTTATATTATAATCAATAAAAAAAAGGAAATTATCTATGGTTTTGTTTTGTTTATGGGATATCTACAGCTGCTCAATAGTTATATAATATGAAACGTATGAAACAACAAATGGTTCTTTCAGTAAAGTATAGAAATATCTGTAGGTTCTTGATATTTTGGTCCAAATATCTGAAATCTTATTATCCCAAGATAATTATTTCGATGTTTTATGATGGTACTATCAAAACTAAAAAAAAAGTTAGAAAAATAACAATCTTTAAAATCTTTGGAGAAAAACAGTAGATATATTGAAATTCGTGTCTAATATTAGTACATGGATGAACGAACAGATAAATTTAGATTCCGAAATGGAATTTTGTCCAAATCGATCCAATATCAATGGAAAGGATGATGGATAGGATGTAGCCAACAATAACAATCAGTATTGGTGGCATAAGTTCAAATTTATTTAAAAACGGAAGAATTAGGATGCAAGGAACTGCAACAACGATAAAGTGGATCAATGCTATTGCGTATAATGTATTTGGTAAAAATATAGTAAAAAGCCAATTATGAAATATAGCGCGAAGGGTTTGCGTGAGGATAAATCCAACATTGATGTCAAATATGATAGCTGTGTAAGCATTACAGAAGACATCAAAGCAGAATTGCAATTCTACGTCTTGTTCAGTTGAGTGGAAAGTCTGTGGCGCTTTTCCAAATTTGTTAAGAAGATACCACGTAACTACTGCAAAAATCCCTCCTATTATGAAGTAATCAACTACCAAAGATGTAAAAATTCCACGAATAAGGGTGAAAAATGAATAACTTGTAAGTGGAAGAATGTACCAAATGAATGCAATCGCAATGATAAGAATACTTTGCAAAATAACAAAGGCCGGATCATCTCTACCCCATTTTTGTTTCGTATGCCTGTGCTTTTGTATAAATTTGTATAATTTTGAAGGATTTGTATAACTAATCGCTAGTTGCCAGCCAGCAGACTCGGAATCCATATTTGCAAACGATAATGTTTTCATTACGAACGAATTAGGCTCTGCACCTGGGAGAAACATAATTTAAACACACCGAAAATTAATTTTTTAGGGTCTAATCATATGATTGTCCCCAGAAAAAAATAACCTTTTGACGTCAGATGTCAAATGATTTTGCATTTATCATATTTAAAGCATACATTATAATTACCCATCTGAAGTTTTAAAAAATCTTTTTGTTTTCAAAGGATTTCGAAATGAACCAATTAATTTCTTTGAGTTTATATAAAAAATATATTGACATTCTACTGCTTAACTTATAACTCAATAATTTTAAGGCAAGACAAATTATGCTCCCCTCGCAATCTGCCTCATGAACCAATTGAGAACAATTCATAATATTAAACTTGCAGAATATTTCTCGACCTGATGAAGCTTTGTAATTTTTTTGGCATGAGAGTGCAGCATTTAGGTTCTTGAAAACTAATTATGAGATGTTTTCAACATAATATAATTGATATTTTTAAAAATGAACTTAAAATCATTTTCTTTGCATGTAAACCTGTCAATTCGCTCAAATTTAGAGAGATAAATAGGAAGAATAAATGTAAACCAAATATTTCACAATTTTTTAAACCAAGTCGAGGATTTATTATTGTACGTTATCGATTTCAACTTTTTCGACTTTTTTTGAAATCATTCTTTGTTATATAACGAAATTTTACGGATTGCAATAAAAAATTGAAAAGGATGAACGAAAATGACAAATAGAATATATACATTTTATTGGCACCTCATGACAAATAGAATCAAAAAAAATTTAAATAATTATAATATTTTCAATATTTGGGAGAATATTCATTTTTAAAAATAATATTATATTCTGCATTTTTATGCCGTAATTAATATGATTTCAAAGATAGTCATGAATATTTCATGTCTTTTGAGTTAGCTAAACTAATTGTCAGATTTCATTCAAATCTAATTTACCGGTGTGAATCGGTATTCAAAATTTAAATAGCAAACTTGTCAAAAAAAAATTAAAAATGAGTTCTGACTATGCTAAGCCATATTCGGACTTTATTGGAGCATTTGAAAAGCTTTTTCTTATAAAATCCAATGAATCTGTTGAAGACGTGTGCAATATCATCACAAATGTTTTAATTTCGAAATATCAAATTACCAAAAACCAACTCTCATCGATCATTTTAAAAGCATTTCTATATAATTATGCATCAAGAGAAAATTACATAAAAATTCTCAAGAATATTGGTTTTGATAATGAGGTACTTTCGAATTTAACATTCCCATTGGAGGATTCAGTCGAATTTATTGTTATACATGATTAAATTGATAAATTTAAGGAATATATTTCACAAAGAGAGCTTAATTTTGATATTTTTTTTTTAAATTCCTGATCCGAATGCAGGCAATCATTTCATATTATCATTGATAGAAACATGTGCATATTTTGGATCTGTAAACATTTTCTTTTTCTTAATTTCTAACAAAAATTATACAATATCGAAAAGATGTCTTCGATGTTCATTAATTGGTAGAAATACTGACATTATAAACGAATGTTTAAAGGGAAATAAAATGGACAAAGATTGCCTCAGAGATATTGTATGTTCACATAACAACGAAATGCTTGAATACGTTTTAGAAAGAAATATTTTTACATATAAAGATTTCGATGGAGAAAACTCCAATTCAACAGCTATTTACGAAGATATTATCAAATACCAAAACCTGAAAGCTGTATTTCTTCTTTTCGAAAGAGAGAAAAACTTCATAGTTCCATGGTGTGCTGCATTTCCTCAAACAATAGATATTCTCAAAAATGAAAAACTTCCTGATAAAATTGATTTTAAGAAAAGAAATATTCTACAATATGCATGCATGTCACAAAATTCCGATATCTTCAAACTTTTATTTACCTCAACTGATAAAATTGATGTAAATTATCATGATTTAGATAAAATGACTGCTCTTCATTTCGCTGCAATGTATCATAATATAGATGCAGCAAGAATTCTTATTTCACATGGAGCTGATGTCAATGCTAAGAATATTCTTTTTCATTTCACATCAATCATTATTTAATGAAATCATGTTGTATTTCATATCAATCATTTATATATTTAATTCTCTTTCATTTCATATCAATCATTATTCAATGACATTCTCTTTTATTTCATATCAATCATTATTCAATGACATTCTCTTTCATTTCATATCAATCATTAATATATTACATTCTCTTTCAATTAATATCAATCATTATTAAATGAAATATATTTTGAAATATTGAAACACCACTTTCTATTGCTATTAAGCAAAAGTCGATAGACATAGTCAGATTCTTAGTTGATCATGGCTCTGATGTCAATGCTAGACTTAATTTATTTCGTTTCATATCAATCATTATTATATTTAATTCTCTTTTATTTCATATCAATCATTATTATATAAATTTTTCTTTCATTTCATATCAATCGTTATCATATGACATTCTCTTTCATTTAATATCAATCATTATTATATTACATTCTCTTTCATTTAATATCAATCATTAATATATGTAATTCTCTTTCATTTCATATCAATCATTAATATATTTAATTCTCTTTCATTTTATATCAATCATTATTCAATGACATTCTCTTTCATTTCATATCAATCATTATTATATGACATTCTCTTTCATTTTATATCAATCATTATTATATGACATTCTCTTTCATTTCATATCAATCATTATTATATGACATTCTCTTTCATTTTATATCAATCATTATTATATGACATTCTCTTTCATTTCATATCAATCATTATTATATGACATTCTCTTTCAATTAATATCAATCATTAATATATGACATTCTCTTTCATTTTATATCAATCATTATTATATGACATTCTCTTTCATTTAATATCAATCATTATTATATTACATTCTCTTTCATTTAATATCAATCATTAATATATGTAATTCTCTTTCATTTCATATCAATCATTAATATATTTAATTCTCTTTCATTTCATATCAATCATTATTCAATGACATTCTCTTTTATTTCATATCAATCATTATTCAATGACATTCTCTTTCATTTTATATCAATCATTATTATATGACATTCTCTTTCATTTCATATCAATCATTAATATATGACATTCTCTTTCATTTTATATCAATCATTATTATATAATATTCTCTTTCATTTGATATCAATCATTATTATATGAAATATATTTTGTAATATTGAAACTCCACTTTCTATTTCTATTGAGAACAATTCGATTGATATTGTTAAATTCTTAATCGAACATGGTGCTAATGTCAATGCTAAACTTACTGAATTTCATTTTATATCAATCATTATTATATAAATTTTTCTTTCATTTCATATCAATCATTATTCTATGACATTCTCTTTCATTTCATATCAATCATTATTCTATGACATTCTCTTTCAATTAATATCAATCATTATTAAATGAAATATATTTTGAGTAAGTTTAGCCTTCCATTCTCTCAAGAAAATGGAACTTTTAACACTTTCTGGAAGAAATTGTTGTTTGCGAGACACCAAACTAGATCTAGTTCCTCGCAGACAACAATTCATATTAAAAATGGGAGAAATTTCGTCTGAATAACTTATCTTTTCAAAAGACATTGTGGAATCTAATTCTAGAATTTAAGGAAGTTTCCCAAAGCTCTAATAATTCAAATTTCCCAAAATCATGGGAAAACACTTGTTTTTCCCATAAATTTTGATCTGGTGAATGGCAACCAGAATTGGAAATTAGATACGATGTATGAGATTCATATGTGAATTCGATTATTACCATACTTTCTCTGATTCTGCCAAACGAAGCTCCTTGAGTAGGGTATTCAATATTTGTTTATACATTAATATTTATTTCCAAGTGGATAATTTTTTTTGTCAATTTTTTTCCTCTATAAATGGGGGAGAATATTGCAACAATTTCTCCTCCTTTTGAAGAACTAGAGACCTTTAATACATGGTATAATGTATTTCCAAGTGGATAATTTTTTTTTGTCAATTTTTTTCCCTCTATAAATGGGGGAGAATATTGCAACAATTTCTCCTCCTTTTGAAGAACTAGAGACCTTTAATACATGGTATAATGTAACTGTGCAAGCCAAAGGAAAGATGAAAAACGGTCAATACGATATTAAACAGAACGGGCCTTTTTTATTTTTCATTCCTCGCTCTCCTCCTCATAAGATTGAATTCCTCATATTTACATTAAACTATGAAATCATTGAAGAAGGCAATAATGATATCGCAATGGTAAGACTCGAACATATCTACGATACCGATATATTCCATCTTCTTATTTTAAATAAGGATAACGTAAAGAGTTTTATTGATGCGTTTAAGACCGCTCGAAGCGAATTATTGTTCACTTTTAGCAATTTACGCTATACAGAGTGCCAACTCGAGAATACAATGTATTTTTCGTGCCTTTCTAACACAAACCAAATTCTAGAGTCTAAGATAGGTCTGAGCGAAACGCTTGACGGCGCATTTAACTTAAATTGCGTTATAAAAACAAGAACTGGTTGGGATCCGAAGCTAGACATAAAATTATCCGCAAATACGCATGTAGAGCCAGCCCTCACTGCTCCAGATACCTTCGGAACAGCTCCACAGCTCGCTCATATTTTCCATGTAAAACATCAAAAACATATCAACGATAAACCAGAAGAATGCTTTGTAATCTGTACATCAATAGAAACATTGATGCATTCAGTGCTTTCTATTGCAAAATGGGCTCTTGATGCCTCAAAAAGACCAAGAATTTCTGATTCTTCCGATATCTTCAATCTGAATCCAAGACCTCAAGAAACTCCACAACCTAAGACAGAACCAACTGCAAAACCGTCACTTTTGACAGGTTTATTCTCTAAAATTAAACAAGAATTAAAAGGTGACTCACACCACAATGAAAAACCACCCCAACCAGTTCAGAAAGTTCCACAAAAAGGAACTACACCAGAAATACGTCAAACAATACAAAATAATCCAAATCAAAATAAAATTGAACAAATTACTCAACAAAAACCAAGTTTACAACCAGAAAAGAACAAATTACAACTCAACCCAGTCAAGCCATCTATCCAGATATCTCAAACTACTTCACAAACTTTAAATTCAGATTCAAATATTAAAAAACCTGTTTTAAGCATTAGTGTCGAAAAAGTATCAACAAAATCAAACGATCAAGAATTAGCAGATCATACAGAACCAGAAAAAACCTCGAAATTACAAGAAAGAGAAAAAAATATCCAATCTTTAAGAGTAGATACGATATTACCACCACCAAACATCGCTAGAAATGCTCACGCACACACAGTAAGCTATACCTCAACGAATCCTCCTGCAAATCAATATCAAGATATCACATCTCCGAAACCATCGTTGGCAACGGCTGCTTCTATGTCTCATGATGTTGTAAATTCGCATGGTCGTAGAGTTAGCTATCAAAGAAGGTCATCGGCCCAACTTTCACCTGAAATTCAAAAATCTATTGATGAAAGCAACATCATAATACAGGAACAAGTTAACAAGATCAAGCATTCATTCCCAGAACCAATCAACCTCGAAAAAGAATACAAGAAGATGAAGAAGTCCCAGGAAACTAAAAAGGAAGTTTCTGAATACAAACCATCGAACTTGACACTTTTTCTTCCGAAAAATTCAAGCAACGAACGATTATCAGAAATTGCCAAAAATGAGATTTTTTCGGAGTTAGCTAAATCGACTATAGACAATACAATGTTTAGTTCTTTAGACCAAATTGTTGAAATTTCTGAAGCCCAAGTAATAAATGAGACAGAAAAGACCTTTTTGGACAGGTTTTCGACAGATTTCTCATTCTTTGACTTCGACAAAGTCACCCTAGACCAGCGATTCGACCTCTATTCCCTTAAAAACCCAAGTTACTCGCAATGTGAATTTTTCACAGGATATGCAGAGATTGCTGAGAACTTAGCCCAGCTCGGTGATGGAGTTACAACAATAGAAGACGCTTCCAAGTTCATTTATTACACTGCTTCAGTTTTTATCAACGGATTAAACGATAATTTCATTACAGCATATAAAGAACTCGAAGAAAGAATCGATTTCATCAAGAAGCCTTTGATTAATGCTTCAAACTACAAGAATCCTTTAGAACAGAGCTCAATTTTCGTTCAAGATTTAATTCTCTCGAATGAGATCATTCCTTTCCTTTATCTCCTATCCAATGATATTTCCTTCATCTCCAAGCACTACAATCCTTACTCATTGCTCATGGATGAAGAATATACCTTATATGTTTATACTTCCATCGACAGAATCATGGCAACGAACAAATTTTCATTTACTCCAGACGCTGCCAAGCCAATTAACTTCCATAAGGAACTTAATCCTTTCATTCCTTACATGTTGCCTCAATATCAGCATTCGATTGACAGATTCGCCAAAGATTTCGGAGGAGGTGAAGAGATGCTGAAATCTTTTGTAAAATGCGTGGTCAGTCTCATACAAAGCGGCCATTACAACGACGACGCATGGAAATTCATAGAAGACGTCGTAAAGAATAATGACTATAAGGAAATAAAGGAATGGAAGGGTTTCGTTGAAGCGAAAAACAAATTTGGATATAATATTTTGTCACATGCGAAGAACTTAGAAGATTTCGTGACAATTGGGGTTAAATCGAAGGTCATGCACATTTGGTTCACGTTTATGATCATTTCTTGGCAAACTTCCGAGCAATATTACCCAGATGCTTCAATCATGAGAGATTATAAGAGAGCGAACCACGTAGTTGCTGTAATCGAAAAGGTAATGAGTATGGTCAAGACAGAAGATAATCATTCTGATGACATTTCTAAATAAAAATTTACTTTTTTTGATTTTGATTTTAAATATGTATATAATTGATTTTTATTTATTTGTAATGACATTCTTTCGTATAAATATGTATCGAATGAAAAATTTAATATATTTTATTTTTAATCAAGTGTCTCTATTTCTAATTTCTCAAAGTTCGGGATATATGTATGAACAACACCATCGACGTTATCTCCTTTTGTTGATAGTATAAATTGGTTTCCAGCTTCGAAAAGAAAATCTAATTTGCATGTTTCTGACTTTCCAATTGTAAATGGAGCAATAGCTATCTCTGAACCTGGTTTTCCATTCTCAATTGATGACATGTAAAGGACAACTCTGCCTTTTGCTGGTATTTCTTTTTTTACTGAGATACTAGCTCCATTAATAACGAGAGTAGTTTCTTCATCTGTTGGAACTGTAACTTTTATCTTTTTTCCATGTGGAACAACAATTGTCTCCATTTTTAAATTATCCTCTACCTGAATAAATTTATTAGACCCTAATTTAATATGCACGTTTTGAATATATTTGCAAGAAAAAAAAACAAAAAGAAAAAAAATGGATCCAGAAAGTCTTGATTATACTATAGTTAGTTGTTCTAGTGAAGATCCTCATTATCCGATCACTTCAATACAGAATGCTTCAATTAGAAGTAATGGTTGGCAATCACAACAAAATCCTTCTTATCCTGTATCGTTCGTTGTTGATCTTGGATCAAAAGCTGAAATAAAATCACTTCAATTCGTAAGCCACCAATCGAAAATCCCTGCAAGAGTGGACCTTTCCTATGGAGATAACGGTACTTTGTTTAAACCTCTTGGCTCGTTCCAATTTTCAGATAATTCACAGACAGGATATTCTGCTCGTGAGCTTAAAAGCGCAAATCTGTCGAAAGTTTCTACAAGATTCTTCAAGATAAGTATTAGAGGTTGCCATACAAACGCTAGTAACCCATTCAACCAAGTAGGCATCGTATCATTAAAGATACTTGGTAATGGTGGCCGTCCAGCATCTAGTCAGCGTCCAACAACGCCTGAATTAGACCTTGAACAAGAAATTAACAAATTAGAAAGACAGAAGGCAGATGCTGTCGCTAGAGAAGATTTTTCAGAAGCAAACAATATTAAAATACGTCTTAACGAACTCAAATCTCAAAAAGAAACTTTAGAAAATTTGAAAAAGAGGAAAGCCGAAGCTATTGCAGCTGAAGACTTCGAAATGGCTCGTATTGTTAATGACCAGCTCAAAGCTTTCAATAATAAAGACTACAGACCTTATACAACTCAAGCAAAACCTCGCGAAGAAATTGTGAAGTACGACAACAACTACAACTCGGCTCGTCATGAAAAGCAACCTCCAAAGAATATAGAGCCACCTCGCGGAAGACAGATTCCAAACGATGACGACGATAATTCTCCAATTCCTTCATCAAAAGACTACGAATTACCTGATTCATTTGATAATGACGCTTCTCCTGCTGGCTGCGCCATTCCAAGAGACTCAGATGAATCTCCTCGCCCAGGAAGATCAATTCCACGAGATAACGATGATATTCCACCTCCAGGACGTTCTATTCCACGTGATGAGAAAGATGTTTCACGGCGCGACCACAGGATTATCGAACCAGTTGAAGATGATGAAGATCAAGTTCAAGATCTCGAAGAAGAGCCACCGGAGCCGGCCAAGCCTATGAAGAAAGGCAAGTACGGAATGACTAGACCAATATTAGGCGGAAATATGGACCAAGCTCCACCACAAAATGATTATGAACCAGCAGATTTAAGCGAAGAGCGACCAATTCATCCAGCAGATGATTACAATGAAGATCCCAATGGCGGATTACGTGGAATTACTGAAGACAGTTCCACTCCGGATGAATTAACTCCTGCATCTCGCCAAGAAGCTTCTCTTTTGATCTCCAAGTTCGGAGAAGATGCTGTTGCTAGGTTTTACTCGAAGAACTGGCAGTTGAGAATCGAAGGCATCAACATTCTCGGAAAAAGAATCAAAGAACTTGGCCAAGTTTCATGTTACGAAGCATTTTGCTGTTTCTGCAAGATTATGAGATTTCGGATGAGTGACACACAAAAAGCTATTGTCAGTGATGGAATACAAGTGATACAAGACATCGCAGACACTAATGTCATTCAGAACGGAGATCTCGCAAGGGCAGTACAGTCAATGCTAGCTCCAATGGCCACAAGAATTGGAGGAAATTCACAACCGATTTCGGAGGCCGTTTGTAATTTCCTCGTTTTCCTTTGTTCGAACGGTTGTTCTGACATTGTTCTTCCTATTATTTACGGTGGAAAGAAGAACTCTGCGAACTGGAAGTCCCTTCAAGCAAGGATATCTTGTCTCCACGACATTGTTTTGTTCCTTGGAATGGATGCTGCCGATGGATTGAGTTTGGACCAAATGATGAAGTTGGCCGTGGAAGGTTTGGAATCTGCAAAATCTGAAGTAAGATTGGCTGCAACACAGTTAGTTGTAACATTGGAAGAAATGGCTGGATCTGCTATAGAAAAGTATATCGAAAAAATACCAAAGAGAACAAGAGAGGAAGTTTCTAAAGCAATAGAACAAAATCACCAGAAAAATCAAAATGAAGAAATGTAATATCTCTTTATTTTTGAAATCTTTATTATAAATCTGTAAATTATTGTATATATTTAATTCTTCAAACAAGCATTTTTTAAAAAATATGCGATTGATTCTTATTTCCACATGTAGATATTAACATCACTCCACAACATGAAGCTGCTAATATAACAACAATAAAGAAGCAGTTGAAAATCTTATTTTGCAAGCTATAAATATCAATCCTAAATAAGGCAGAATATTACACAAGTGAAGATATAACCGAAATTCTTATTTTACATGGGATAAAGATATTGAAACTTCACTTCATAAACTATATATAATCAGCCGAAATTATTACATCACATGGTGTATATCTCAAGATCAAGATAACTCAACTGCGCTTCAACCTGCAGCCGGTAATAACAGTTAAGAAACTGTTAAAAATCTTTTATCACTTGGTTCTAAGTTTATTTATATTGTAGCAATAAAGTATTCAATGTTGAGCACTTTAAATCACCACGCGTGTAACACACAATCTCTTTATAAGCCAACATATTAGTCACTATTAAAATGAAAAACAAACTTTGCAAATATGAAATAACAAACAATATATTTTATTGGAGGATTTATGTTTTATGCATATACAATGAATGCTATTTTTCATTCTTATTAGAGCATTCATTGTTACAACTTTGATCAGGATGCCATCCAGCAATATTTTGATTCATATTTTGTGCAGTTCATCATTCAAAGCATTTTTGAAATTTTTTGCCTTGAATAAAAATTCAATCACAAATGTTAAAATAGACAATTGATGAGTTTCTAGTAAATTTCAACGTGAAAAAAATTTTGACTGGTACGAGTTCATTTTTCTTTTCTATTTTTTTCATTATGGAAATCACAACTCAGGATGCTATTATGGTCTTCGACGATCAGGAATATGAAGCTAAAGAAGCCTTTTTATATCTCCAAGAAATTTACAGCGTTTCCCACCCAAATATATTTCATGAAATTTTACAACATGTAAGGATTAATGAAAACATCGACGCTTATGATGTGTCATGGATTTTAAGATTCATTGGCAGGGCTTGTAAATATTCCTTCCTTGAAAAATGCGCAGATGTTATTTCTTCAGAATCTTATGATGAATATGTTAAAAATATTCTCGGCCAGAAGAAGAACGAATTGCTCCGCTTTGAAAAGCCACAGTATGTGCACCAGGCAAGTGCATTAGCCGCTTCATCAAGTCCTACAAAACATACAGAAGTTCCTAACAATCCGAATTCAAGTTTCAACAGAATAATAAATATGCTCAAAAAAGAAAGCCAACTGAGTACAAATAATACAAATATTGCAAATTCCGCTCGTTCAAACAACGGAGAGAACGTTTATCATATTGCTGCAAAAGATCTCAATATTTCCCTTCTTAGTAACATTATCAAAGCAAATATCGATAAAAAGTTGATCAATCAGATTGACAATGACGGAAATACACCTCTTCTAGCCGCTCTTAAGACTAAGAGCACAAACTCGAAGAATGATGTTGTTACTCAGCTTCTCAAAGCAAACGGTGATCCAAATATTCAAGATAAAGATGGAAATACGATTTTACACTTGGCTGCAATGAATAAAGATGCAGCGTTGTATACAATTATTACAACATTATGTGACAATGCTGATGATTCTTTGAGGAATAATGCCGGACAGACTCCAATGGAAATTTATCCACTTTTGAAGCCAAAGAAGATAAGTGGGTTCATCTCTCTATCTTCGGCTGATTCAACCATATAAAAATTTTATATATTTTAATAAATTTTTTAAAAAATAAAATATTTTAAATATTCAATTTCATATTCTCTTGACTACTTTGAAAACTCATAAATTCATCTCAAAAATATACTCAACAAGAATATTGAAAATTCAATCCTTTCAAATTGTTTTTAGGGATTATAAACTCATTAAAAATGACTATGAAAGTTTGTGTTGATGAGTATTTTTAAATATCTGAATGATTAATAAATAATCAAGAATGATAGAGAATTAACAATCAATAATGATAGAGACAATTAAGTAAAAATAATGTGGACTTATTGAGTATGAATTAACGCAGCTTTGCTTAATATTAAAATATTCTTGATAAGCAACAGTAATTCTGGCTTGACCATTACCTGAGTATTGAACTGTGTTACCATCTTTCATGATGGGGTTCACAAACACAAATCCAGAATAGTGGTATGGTTTCCCGGTGTGGACCGGATTATCCAATGTATAATTTTGAGAAATCGCATCACAACCTTTGTATCCTGAAATAAATGAAGAACCCCCTGATCCGGTACCGACACAATTGTTAACAACATTTCCAGCACCTCCACCATAATCTCCCCCTCCACCACCTGATCCATAGTGGGCATCGAAAGGATTTGCTCCTATCCCAAATGATCCGTTCATAATTGAACTTGGAATTTTATTACTCATTAAACCAGAGATTCCGCCTAAAACATTGCTGGCGCCAGTAGCATCGGTTAAAGTGTCTGCAGATGAGCTCACTCGATACTGAGTGCCTTTGTAGCCGCTGATAGCGCCGCCATGGCCGCCTCTAACTATACTTGAAACAGCATCAGTTGACCCAGCACCGCCTGCGGAAACGATTATTCTCGATTTCAATGAGTTGATTTCATTCCATTCTCCATATATGAATCTCATATCGCTTGCTCCACCACCAGATCCCGAAATAGAGTCTTTGGATGGAGAGTATGTACCTTTTCCACCGCCATTAAAGGTTGGTGGACCATCAAATTTCCCTTTTTGACCAAGATATATATATAAAATACGTTTCTTCATTAGTGGAAGGAATCCCGATGTATAGGAGCCATATCCACCTAATGTGGGCTGAGAATCATAGTAGCCACCTGATGCTCCCCAAAGTTCTATGAAGTATAATCCAGGTTTAAACTCAATTTTGTATGGCATGCAAATATTCGTATCTTGACTGCATGGATAGTTGAGGGTAACTGAATTATCTTGAAAATATGCAAATTGATTATCCGGACGGGCATCTTGTAGAGTGATAGTAAGTGATTTATTTGCTAAATACAATGAATATTATTTCTAAGGGAATTTGATAGCTCAGCAAACAGAAATGTTATTATAATTGATTTAATATAGGTTAATGAAATTAATTTTAATTGGACTTGTGAATTAATTGAATGATCAAAGGGAATATGCTTTACATGCATGTAGTATATGTGCTAATAATGGGTAGTTATAGTGATTGCTTGGGTATTAAGATGCTTGCAAAATGAGGATTAATCAATCATAAATATGAATTAAAAAGCAATAATTATGCACTCTTATTCTCGCAAACAGAAAATAAATAAGAAATATAGGATGAATTATGCTTGGTTTAATGATTTGGCGATTAATTTGATATTTAATTCCAAAACATGAATTGAAAAATATCAGAGAAAAATGCGAGTTTATTATAATCCATGAAGTGCATGTACACAACAATTTGCATTTTACTGTCAATTGATGAGTAATTACTTGGGTTATTTTAGCTATGGATGTTTAAGAATAGGTTATCGCCTTGTTCCTGTTGTGATTTTCCTTTTGTATTATATACCTAATATTGGTTGCTTCGAAAGCTATAAAATTGAAATCTTTTTGATTAGAAAGCAAGGCAACTTTCCTAATTTTATATGAAATTTTTATTGGTATACTGAGTAATCACGTATTTGATTATTTATAATCTCTAAAACCCAAATCATTTAGATTTAAAATAATTTCTTGAATTCTTTCGAATCCAATGAAATATGACTTTATTTGGAGATCTATTACATACTAGTAGTATTAATTTTTGATGATGTGATATTTTGTCACTTTTCAAACATCAGATTGATTGAAAGAAATTTTTTCTAAATGGAGATATCCGAAGTTTTCACGAATGCAACAAAGATAGGTAAAGGAACTTATGGAACCGTATACTCTGCTATTTGGACATCTACCAATGAAGTTGTTGCAATCAAGAAAATGAAGATAGAGAGCTCAAATGAAGGAATTCCATGTACTTCATTACGAGAAATTGCAATTTTGAACAACTTTAAGCACAAGAACATAGTAGAGTGCAAGGCAGTAATGCATAGCAAAAACAGTATTCACGTAGTTTTCGAGTATTGCAGATGGGATTTAAGAAAATTCATCAAAAAAGAAAATTATAGTATCCAATACTCACAAGTAATATCATTTACGAAGCAGCTCTTAGCAGGATTGAACTTCTTACATATGAATCATATCATTCACAGAGATATCAAGCCTCAAAACTTACTAATTACAGAAGATTTATGTTTAAAACTCGCCGATTTCGGACTTTGTAGGACTTCGAACATACCGACGAAGAAACTCTCATCAGAGGTAATTACGAGATGGTACAGACCACCCGAATTAATAAAGGGAAGTACGAAATACGGATGCGAAGTTGACATTTGGAGCGCAGGCTGCGTAGTTGCAGAGATGTTAACGGGATCAGCGCTGTTTCCATGTGACAGTAACGAAGAAATGCTAAATGAAATCGAATTTACGCTGAAAAATGATTTTCAAATTTTGTATCAGAAGTTGAACCATTGTGATAATGGAATGTTCGAGCTAATAACAAGAATGCTTGATCAAAACCCTGCTACAAGAATCACAGCTTCTGAAGCTTTAAGACATAGAGCTTTATCTTAACATAAAAAAGTGACAGATCTATATTTTTTGTAACAAGTGTAAAAAAAGTGACTTTATTTTTTTTTTCTAAAGAAAAATTTTGAGAGGTAAAAAGCGGTTATGGCGTGTTGGTCCTTCCTTTTTAACTTATGGTTCGCACATCCGTCCTTGCTGATGCTCTCAAGGCTATCACAAACGCTGAACGCCGTGGTATGCGCCAGGTCCTCATCCGCCCATCCTCCAAGGTTATCATCGCCTTCTTAAAGGTTATGGCTTCTCGTAACTACATTGGTGACTTTGAGGTTATTGATGACCACCGCTCTGGCAAGATTGTTATCAACCTTCTTGGCCGCCTCAACAAGTGCGTTGCTATCTGCCCACGTTTCGATGTTGGCCTTGGTGATCTTGAGATGTGGCAGGCTAAGCTCCTCCCATCTCGCCAATTCGGCTATGTTGTTCTCTCTACAGACAAGGGCATCATGGATCATGAAGAAGCCCGTAAGCACAACGCCGGTGGCAAGATCCTTGGCATGTTCTTCTAAACGAAAACACCAGGGTATTACAGAATATTAATACCATAATATCTTAAAGCTTTAATATTATTAATTACAATTCTTAGCTTTTTTTAAGATTTTTATCGCATTAATTCGTTATTCAACAATTTTCTATCACTTATTCTTTGTTTTTATTGCTTGCTCTATCTTTTTGCAATTCATGGGATTCGTTAAAAGCAAGAAAGAAACGGGATAAAAATTGACGAGTTAATATAATGATTTGTTCGCTCCCAGTTGAAAATTGGTATTTACTTGATTTAAAAATGAAACTGTAATCATAAATGTGTATAAGAAACATAAAATGGATCCAAATAAAAAGATATATAAAAAAAGAATTGAAATTAAATGGGTTAGTGGGTAAACTGTGTATCATTTTAGATATATAAAGATATGTGAAGTAAATAATAAAAATCATTTTTATTCAAAATTAAGCAGAATGGTAAAGTTGATTTCTTATTCAGCCTTCTGAGATTTGTGGTACTTTTGGAGGATGCAATTCTTGCATGAGTCAAACTTCAATAAGTAAAATGGAGTAAGAGCCAAAACGTTCATAATTAAGAGGCCAAGGAAGTAGTCTGGGATGGAAAGGAAGAGATAGAACAAGAACATAAAGATGAACAAGTTTGTGCAAATTCCCAAAAATCTCTTTTCTGTGACAGAGCTGATAGCAGAGTTGTATAAGTTAACTGCGACGAGAATAACTGTTGCAAACCATGAAGAAATTTCCTTTAAGTCATGGTGTGGAGCTTCACCGATATCTGAAGGATTGATAATCTTGAAGAAAATTGGTGTCCACATTGATCTTGAGAAATAAAGTAATGCAATGATAGCAAGGCCAGAATATGTTGGAATAGCCAAATATTTGAAGAGGAGATAAACTAAGTTAATAAGAACGAAGAAAACAGCTCCCCTCCATTTAGCTGCGCCGAATGCAATTGTAGCTTCAAATTTTGTGATCTGGTCTTCATATGGAAGTAAATGATCATAAAGATGCTTTGCAAAAGCTTTTGCCGCTTCCATTCAATAATTTATGTAAATAAAATTCAAATAAAAAAAATTTTTGTTGATTGTTTGTTAAAGTTAAATATTCATACTATAGATTCAGGATCGATTAGAAAATAATCTTGGGAAGTTAATTTGTTTGCAAATTCTTTAGATAAAGATGATTATTGTTTTCTAATAATAAAAATATGACACATAAATAGGATTCTTGTTATGTTATTAAATTGTTTTGGAAATCAAGCGTTAATGCTGAATTCTCATTTTTCTTCATCAAACCTTGGAGATAGCCAATTATAACTATTGATAATATTAGATATTTCCTTTTGTTATGCATGTACAAGTTATCTAGCCCCAGAAACACATTCCATGATGGGCTGAATTTAAAAAAATCGGTTTTATTTTTATAACATTGATATGGACATGTGTGCAGAATATTCCCGAAATATTGCAAAATAATCTCAAATCTCATGTAAGATTTTCAGAAAAAAAATTTTCATTGCAAATTTCGTTAAAATTTCTATTATGAATCAAGGGTATAAGATTATTTCTCTACGATTTAAATATCAGAAGGGGCCTCTCTCTATCAAACAGAAGCTCCCTTCAGTGAAAAATAATAGGAAATACCCTTACAGTGCTCGAGAAACAAAAAAACAAATGTTTCTTGAACCAGAAGATGAGTTTCAACAACCAGAATATCTTCAACAGCAAAAGAATATCTTAATATTAGAAATAAATCAGCTTAAATCAGAAATACAACCCTTATCAAACAAATATAATCAACTTTTAGAAGAAATGAATAAAAACAACACATCAGATAGTGATCAGAAATCGTCAGAGTTTAGTCAGGAGAACTATATTTCATCACAGCTCAAAGAACTTCACCAAGAAAACGATATTCTCATCGAAGACTTGGCAAAACTTAGGCGAAATTATTCAACACAAATGGAGAAGAGCTTAAATTCCGATATATTATACCAAAAACAATGTCTTGAACAATTACAAATCGAGACCAATCAATGTACTTCTTTAAATGATAAAATTCGTGCACAACTTGACGAGATACTCAAGGCTGACTACACATATCTGATCCAAGAACATAAAAAGAGTATAGATTTATTAAAATCACAATTATCAACTCTTCAAGCCGACGAATCCAAGATGATTCAATCATATATGGAAATTACTAATGATATGTCAGTTATTACTGAAATGGAACGTACAGTTTCCCAAAAAAGATCTCAATTAAAGAATCTTGAGCATCAAAAGATGCGAATTAACTTGGAATTGAGAAGAGTCAAGAAGGACTATGAATTTCAAGTGATGAGACTTGAAAATGAAATAGCAGAAAAAGAAAATTCGATTAGAAATAAATTGTCAAGAGATAATTGGAGAAAGTCTATGTCATCGTATTCCAAGTCAAAGTCATCATCTAATTCTTCTAAAATGGAGTTAAATTCAACTCAAGAAAATAATTCTCAGTCAAATATCAAAGTTGAAGAGCCACAATCACCTCTTCTCCAATCTCCAAGGGTCAAATTCCACGAATCAACCGTTGGACATGGAATTCCGTTGGATTATGCAATAGCAAATTCAATTATTCGACCTGAAATAGTAGACGATGATAAAATAGTGTTTAATAATACAGATAATGTAGATGAGGATGATCTGCTTGATCTTGAACCTCTTATTCCTTCAATGATAAAGAAATAAGAAAAAAAAATAATAATATTTTCAATCTTGATAGTATCTAGATAACTTGTAGTTATTTTTATCTATCAGACTCATGAAATGATATATAATGTTATAAATAAAATTATAAATTTTTAATTATCTCCTTTTTCTTTGATGTTTAGTCACTATATATTACTAATTCGTGAAATATGTTATTTCATTACATCAATTAATGGCAATATGCAATTTCCAAATTGACAATTTTATCAAAGTAATTATTTTCAAATTTTGATTATATAAAACAAAATATTAGAAAATAAAATAGTTAAATTTAAATTAAACTTTAGTTTTTGAGCTTGGTGAGAAAAAAATTGAATGGAGATTAGTGGGGATGTACTTATACCTCCATTCCGCTTTTCAGCAGTTGAAATTGATGTTTTTCGTGGAGCATACCCAGTTAAGCTCAACTTTGGGTTTCTTAAAACTCTAAAACTTAAAACAATGATATCATTAATTCCAAATCCAATTGATGAAGACCTTGCAGAGTTCTGCAAAAACGAAAAAATTGAAAATCACTATTTTTCCGTTCCTAAATTCATCGATCAAATCATTATGACACCAAATACAGTAACACAAATTTTAAATTTACTTTGCGATAAAAATAACCTACCAGCCTACATACATTGCCTTAATGGTGGTCACTCAACTGGTTTAATTGTAATGTGTTTAAGAAAATTACAAATGTGGAGTCAGAGAGCTATGTTTGCAGAATTCAACAGATTTATTAATACTTTTGAATCATGTGAAGAAGCTTTTGTCAACAACTATAAAGCTACGTTCGAATTAACGTCAAATAGACCGCAATGGCTAATGCATTTAACTGGAAAGAAATCTCATCCTACATTACGCGTTATATTAGCAAATGAGACAGAATCAGATGATGAAATAGACGATGAAGAGGAAGATGATTTGATTAGTTCAACAGACGAAATCAAGATTAGAAATGAGTAAATTTTTGTTATATATATGGTAAGTAAACAATTATTATTAGATTGATTTTTACAGATCTTGTTAATATTGAGATTTTTTTTTTCATTTGAGATAATAAGTTAATAAAGCATGAGCACTTTAGATAGTAATATGTGGTATCAATATATTCTGCACCATTCAAGAGCAACATGGTTAAATTTTAATTTTATGATTAAATTTTTGGATTTCATGCATTTTAATTATGGAATATTCAGACATCTAATATGCTTGTCCAATTGATTTATTTGCAAAGTCCAAAATCCCTCATGATTCATCTGTAACAGAATTTTTTTTTTATGTTAAACATTTGTTGTCTATATTTCCCTAAAATTAATATCATAACTTACTTTGTACTTGTATCACTTGGTGGTGTTTTAATGTTAGCATTAATGGCTATCCTCTTATCAAAAGGACTGTCAGCAAATCTCGGTAATCTTGTTCATCCAAAAGAAGAAATTATCAAAACGTTATGGATCAATGCTATAATATACTTCATTCTTTGTATTTTGTTCTCCATTCTATTCTTTTACCGCTTTATGCGTCCAGCTTCAGTTGATCAGAAACAAGTTGAAGATGACAACGCTGAAATTCGCAGTCTCAGAGAAACGCATACCGCTCAAGAGTAATACGAAAACAAATCATTGTTATCTCAAATAATTATTTTCAATCAATGTTTTGTTTAGTCGAAAATGCTTAACTTAATAGCATATTTAACTAGATACGATTATATTTCTTTACTCTCTTAGATGTGACAGAGTTCAAAAATTTCTCAATATTTCAAAAAAAAAACTGACATATCCGAAATTTTCTAAAAATTTACCTTTCAAGCAAATGCCATACATCAGTTTCATTTTGTATGATTTCCCATATCATCCTCGATGTTAAGAGTTTGCTACACATGAAAATTTCAAAGAAATTGAAATTTCATTTTTAATTTCAAGCTATAATTTTACTTTGTCTCGTACGTAAATTGTACTTTACTTTGTAATATTAACGATCATAGAAAATATATATTTAATCAATAGAGAATCTGCCAAAATCAATATAAAACCAACATGTATAGATATAGTACCAATTCTGCATCGCAATCTCTAAATACATACTTTAGCATATTAAAGGAAAAGTTCGAAATGATTCGATTTGCATTTGAATTAAATCAAACTAATTACGGTAGTGTCTTTGAGATTTCTTACATCCTCGTGTGATTTGTCTTGTAACCAATCTTCTAGCTGCAATTACAAGTTATATGACCTTTTATAATTAAATATATAAGTTGTAATTTCTTAAAATTCCAACTCGAAGATTGATATCTTATTGTGCTTATCCTTGTAATGTTGTATCTATAACCATTAGCATTTGATATATGAATAAAAATATGAGAATAAAAAATCTTTAAATATGCGAACATGCACATATATGATTGCAATAGTTTCACTAAAAATGAAGTTTAGTAATAAAGAATCCAAATTTGGGACTAGATAATTTCTTTCTCATTCGAATGAGCTTTTTTTCCTAAATTCAGGCGTCTTTTCATAGCAGAATAAAAATATTTTATGCAATTTGATTATTGATGAAGTCATAGAACCCGAGAAACAAAATTTGACAACTTCTATTTTCGATTCGAAGTAAAAATTGTATCAGTTTCATTTTACACAACAATGGATTAACCGGAATTTAGTAAGAAAAAATCCAAAAAGTAATAATGAAAGTTGATTTCGAATTGGATATTCATTCTCTTACATTTCATAACACGTGGTACTAAGAATATCGATGGTCAAAATTGACATGCGTTATGATAGAAATGGCGACAAATTTAATATCTTCCTCTATGATAGTTCTTAATAGATGCTTATGGTCTATCTGAAATCAGATGCCACTTAAGGGAGGCTTCCGACCAGAAAGCCCTCTCAATTTTTTGTGATGTTTACACCAAAAGTGAGATTCGTTAAGCGTTTTTCTCGTTGAATATTGAGTTTCCCGGATTTTAAGTTATTCATAAAGCTTCTCTATATTATACCCTATCTACTGATATGTTTATTTTTGAAAAATCTCTTAAATCGACCTGCACTGAATTTTTTAGGGAAAATTCGAAATTTTATAGGCGTTTTTTGTAACATTTTTTTCAGGAATAAAATCCAAAAAATAATTTTTTGAAGAATCATTTGGGTAGAATACTTATCGAAAATTATATTTATTATAATTTTGGTCGATAAAAATAAGCGGATTCAAAACTGGCAAAAACCCTTTCGGCAATTTGTGGACGATTCCGAACCCCCTCATTTTTGAAATTTAATAAGAAAAATAGAATCTTTATTAAATATAGATTTTAAAAAACTTGGTTATAAATTACGAAATTTTCTCACGTGGGCTAAAAAGTGACAATTTGGTCGGAAGCCACCCTTAAAAAATTCTCACAATTTTACTTTTTGAGAGGAAAGGCAATTTTTGGTCTCTCAATTTTCTGCAGCCGCTTTTCATTTTCCTAATGAAGCATATCAAATGCGTTGTTGTCGGTGATGGTGCTGTCGGTAAGACCTGCCTTCTCATTTCTTTCACTACAAATGCTTTCCCAGGCGAATACATTCCAACAGTTTTCGATAACTACTCCGCAAACGTTATGGCTGAAGGCCATCCACCAGTTAACCTCCAGCTTTGGGATACAGCTGGTCAGGAAGATTACAAGAAGCTCCGTCCACTTTCCTACCCACAAACAGATGTTTTCCTTCTTTGCTTCTCCTTAGTCTATCCAGCCTCCCTCGAAAACATCGAGACAATGTGGATCAAGGAAATCAAGGAGTACTGCCCAGACAAGCCATACATCCTTGTCGGCCTTAAGTCCGATCTTCGTGATGAGTTCGACCAAAGAGCAGATGAACTTCGTGCTAAGGGCTTCGAACCAATCCAGCGTGCTAAGGGCGAAGAAATGGCTAAGAAAATTAACGCCTGCTCTTACATAGAATGCTCAGCTCTTAAGGCTTACAACCTTACAGAAGTTTTCGACGAAGCTGTTAAGTATGCTCTCGATCCTCCTGCACAGCAGAACCAGAAGCAAGAAAAGAGCGATACCAACTGCTGCGAGCTCATCTAAATTGTGCTTTAATCTTTCAAAACATATTATATTTTTACCCCTTTGGACAACATGTCATTATGGCTTAAATATTGCATTTGATTTTTTTTTACTCGTCTTCTATTTATTTTGGGGGATTGTAGTTAAATAAAAGAGAAACAATTTCGATTTCGGTTAACTTTTCATTTCATTTTTTCGAGAGTATTCCTGCATTTTATCATTGACAGGTTCGTATTCTTTCCGCTTCAATAGCCGGTCTCTATCAATTGCCTAATTTTTCATTTCGAATAAAGAAGATTAATCAACTGTAACAACTACCGGCCGATATGGTTCCCATTCAATTTCTGGCATAGAAAGCATTTACGTGTTTGGATTTTTGTCCGTTTTTTTTACTTCTTCAATAGAGTCGACACTATTGAACAAAAGGAAAGAGCATAATAAGTAATTATTTGTTTGTAATACAAAAAATATAAAACGACTCTAATTGCTTTTTACTTTGAGATTCAAAATTTTCAAAGTAGTATATGTTGAAGGGTTGTGTGACTTTTTTTGTTACATCTATATATAGACGATGCATTAAAATATATTTATTTATAAATCATTAAAAAATTAACATTAATTTTAAAATAATTTATTTTTTTATCTTTTATAAAAGAAGCTATATATAGATGATGTCAGATATTCCGCGATTAATTAAACATCATTTAAATCCTGAATGGGTTAAACTTCAATTTAAAAATGAAGATTGTGAATTATTAAATGAATATGAAAGCCAAAATAAGCTAATGAGGTATAAATATAATGATAAAGAATATTTAATTTCATGGAATCAATGGAGTCATAATCAAAGACCTCATAAACGAGAAGAAGAAATTGAAAATAATGAAATGGAAATCATTGATGACATTAAAGAGGATGGAATTCCTAAATTTTGTAGAAAAACCTTTAGAACTAAGTTAGGAGCATATAAACGTAGAGTATTAAATCCTGAATATCTTAAACATCAATTTAAAAAGGAAGACTGTGAATTATTAAACGCTAATGAATATGAAAATGCTAAATCAAAACTGAGATATAAATATATTGGAAGTGATGAAAGGTGTAAAGATAAAGATAAAGTTTATTCAGTTTCATATAATAACTGGCACACGTTAGGGATAAGAAAACATTTAGGAGATTATGGGAAATGTTCCGAATTCTTCAAATCTAGTATATACGAGAGAGTAAAAGAAATTAGAAATAATTATTTTCATGAATAAAAGATTCACTACCATAATGAAGTAAAAAATAAAAAAATTTTTAAAGTTTATTTTTTAAAAATTCATGTCTTACATTTTTGAATAATTTATTTTTTTATTTTGTATGAAATGAGCGTCAAAACTAACAACGTTAAAAAATTAGGATTCACAAACGAGGAAATAAAGGATATATTAGAGGAGGTAGGTTATGAAGTTAATAAATATTATTTAAGAAATTGTCAAAAATTCGCGGAGTTATTAAATGATTTAGATTATGATGGAAAAATGAATAAAGATGATGTTATAAATTTCTTATATCCCACATCTGAAGAAGAAAAACCTAAAGAACCTGATGTTTTCCCTGAATATTATGAAGAACGGATTAAAGATGATGATGAATACAATGAAATTGAAAGACTGAAAAAAATAAGAGATGAAATAGATGAAAAAATTAAGGAATTAGGAGAAGTTGAAAAATATAATGAAAATGAAGTAGAGGGTTTAATGAATATCCCAGCTTCAGAATCAGAAGTTCAGAAATCTCATGAAGAAAGATATAAAAATTATGTCTCAGAATCAACACAAAATTTATTAGATGGTGAAATAGACGAAACACTTTCAGAAGAAGGTACTAAATTTATTCGTAAACATAAGTTACAATTTATTGATAATGAAAAATACCCCTGTATCCTGCTTTCACCACCTTTAGATTCCGAAAAATTCAAAAAAGCTCTTAAAAACGTGACATATGCAACTAATACGATTAAGAAAGAAGATCATGATATTTACACAAATTATTATTTAAATAAATGCACAGGTGTTGATAAAGTTTTTGATTTATTAGATAAAATATCAAAAGAAACCATTGGAACCTATAAAATTTTGTGTGATTGTGGTTTCATTATTGAAGATACCAATAATGTTTCATATGAAAGAACAGCACCGAAGGAAGACGAAGTTGAAAGGTCTATACCATTCGTTATTAAGAATATAAAAGATATGAAAACGTATAAGCATTATATTTATTCATTTATTTCAGAAAAAATGGAAGCAACCCATAAAACATCTTCTCATCATTTTATAGCTATTCATACATTCCTTTTCAAAGTTGTGAAATTAAATAAGACAGGAATTAGATTTAATGTATCAGGGTACGCATTCTTGAGTAAATTAAAATGTATTCGTCACGTCGCAGATGATAAAAATTTATGTGTTCTTAATTCATTTTATGGGCTTTAAAAAATAAAGTTTATTTTTATTTATTTTTTATTCTTACATAAATGAACAAAAAAGTTTGTCCATATTGTAAAGAAGAAGTTTATTCTATCCGTGATGATCCAGAAAGGAAAAACCAAAGAAGATTTTTAAAGCATTGTGAGAAATGTAAAGAAAATAATGGAAGATTAATTCAAGACGTTCAGTTGCAAAAGACACAGCAACCATATGCACCACATATTACGAAACAGAAGATATATCAGTGGTTATTAGCTCACAATTTGCAGAAATATTATAAACCGACAAGATATTATATTACTTTTGACTTTGAAACATTAGAGACTAAAGAAGAATTACAACTTTCTGAGTGTGCAACTTTGAATGCTTACTTAAAACCATTCATGGTATCATCAACGGTTAAATTAAACGATAAAACATATACGAGGAATTTTTGCTTAACTTCGAGTGATTCTTTTATTTCTGATTGGATTGAGTTTTTATTTTCAACCTGTTCATTAGTTGTTGAATCAAATATGAGTCAATACAATGAATTATTGAAGTCGCAAACGGCGGGGACTTTGTCTCATACATTAAATGAAAAACAGAAGGAAGCATTTAAAGAACTTCTAGATGAGGAATTCAATAAAGTGAATATCATAGGTTTTAATTCGGGAAAGTTTGATTTAAATTTAATTCTTCGTGATTTAAACACTGCAAAATGGAAAATAAAATCAATGCTGGGTTCATCTTCACAATTTAAGCAAATCATTGTAAAGAAAACAAACGTTCCATATGAATTGAGATTTATTGACATCAGAAATTATATAGCGGGTGGGACATTAGACCAATTCACTCAAGATTTCGGAAACAATAAATCACGTGTTAAATCCTTTTTCCCTTATCAATTCATCACATGGGAAAATTACGAAGAAGAATTATATAAAGAGGAACCATTCACGAAAGATTCATTTTATTCAGCATTAACCCAAGAAACTATATCAGATAGTGATTATCAAATATATCTCAATGATGCTAAAAATTTTAAGAATAGATTAGAATATTTTATTCATTATTGCAATAAAGATGTTGAAATTATGATTGACCCAATCGATAAAATTATTGAAGAAACATTTGTTTATAAAATTGACACGCTTCATAATCTTTCTTTATCATCGAATGCTTCAATGATTCGTTACGCTTTAGCATATAAAGACTTTAATCCTAATGAAAAATATCCTGAGGAAGAGATAGAATCAAGTTTTGAATTAACGAAAAAGTATTGGAAATATAAAATTGAATCATATAAGAAACAAGATGAAAAAGCAGAAAGGGATACTAAAAATAATGTTTCAATGGATGATTTTCAATACTATCACGATTTAATCCTTTCATCTAAATGCAAAATGTGTGGTAAAGCGTTTACATATGCAAATAAACCAACATTGGATAGAATCGATAATGAAAAACCACATACCAAAGAAAATTGTCAGTTAATGTGTTGTTATTGCAATGTCGTAAAATCAAATAAAGATGAAGATGTTCAACGTTTAAGAATCAATTTAAGAAATTACGCATTAAAAAATAATTTACCAATGACTTTAGATTCAGTTGAAGCTTATCACATTCTCCGTAATGGAATTACTGGTGGTTTATCAAATGTTCAACATAGAGTAAATCTTAAAGGAATCACGCACATTAATAAACTTGCATATAATCCAGAAACTAAAACTGTATCAAATGAGGACACCACCAACATTATGACTCATTTCGTTGGTGTTGATTTTAATTCATTATATCCTTCATCATTTTCATCTAATCCTCATGATTTCATTCAATATACTGACCATAAAATGTATATGCCGGGAAGATTGAATGGTGTTATCATTTGTGATACAGCAACAAAGAAAGCAAAAGCATTGGGAATAATTAAGAAGAAAAATACTTTATTCGTGGCTGAAGTAAAGGGTCACATTGATGAAAAATACATTAATGATTACATAAACTTTTTACCGATAATAAGAAACTTAGATATTATCACAGATGAAAAAACAATTGGCAGTTTTATGTATAATTACATGAAATCAAACAATCTACCGGTTGACCAGAAACAGAGGAAATTAACTCAGCTAGCATCAACATACAACCAATATCAACCATTTTCTTCTTATTATCTTTGGTATCTAATAGACAGATTTCATTTTATCATTGATGACATTCAATCAATTTTAACATTTACTAAAAACACTTGTTTTAATGAATTTGCGAACAAATTTATGAACGAAAGACAAAAGGCTGAATTAGAAGGAAATAAAGGAAAAAGTTTATTTTGCAAGATTTCACTTAATGGATCATATGGTTACGATGCAATGAATACACAAAATTACGCAAAGACTAAAATAATGAATGCACAGAAGGCACGCGTTGCATGTATGTCAAATAAGTTTAAAAACATAAGAGAAATAGGTGAAGATACATATCAAGTGATGCTTAAAGATAGATTTTATAGATGTGATACATGTTTACAAGAGGCATTCTTCACTTTAGATAATGCTAAATACTGGTATTTGGTTTTCATTTATGATTTTATGTATAAATGCTTGAATGTTAATCGTTTTCATTTCATTGAAGGTGATACTGATTCATCTTATTGGGCAATCGCTGGCGACCCAAATCTTCCTAACACTCAAGCATTTCAAGCAATTGTTACCGATAAACAATTTTATGATAAAAACATTTTCAAATTCGCACCATTTGATTTCTTCTGTTTTGATGAGAAATTTAAACCTAAATTAAAGAATAAAGCTGAAGAAAAAGCACATGAGAAGAAGTTATTGGGTTTAGCAATTGAGAAACAAGGTGATAACATGGTTGCTTTATGCCCTAAGTGTTATACATCATTCAACGGTTCAATTGATGGAAGTGATTTTAAAAAGATTGCACAAAAAATGAAAGGTGTTAGTTTACGACAAAATAAACAATTAACACCTAAAAATTATTTGGATATAATAAATGATAAAGTGATATTTGATGGTCAGAATATTAATTTACAACTTAAAAATGGGTCAATGACTCGCTTAACAATCGGTAAGACTGCATTAACAGGAGCACACACTAAGGCTGTATGTTGTGAAAATGGATGTTGTATGCCATTTATTTAATACAATTTAAAATTTTATTTTTAATAAAATGCCACAGAAGAGACAAAAGGAACCGTAAATAATGGTTTTGATACTATGATTCAAAGAGGTGGGCACCCTTAAACATTTATTTTATTTTTATATAAATGGATAACACAGATTTAAAAAATTTAATTGATGATTTAGTACTTAATCAAAATTTTCATAATTATTATGAATTAAAATCATATCTCCAAAAACATAATAACAATATAACGGGTGATGATATGGATTATTATTATCCGTATTATAAAAATGAAATTTTGAAATATCATGATAAAATAATTTCTAAAATTAAAGACAAAATTAAAAATAATGAATATACAAAGGAAAAAACTAAATCACAACTTAAACAATTGAAAGATTTCAAAAATAAAGTATTAACAGAAGAAGATATTGATGAATTATATAAATTATATAATCATGAGCCGCAAAAAACAAAGGTGCAAAACACCCAGGTCCTTCAGACCATAAATGAAGCACAAGCTTTAATTTATGATTCATTAGTTAAACCATATTCAGCCCGACTTTTAAATGAAGATCAACTTTTGGAATTCATCCTTCAACATAAACTCGAAGCGGGAAAGTATATCAAACCTTTATATACAGCATATTTAAAACAAATGAATAGAATACATCCAGAATTAATGAAGGGGGGAATGAAATCCAAAATCAAAGCAGATAAAATTAAACCACTTGCAACACCAAAACCTCCAACGACAGTACCACCTCCTCCTTCAGTTAATCCTTCATCATTCACTTTATTATATCCATTTCAAACATTAAAGAAGCAAAAAGATTTTAAAAAGGATTTCAAGATATTAAATAAACCAATTGACCCGAAAATTCAACCGTTAAAGGAAAAATTTAGTCGCCCTTCATTTGCTCCATATCCATATTCATACGAAATCGATCATCTGGAATATTCAAAAGGAAACGTTACTTATTTATTTGCCATTAACATTAACACTAGATATTTATATTGCATTCCAGTGAAAGGGAAAACAGAACAGGAAACAAGAAGAGCTATACAATACTTACTAGATCATGAAAGAGTAGATAATATCAGGGGTGATGGTGATAAAGGATTTCAGGCAGCTATGGCTCATTATTTCCCACAAATTAATTTTTTCTTTTCATCCTCTCCATATACGTTTCATAATAAAATAGTTGATGCGGTAATGAGAACTCTTAGAGATGCGTTAGGGGTTAACGGTCAGATATACTGGGATGGAAATCATGACTCCATCATACAACAGTTAGTATATTATTACAATAATACATGGCATAGAACTATAAACATGAAACCAGTGGAAATGAAAAATGATATTTCAAAAGAATGGGAATATATTAGAAAGCAAATGGAAAGGTTGAATGATGTTAAACGTGAACAAATTAATTCGGGGCTCATGAATTTTAAACAAGGGGATAAAGTTTTGATTCATCTCGATTATGGAAAAACTGATAAATCAATGACAAAAAGAAGACGAAGATTTGACACAATAGCTGAATTTGTTAGATATATTAACGGCAATGCATTAGTTGAAGTTGACAATAAATTAATAGAAATTCCGATTTATTTTATTACTCCATTATATTTAAATAATATTTAATTTTTTTATTTCGTAAGAAATGAGTGACAACAAAGCAGCCAAGAGTCCAGACAATGAATATAAAAAGAAACTAAACAGAATTAAATCAAAAATATGCTATTACAAAAAGAAGCCGCAATGCGGTGGGGCTGAAAACGATAAAGAGAGGAAAGAAATAATCGAAAAATTAGAAACTTACCGTTCAATCCTTAAACTGAGTGAAGCAAAAATAAAAGAATTTAATAGAATAAATAAATTGATTGGAAGAGATGAATTTAATAAAGATGAATTTTTAAACTCAATCCAAATTTAATTTTTATTCCTCTTCCCGAACCCTTCTAGGTTCTTCTTTCCATCATTACTGCATAACCACATCTTCTCAGTTTTCGTGGTTTGTTGTTTTTAATTCGTTCTTGCATCATTTTTATCATTTCCTCCCTTGTTATGATTCGTGGTAAATTTTGAGCTTGTGGGGTATCCATTTATATAAAAATAAAATTTTGTTATCACTTATTTTATCGTTAATGGTTTCAGGTTATTCAATAATTAATTATTTTTGAATAACTGAAGGTGTCACTACGTCACCATGTGTCACTCGGTTAATTAACTTCTCTGAAAAAATGAGACAACATGACATTTTGACAACACAGCAGGATTAAGGAGGAAGGCACTTATGAAGCATTTTTGAATAACTGAAGGTGTCACTACGTCACCATGTGTCACTCGGTTAATTAACTTCTCTGAAAAAATGAGACAACATGACATTTTGACAACACAGCAGGATTAAGGAGGAAGGCACTTATGAAGCATTTTTGAATAACTGAAGGTGTCACTACGTCACCATGTGTCACTCGGTTAATTAACTTCTCTGAAAAAATGAGACAACATGACATTTTGACAACACAGCAGGATTAATGCAAAAATAAATTCAAATCATACTTTATAAAGCTTCATTTACAGGTATTTCATCGTCAGTAAATGAATCCTCATTATCGTTTGGTTCAACCTGTTTATATAATCCTTTCATTTCTTCTTTCAAAACATAACACCATGTTTGTTTACCATCTATTCTTCTCTGTTTCTTATCACATTTATCCTTAATGCTCATTTGAAAGTTTTTGTCTTTCATGTCTGATGGTTTGCAGAATAGAGCATTTTCACACGTCATACCTGCACTCAATTCATCATAATGTGTATTTATCCATACATCTAAAGGATTTGTTGATAATTCAATTAAATCTTGTTTGGCTTCAGTCATCGGTATGATTCGTACATTAAATGATGAAAGGTCGTAATTGATAAAATATGTTAGTAAATTATCATAAAATTCCTTTGTGCATGAATTCATCAAATTCTTGAAGTAATCAAATTGACCCTTGAATTTACCATTAACTCTTAAAACTACGTATCTTCTGTCTCCAACTTCAATTTTGACAGGGTAAACGTTATTAGTTACGAAAATGAAGTTTGCAACGTTCTGAGCAGTTCTTCTGGGTTGATTCTTTTCGTTAATTCTTATCTCATTATCCGTAATAATTGATTTCAAAGCGTTGAAGTTTGCGAGTCTATCTTCACCTACATTCTTGAGTTCATTAAGTACAAGAAACATTTTATTCTCAACCACCGAATTGAAATTACCCGTTAGCTCACTTATTTCGGTAATGTTTTTACATGAATAACCAGCGAGAAGTTCAGAAATAATGTCTGTAAATCTGTTTTTACCTGTTCCCTGAAGTCCTTTCAAAATAATTGCTGTTTCATTCTTGATTCCAGGATGTTGAATCATTGATGCAATCCAGCCGAGTAGATATTTATACACTTCATCGTTATTATCACAAATGGCTTCTTTAATGAAATTCATAAACATCTCAATTTTTGAGTAATCTGGTTTTTCGAGAACGTTGTATTTATAACCCTGAAACGTTGAGAAAACATCTGGAGAATCAGATTTAAAGCAAACACCCTAACGGTTAATGAAGACAATTGATTTAATAGTACATCCCATGCTGTTATGGTTTTACCTTCTTCTTTAAATAATTTAATCATTTTGAGTGACTCTTTCATGTTTGATTGAAGAACGAATGATATTTGATTCATTTTGTCGTGTATGTTGTAATCTTTCTGAATGAAGTATTTGTTTCCACAATCTACAAAACGGATTACACGTGATAAATCCTCAATTACTTCAGAACTGTTTTTATACTGATGATTTTCAGCCTTGCGTCTAATATCTGTTATCAAAAACGAGTCATCAAGTTTGATATCAAATGTTATTTTTGGCTTACGTAATAAAGGTAAAACATATTCATCATAATATTCCTTTTGATAAAGTTTTAGAATCTTCACTAAAACAAATGGAGAAGTCATTAAATGTGCATATCTACTACGTGCTTTTTCAAAATTACTTTTTGCATTTTCTGTTAAGCTGCAGAAGTTATAAACGTTATCGTATGCTTCATTAATTAAATGATTAGGTAACGAATTAATTGCTTGAAACAGTGTGAATAATGTAACTTCTTTTTCTAAATTCATGTTTCCACCGTCATTATGTACTTCAAAATCACTGATGCCATCAACTATGCTCTGGGCAAGTTTATCGTCAATGTTTACATCTTTGTTTTCATTCATGATAGTCTTTATTTCTTCGTTCTTCTGTTCAACTCTTACCTTAATATTCAAATCATTTAATATATCATTCACTGTTCTAGTTAATGTTGAATCGTAACTTCCACGAATGAATGAGTATGTATTGATTGGTTCTGTTGCATTCTTGCGAACTCTTGAATCAGCCATAACTACTAAAGAACGCTTTGAATCATCCATAGAAGTCATGATATCAATATCATAATCATTGCAGGAATAACATTTAATCATTCTGTTCGAAACTGCATAGAAGAAATTAGTGTTGCAATAAATGTGAAGACCTCCTGAAGCGGTTTTAACGATAACATCTTTATCCGAAAGTTTTGATAAAATATCTTTTCCAACTGTTTCTTTAAGTTCATCATTGTACGATTTATTGATATCAACATCTATAATCGTTAAATTTGATATTTTATTTACTAATAAAGCTGTACCAGTTTTCCTTCCTCTTCCTCCATCATGTTTGAGGTAGTTATGTAAATCAATCTTGTTTTCACCAATTCTTTCGTTGAGGGTTTTAGTTTCTGCCACAACTAATTCCTCAGCTAATGAATCAATAACTTTTTCATCAGAAACGATAAAGTTACTGTTGTTGTTTGTTGCTGTCATTTATATAGGAATAAAAAAATAAAAATAATTTTAAAACTAACTTTATTTTTGGACTGCATCATATTTCCAGGACTGTTGTCAAAATGTCATGTTGTCTCATTTTTTCAGAGAAGTTAATTAACCGAGTGACACATGGTGACGTAGTGACACCCTCAGTTCTTCAAAAATAATTAATTATTGAATAACCTGAAACCATTAACGTAAACATTAACGATAAAATTTATTTCCAGGACTGTTGTCAAAATGTCATGTTGTCTCATTTTTTCAGAGAAGTTAATTAACCGAGTGACACATGGTGACGTAGTGACACCCTCAGTTCTTCAAAAATAATTAATTATTGAATAACCTGAAACCATTAACGTAAACATTAACGATAAAATTTATTTCTGCAGTTCATCCATTACTTCATTACCTAATTAATTACAGACATAAAATATATTTAGTTCATTCATTGAACGCGGTACCATGCGAATACAGTCACAAATGGTGGCATATAATCTGCACCCGAGCCTGTTGGATTTGTTGTGAAAGTATGGACATGATTTCCTCCTGGTTCAGTTGGTCGAAAAATCTTTTTTGCTGCATTGTTATAAGATGGAGATAAAACGTCATTGCCAGCTTCATACTCTGAGTTGTATAATGGGTGGTCTCTTAATGAGTGGCTATGGTCGCCAGAAAAGTTTGTAGTTCCTGTATGAGTGTGCGGTGGAAGGTTTGCTTCTTTAATTTTCTTCGAACCTCCTGTTTGCTTTGAATATCTAGCACAGTATAAGAATTTATCTACAATCTGCTTCCACGTACCAAAACCTAAAACTGTTGCTGGATTTGTTGAATTCATTGATGTATAAATAGAACCAACAGGATATAATGTTTGAAGTATTTCATTTTTCATGCTTGTAATCACATCATTTACTTCCGACTTCTTTGCATAATTTTCATCAACATAAGTTTTATCTGCTTTAAGGTCTAAACATCCTGAAACCCATCCTGTATCAGCTTTAACTTTAAAAGTCTCCGATGTCCATTCATGATACCATTCAACCTTTTCTTTAATTTCATTATCTTTTTTATCAACATAAACCAAATTTGCCTTCTTATTTAATTCACTATCCACATATTCCTTATCCACCTTCTTCATTATGTCGTTTAGGAAACCTTCTATGAATTCCTCATTTAAATTAAATCTTCCAATCTTCAAAACTTTAGGAAATGCATTTAATGCGTAATATCTCTGTTCTTCTGGTGGAATTGATGTTATATCATCCGTTATTCCTTTAATTTTTGAATTCATAAATAAAATTTCTTTTATATTTGATATCACTGCACCACCTTTGCAAACGAATTCGAAATGGTCATTTTTCAATACTATCTCCAAATCTCCATATTTCAACCTTTGCGTTTGTTCTGCCGTCTTTGAATTATATGCATATATGGCGTATGTAATGGTCTGAAGGACCTGGGCGCTTTGCGCCTTAAGTTGCTGTTGTTTAATCATTTATTATGATTTAAAAATAAATATTTAATCCGTTATCTCATCAGCTATTTTCTCTATTTGAAATTGCCATAATATTTCATTCATAAATTCTAAATCACAATCAAATAGGTCAGTTATTCTAAATTTAATATTTGATAAATCTTTTGAATGAAGAATAAATGAATTCCCGGATAATTGAAACGGATATGATAAAGAAAATGTGTTTAAGTTGATGGATAAAATGTTTTGTATTGATGGGTAAGAGTTAGGGTCTAATGTTTGATGTGAAAATCTCATTGGGGTATTAACTTTATCACATTTGATTAAAATGAAATTGGAACCAGTGTCAGAATACAAAACATCCCCAACATCTTTTTCAAAATTTAATATCCCCAACAATGAACGAAGATGAGGAGTACAAAATTTAATTTTCAGCGGGAATTTAATAAGGTTATTTATTTCATCAAGTTCAAAAAGTTTATCGGGTTTTGATTTAAAATTTTCTTCATACCATACGATAAATGATTCATTTAAATAACTTAAAATCATGTTAATATCCCATTTCGCTATCACATTATTTATATACATATCATACGTTTTTTCAAGGTCATCTTTAATAAATGATATATAATCTGAAGGGTCTAAAAGAATGGGATTAAATTTACCACTCACAGAAACGAGAGTAACATTATAAATTCCGCTAACTGTTAAATTTAATTCACAGCTATTATTCGAAATAATATTGATAATTGACATTTTTATTACGATTAAAAATATGGTAAAGCGTTATTTTCCAGTGATAAATAAAACTAGAATAAGATTACCTCAAGAATTCATAAATTCAACGAATAAGAAATTCATTCATGTTATAAATTTTAGTGTTTTCAGAAAATATGAGTCAGTGTCATATTCATCAACAGGTTATATTTCACTTCATTCAAATTTAGTTCAATCAAACCCATATAATGACCATTTCATAAGATTTTCAGATGGTATTAAAAATGTAATTGATAGATTAAAATATGAACAGATTGACAATATCGAATTTTTGGAATTTTGGTTTAAATATCCCGATGGAAAAAAGATTGAAGTTAAAGATAAAGCTGATACTATAACAAAAACAATTACAATGACCGATCCGGATAGTGGGGAACAAAAAGAAATAAAACAAACGATAGAAACTGGTGAAAGGTCAATTATTATTGATTATGATTCAAAGGATTATTATTCGATAATGTTAATGCTTGAATATTAAATAGCCTTAACAAAGAATTTTTCAAGTGATATTTTATATTCATCAACTATTTTATTATAAATATCATTATATGTTAAATGAAGTTCAGTTGTTGTTCCGTTCTTTGATATCTTAATTGTGCTAATATCCTTTATAGGATTTATTTTTGCAACTGTTCCGCAGCATGAAACCTCATCATCTATGAAAAATTGAATCTTAACGTCTGAATCTTGAACATCACAAAGAATGGCGATAATGTGAATTAATGATTCATAAGGTAAAATAATTAAACCGGATTGGTCAATTAAATTTATTATTGAATCATAATTATTAATTATTATATCACGGTAAATTTTCATTAATTCAGAATTAATGTCTATTTTATATGGGTTCTCGATGTTTGATGAAAGAGGTGGGGGTATGTTGGATAAGTGGGAATTTCAACAGGTTCTTTACCGGGTTCAGATAAAATGATTGGGTCTCCATCTTCTTTATTTTGCTCCTCCTCCTTTTTCGGTAAGTCACGAGTTAATAAATTTGGTTGAGTTGCTGACCTTGTTAATTCAGGGCTAACATTAACTTTAACATTTTGAATAATTCGTGATTTATCATCATTTACGTTATAACCAACCGTAATCTCTGCTTTTGCGTTAGTGTTCTTTTGACTAGTGAAACGTCTTCTCATTTATATCGAATAAAAAAATATATTTAAACTTTTATTTTGCTGGAAGTTTTGAATCTATTATTCCCTGTATTTGTTCTTGAAGTTGATTTTTAGCTGTTCATTGTAATTAATAGACCTAATATATTCATTAATTGCATTCTTATAATCATCTGATTTCTCAAATTTTCTTTTATCTGATTCCTTAACTAAATCATAAGTTAAACCTCGTTGCTGATATAATGGTTTCTTAATTAAATCTTTGAATGCTTGAGATAAAGCACCTGATGCAATTCTTGCTACTATAATTGGTTGGAATTGCTGTTTAAGTTCATCTTTAACATTTGCGAAAACTGGATCGAATAAAGCAACTTTAAAGAATTTCTTAGCTGAAATTTCAGGTCTAATATTTGCATATTGACCATCAAACTGGTTAGAATATCGTGGTAATCCATCCGGTCCCTCTTCAATAGCATTTAATTCTTCATTGAAATAAGAATATGGATTATAACGGTATGAATTAATTGGACCATTTTCACCTTCTCCAATGTATTGTTTAACAGCTTTTCCATTTTCATCAAATTGCATAGGATAACGTTCATTATATGCTTTACGTTTAGGATAATCAGTTATAGTTAATTTGTAACCATTTATGACTTTAATATTACCTTGACCATCAGTAACGAAAACTTCATTTATACCATCAGGTTTTCCATTTGGACCCGTAATGTCTGCTTCGTGTGCTTCCCAATTTGGACCTTGACGTTTGGCATATGCTTGAGCTTCTGGTAATGTTAAAACGTTTCTCATTTGTTTAACATCTTTTTGAAGACCAGCAACAATATGAACTAATTCTTTCATTCCATCAGGAACTTTCATAGTTCTATTATATACACCCTTTTTGTTTGTTCCTTGTTTTAATGGAACCTGTAGAAGATTTGCCATTTCTGTCATGTTTAATTATAAATAAAAAATAAAAATTAATTATAAAAAGTTAATCAAATTTAACACTTCCTTTATTTAAATCAACTATTATTTTTCCATGTTCACCTAATTGCTGATATTGTGTGTAAAGTTCATTAATGCTCATTGGTAAATTCACTTGATAAAGCATAACGTTCAACTGTTGACGACTAAACCCACTGAAAATGAAAAGTGTTGATAGATTTGATTTAATGTTTGTGCTTAATGCTTTGAAGTATTGAACAGCCATGAAGAATGAACACTGAATGTGTCGACATTGAGTTAATAACTGATTAAAATATGATTTCTCATTTGTTATTAGTTTTGATTTCACTGCATCATCTAGAAAAATGAGTGAATGCAAAAATTCTCTATCAAAATTTGAAATAGAAAGTGTTTCAAATAATTCATTCCGTTGTTTATCAATAATTTTATCCTCTAATCCTTGCTTCTTGATTGTATTATATAATTCTTTATACATTAAAAAGTTTTTTAAATAATCTTCTGCTTCTTCTTGTGATAAATAAATAATTGGAATTTTGATTAAATGCTTTAAAGATTCAAATGTATCATCTGAAGGTGAACCTGAACGGTTGATATAAATTAACACATGTGAATAGGGGGAAGTGTTAGCAATAATGATAATTTGTTTTATATCGTTAATGTTTTACCTTTATTTGTTTACCAATTGCTGCAGTGATTGAATTTAAGTAACATTCAGAATATGGAATTTTCATTAATTTTTCCTTAGATAGAGCATTTCTATTATCACTCAATGCTTCATTAATCATATCATCTACGTATGTATTATATACTCCCGCTAATTCTTCATAAGGGTGGATGAATTTAAATCCATTTAATCAAAAATAAATTTATAATTTTAAACATTTTATTCATCAATATTTCATCATATGAACTTCTATACTGTGGTGGTGTACCTGTTGGATGATATTTCAAACCTTCATCCGGTGTCCATGTCCAATATGTAGTCCTAGTAAACCAAACCTGAGGAGGATTTGTCACCTTTGAACAGTAAGTGTCATTTTCACCCTGAATGATTGGATAAGCTTTCACTTGTACTGTAACTTGTGAGTTGAAAGTTTCTAATCCATCAAAGAATATACCCGCTCCATCACGTTGAACTGGAATAGTGCATAAGAATGAAGTTTGGTCTTTCCATGTTCTAGCTAATGGCGTGCCATCATCTGCATTCAGTGGTCTAGTTAATGAGTCCTCGTATTCTTCTGTGCATTCATTCACTCCATCTAAATCAGAAGCTTGAAGCATACGTGTAAAGAATATGTCGCCCACTGTGGTCATCGCTTGATCGGGGAAGTTTCTGGAATCTATAGTGACCTGAAGACCTCGAAGCATTGGATTTTCTAAAACTGTTCTTTGCATTGCATTCTTCGGAAATGTTAACACAACATCTGTAACATTATGAAGAGCGTATGAGAAATCTGAGCTAATACCTTCAGGAGTGATGCAACCTCCATTTAGTGAACGAACGTCAATATGTTGAGCTGGAATCATGAATGGATCTTCCTTACTGAATAAACGTGGTATTGCTTTAACTGATTCTTCAATTAAACCGTATCCTGGTGTAATGCATTTATCCTCTAAAACTTCCATCTTTGTGCATGAAATAATAACGTCATCAACTGTTGCGTCAGCAGATGTAGCGGCTAAGCTTGTAATTAATTTGGCAGGAAGTCCGATTTGTTGGAATTTGCGATCATATTTATAAACATGATTCATAATCTTTTCATAATTTTCATCAGTTATCTTTTCATAAACGTAATTTTGTAAATCAGCAACTCTTAACGGGTCAACCTGACAAAATACTAAAGTATCCCTGAAAACATAATATTTAAGAATGATATCACCAAATGATTTAGGATAATCATCGAACGCCTGAAATGCTAACAAATCATTTACCGGAATAATCATATCAAAAGTGACATCAACTTCTTCATTTGCTTTCTTGAAAACTTCTGAAGGGTCAATATATTTACCACATACTGAGTTATCATATTTTTGAACATTATTATATAACGAATGAACAAACTTTTTAACTTTCCTTTCTGATTTTGGTTTATATGTTGCAAATGCGAAAGATTCACGGGCGCAATCCATCTGAAGATAACCGGCATCACCTCTTTCGGTTTCTACTTCTAATTGTTTAAAGCTTTGATTTGATGATTTGTAACCAACGAATAAACGCATGCATTTAAAAGCGGCATCACATGTGAAAGCTTTATTTGAAACTAGAGTTGCTTTAACTTTGCGTTTAATATATGTGTCACCTAATTGGTTCACATCATGAGCCGGATTTGTAATTCTTAAATGAGTTTGTTTATCATCAAAATATGGAGCATCAGAGTCATAGCATGAACTTTCAAGTTCTCTATAATATCTTCTACCGTCATTCTTTGCGAATATTTCATTTATCTTTTCGAATGAATGAAACACATTTCCATTAATCGGTTTAGTGTTTGGCACAAATAGTTAGTCGTCATTTATTAATAAATAAAAAATCAAAATTAAAAGATGAAAATGAATTTTTAATTTTAATGAAATAATCAACTATGGCTGCAGGTATATTTAAGAAACTGTGGGATAAAGTAAAAAGAGGAGCGAGTAAAGTTTGGGAAACTGAAGAAGGGAGCAAATTGGATATTTAAGAATAAAGAAGCAATTAGTGACGTTGCTGAATCAATAACACCAAAAGCTGCCCCAATAAGAGAAGTTTTAAATAAAGGAGAAAAAGTTTATCAAAGACTACAACCGATACTAAGATAAAAATAATTTATTTTTCCACTATCTACCTCCTATTTTATTAAGTATTCCTTCAGCTATTCCACCAATTGCGTTACCTGCTTGTGCTCCCATCGCCGGATTACCTGCTTTAGTACCTAATACTCCACCTATGATAGTTCCTGCCGTTTTCGCTACTGGTGCCAAAAAGTTTGCAATGGGTTTAATAATCTTTTTATGAACCCAACCCGCAGCTTTCTTAATTCCATCCCATAATTTTTTAAAGAATCCTGCCGCCATTTCTGATTTAATATTAATTAAAAAATATATTTCATCACTTATATTCTAATTTTTATTTAATGATAAATGAAACCGATTTTAAAAATAAATGAAACAGAGGAGGAAGAAATAAATGAAAGTGAAAATGTTCAACAAAAAATAAACGTTGTTAAACCAATTACTGAAATAAAAATTTTTTCATCTGTTGAAGAATTTAATGACTATTATGCTAATAATAAAAATTATTTGAAGAATTGACAACATGTAAATTGAATAAAATGTTTAAATTGATGATGCATTCAAAATTTCAAAATAATAAAGGGGTGGTTAGTTTGAAATCTATTCCTCAATCAAGAATCACCTCATTAATGAAAATAGATGATTTAACAAAAAGAATAGAAGAGATTGAAGAAAGAATGAATCAAATAATTGATTTCATAAATTCAAATAATCATTAGTTTCTTAAAGTTCAATGTTGAACTCATCAAATTCATCTTCATCATTACCATTACCATTACCTTTAGCGAGTTTATTTACTCTTTCAACTTTATCTTTTGATAGTCTATCGTTTAATTTTTTCTGAAGTTTTTCGTTACCAAGTTCTAAAATTTTACATGGATGATATTTAAACCCGTTAAATTCTTTTTCCTCAGTTTTAATCATTAATCTACAAAGAACTTTAGTGAGGTGGTTTTGTTGTTTAAACCATTTATCCTTAATATTTGTTATAAATTCAATATCCGGAATTAATTCCCAAATTTTTGAATTTTCGATTAATTTACCATCAAATGCAAAAGCAATAGGTTTAATATTAAACTTACCTTTATAAAATAAACTTTGTATGTAATCATCAAAATAAACGTCTACTTGTTTAACCTGGGTGAGAATTGGTGAAAGTTTATTCATTAATTGATTTACAGTCACGAATTTTGATTCACTCATTTCATACAAAATAAAAAAAATAAAATAATAAACATAACTAAGTTTTAATTTTTCGTAAGACATGAATTTTTAAAGTTTATTTCTGATTTATTTTTCTCGTTTATGACTCCATTGATTCCATTCAGGATTTAAACAATGTTTAATTAATCGCGGAATATCTGACATCATCTATATATAGCTTCTTTTATAAAAGATAAAAAAATAAATTATTTTAAAATTAATGTTAATTTTTTAATGATTTATAAATAAATATATTTTAATGCATCGTCTATATATAGATGTAACAAAAAAAGTCACACAACCCTTCAACATATACTACTTTTCAAAAATGATGCTATTATGTAATGAACAAAAAAATTGAATAGTCTTACTTATGTTCATTGCTGATGACACTGATATTTATATGAAAAATGATATTTTTACGTTATTCTTCTAATTTGCATATATATACTTAAAAGTAGTATATTAGCTTGAAAAATTTCGTATGTATTAATCAATTAAAACGTGCATGTGTGGCAAACAGCCAATACAATCAATAATTTGAAATTAATTTGATATTTGTCCAGGAGAAGTCAAACCAATGAATAAGTGCGCCTGAACGAGCAGTTTGTATTTTCTTTAAATATACAATAATTCTAATAAAAGCGACTGCGAATATTGATAAAATAGAATTTAATTCAATTTATCCTTGATTTTGTCAAAACCGTCTGAATTATTTTATTTTGATTACCTTTTTGACGTTTGAAAACATCGTTTGTTTAAATCTGTGTATCTTTTCATGTAAGCAAAGAAAATCCACAAAAAATATTTCTAAGCCTTTATTTTTTGATGTTGTAAAGTCTATCGTCGTGTTTTTTCTAAGTATTCAATAATGAGCCGGAGAATGTCTAGCCTTGACCTTAAGATTGTTGTTCTTGGGTCGGCTTTTGTTGGAAAAACATCCATTATCAATAGGTATTGCAATTCAACTTTTATTGAAGATACCCTTTCTACTATTGGAGCAGGATTCTTCACAAGAACAATGAATATAGATGGTACTGAAGTCACAATCATGTTATGGGATACAGCCGGTGAAGAGAGATTTAGATCTGTTGCCCCATCATTACTTAGAGGTGCAAATGGCTTAGTTTTGGTTTATGACCTTACTCAACCAAATAGTTTCAAAGACATTGACATTTACATGGAAATGTTTTTAGATACCTGCAACGTTGATCCAACTTACACTTTACCAGTTCTTCTCCTCGGAAATAAGTGCGACCTTAATAGAGTTGTTTCAGTGGATACAGTCGAAGAGTGGAAGAGAAAGAATAAAGTCGTGTTTTCATACGAAGTATCCGCTAAAACTGGCGAAAAAGTTGAAGAAGCCTTTCAAAAATTAATAGAATCTTTAGTATCACCTGCCGCTAATACAGATAATACTCCTATCCAAATTGTTATTAATCCTGGAAATCCTAACAAGCAAAATACTGGCTGTTGCTAAATTTATAAATAAAATTTTCTGTTGATTCCTTAACGATTTGAAAATAGCAATTTTTCATTTTACTCTTTATAACAACAAATTGTACACTATACTTTGTCCTTGAAAATTCTATATTTAATTTGGATTCCAAAATTCAACCTGATTTCTAATAATCTCATAAGCCTATTCATGAATACTAAGAACATCAAATTGTGTTGTATCAGTTATGCAATACTTTTATGGTTCAGAATCAAAATATTCCAACAATTTTTCCATTTAAATGGCAAGGAACTCTATCCTGTAAATCACAAGTCTGCGGGGTGATTCTATGACTATTGGGAATGGATTTCTCCAGTTTTTCAAAATTTAAAAATTTAGCATTTAGGAAATTTCGAATGAATTATAAAATACGTATAACTATATTCATTAATATAAACTTATCTTTCATATCTTTTTTTGTCTTGGTCAATGAAAAAAAAAATTCAGAGAAGGACCAAATCCTAAAAAAGAAATGAGTGATTTATTAGATCAGATTTCCCAAATCCAAAAGAAGGGCAAGAAGTCTAAGAAGCAGAATAAGAATAAGGAGTCGAACAAGGAATCGACCGAAGGAGGCTCAAACGTCATCCACTTAAATTCTTTAGAAGCTCTTGCCGAAAAAGCTAGAGATTTAAAGTTCGAGGTTAAGAGAACAGAGAGAGATGACGATGATGATGCTCCACAAGAAGTCTTTAAGTTCAGGGAAGAGAAAAAAGGCCCACAACATGCAATTATTCTTGCACCAACAACAATCAGACTTGATGTTAACGATGTTAGAGCTATTTTCCCCAATATGTCAATTGCAAAGATTTCCCAAGAATTTATGTATTTTATTATCGAATTTACAAAAGAAGAAGACAGAAAATTAGCTCTTAAAAAGAACAGAATGCAGTTCCGTAACGGTGTCATACTAATCGATGAATATGAACTTTCACAAGAAAATCCACAAGCCAGCAGAGGATACCAGCCCAGCTATGGCAGAGGTTCATACTCCGGCTACGGTGATGATGCCTACGGAGAAAGATCATTCCAGAGAAAGCAGCAGCCATCACCCTCTTACCAACCATTCACAGGACAGAGAAAGCAACAGCCAAACCCACCAACCAGCGACGGCGGATACGGTTCTCGCGAAGGTGGCTACGACTCTTACGGCCGTGATAGTGGCTATGGCGGCGGATACGGCCGTGATCGCTACGGCGGCGGTGGCTATGGCAGAGGCGGATACGGCGATAGCTACGGTGGCCGTGATCGCTACGGTGGTGGCGGCGGATACGGTGGCCGTGATCGTTACGGCGGCGGTGGCTATGGCAGAGGTGGATACGGTGGTGATGATTATAACAGAGGTGGCTACGGCGATCGCCAAATCAGTGTAGGCGGAAGGCAACAGCCAAATTCTTATGCTCCTGCACAGCCAGCTGCTGCACCAGATCCAAACAAGAAATTGACATTCATGGAAGCAAGAAGATTGAAACAACAACAGGAAGCTGCTCAACAGGAAAATCCACAGTAATTAATAAATATATTTAATTTATAAGAAAACTGAATAAATACATATTTATTATATCTAGGTAAAACTTTTTCTTTATTTGATATCTAATTTTTCAAGTTCATGAAAAAAAGATATTCAAAATTAAATGGTAGAAAAAGTATTTAACTGGTGAAACTTAACTAGTTTTTTGATAGTTATGCTGTGCCATTCACCTCAAGAACATTTTCCACATTTTCTAATAAACCATATTTTGAAAAAATTGCTTATTGATAGTTAATTGAGTGAATAATTGCCAAAATCACATTGAATGATTAGTTTTACACTACCAAATAGTCAGACTAGCATTACAGACTTTGAAAAAAGAAAGCAACAAACGATAAATAATCAAAAAGTACTTACCATTTCTATTTGTCATCGCTTTAAAATGGTCCGGGATTATGATCGAGTTGAATAAAAATTCATTAAGAATAACGATTCAATTTTTGTGAGATTAGATTTTTTGAGCACAAAAATTCAAATTTCATAGTTGTATTTGATTAGCAAGATTTGATAATAAAACTGTGAAAAAATAAAGGTACATTCACTATTTTTGACAAAATTTTAAATTTGCATGGGGTTGTAAATCTTATAATAACTAGATGAATAAGGAATGAATCCCAGTATAATGTGCATCATTATATTAAACACTATATTTAAGGCTAATGATTCTATTAACACTTATGAAGATCTATAGTATTTGAGCAGATAAATTTGATAATTTCCAAAACTCTTATATTTCAAAATTAAAGTGTGCGAATGCATTTAAATGAGAGCAAAAAGAGATTGATGCTGTTAAAACTAGGTGTTAATTTGCAATTATTTCGCATCACAAGAACTACCCAGTAAATTCGGCTATCTTTCTTTGCAATTATTCTCCATTATACATATAATATAATGGTTAGGGTTTGAAGAAAAGTTATTAGAGAATTATTGACTTTTGAAATAATGCAGAATTTTACTTGAAGAAATCATTAATTTATGAGTTCCAAATTGCTAAGCATGACGAAGGATCATTAAATTTGCTACAATTAAATACACCTATTGCAGAATTAAGATTTTTGAAATTAAAAGTTTGAAATATTGCCTTTTTGAATAAAAATTTAAATTTGATTATATAATCATGATAATATATTATTGAAATTAAAAGAAAATATTTTAAACCATTCAAATATTTTGAATGTCTTATCAATTTAAAATATTAAAAGATTGCTTGATTTTATCATCATTAGTTGTTATCAAAGTTTTCTTCTTTTGATGAACAACAGTAAATGATTTGTTAATACCTTGTCTTCCTTTTACGCAGCAAAATCAAAAGTTATGATGATAATCTTGTACTCAATTTTGAAACTCTCTGATTTACAAGTAAGCATTCCTTTGGAAAAGCAGTCCTATTCTGTTTTCAAGATATTTTAAAGCCTCCATTTCATACAATGCGCAGATCTATTCGAAATTGCAAGAACTCTCAAGAAAAATGCAGCAGCAAAGAAGATTCCATAGTTTCTAGCATCAAAAATTTACAACCTTAATACAACAGTTAAAGAGAAGCTCGAAAAGAAAATATTTAACCATAAAGCTGGAAACCATTCGATATCTACTATTGGATCTAATAAAAAGTTAATTATAACATATTTAACATGCTATTTGTTGACTTTGTTCCATTATATTACCATATATATCTTTTTGAAATCTAAAATATTTTTACGATTTTAACCATGTGTTGTTGAAACCATATATCAATCTTAGCTAAAGTATAGTTTATGAGTCTGTCACCATCTAACGTATGAATTTTCAAAAATGTCAAATATGTTCATTTTTTCTGTAGATTCAGCCATAATTTCATGTTGTTATACTATTCAACTATTATTTAATATTTTTATCGATTTAAATATATGATGAGATGCTTAGTTCTCCCGGAAATCGATTTTTAATCGCAATTTTAACTTTCCAAAAAAATTCAAAAATAAAAATCCCTCTCAATTTTCTAAGTTTTATAACTCGCCAAATCTCTAGCCAAATTTTTTTGGCCCGTATAAATATTGTTAGGCACTATATAGGGATGCTATTTATCCTATTTTCATCCCATTTTACTGTTATCGCCTAGTGAATGTACCTTTGAAAAAATAAATCATGTAACGAATTTTGATTTATTCTTTCAAAAACTCAAAAAGATAAAAAATATTGTTGACTAATGGTTGGTGAAAAATGTTGAATAAATTTATAAAAAATAAATATTTACATCATTCAATTCATTATGGAAGAGATTGAAACATACACACTCGTAATTCTCGGATCAGGTGCTGTTGGCAAGACGTCCATTACAATTCAATTAATTCAAGGTAGGTTTTCAGCTTATCACGACCCAACTTTCGAAAATACGTACACGAAGTACGTGAATATAGGCGGTGACGAAATCAAATTAAATATCCTCGATACGGCAGGACAAGATGATTTTGAATGCATGAGAGACACTTACATTCGTCAAGGCCACGGCTTCTTATTAGTTTTTGCACTTAACGATATGCAGTCGTTCGACAAAATGATTGAAATTTATCGTAGAATTAAGGAAATCAAAGATTCGTATACTCCTCCGGTACTCATTTGTGCAAATAAATGTGATTTTCCGACTTGGGAAGTTAATAAGGAGAATTTCATTGATTTTTGTGAATCACAGAAGCTTAAGTATAACTTTACTTCAGCGTTGACTGGCGAAAATATTGTAAAATCTTTTGAAGATATTAGCAAGATGATGAGAAAACAGAACCCTGATTCTAATTACGGCAAAAGCAAACCAAAACCTTCAAAAGACGAAGATGCTAATTGCTGTCGAATTTAATTTCCAAATTAATTTTCGAATTTTTTTGTTAAATCAAATTAAGATATTTTGGACATTAGCATAATTGATTCTTTTTAAGTTTATTTAATTTAACCTTGTTTTTCAATTTCCATAAATTTTTAGAGTTAATTTTGACGCAAAAGAGGTAAATTTCCATGTTAAATGAATTATCAAAGCATTTTTTTGCTTCTTGCTAGTTAATTTCATTAAAAAAATTGAAAGAAAGAAATAATGTTGAAAAACGCCATAAAATAGCATCCACATTAAATATCTTGTGCTTTTATATAATGGTAAGGTAATAGATTGATTTAATTTAATAATAATTACATTAAATTTTTTATTCCATTTTCTGGTAAGCAAACGGATCAGGGATAGTATCTTCTTCTGGTTCCCATTTAATGCCGGGGAGTTCATCCCAGTTAAGTTCCTTGCGGGAGATATCTAAAGATCCAAAAACGCAAGAAACGGTTTGGTCGAGGAAGTTCCTCCTATACAAAAAGTGAATTAAATCGATAGGAATATTGTTGTAACCCCATCTTGCGCCTAAAACGGCACCTGTAACAATGCTATTAGTCAAAGTATTGCCTCCTCTGTAGATAACTTTAGAGAAACCCTCTGACCAACTATAACCTTTTCGTATTGAAAAAACAGCTGCAGCGGCAGGAGTGAGTTTTTCACTGACATTCTTGAGTTCTGAGAGTTTGGTGATGGAGATGCATGTCTCGTAAATGCTTTTGTCGGCAATGTCAGCAAATTTTAGCGTTTTTTCGAAAATCTCATCAATTTTGATATTTTCTGCGAGTTTAAGGCGTTGTTGAAGAAGATTAGCAATCAACAATGCAATTAATATGCATGAAAACTTGATTTCTTCTGGAAACTCGGATTTCCCTAAAATTATTTTGATTTTTTCGATCAATTTCTCTTCATCCCAGAATAAATAGCTTGCAACTAATGTGGATGATAATAGAGCATCGAAGTCATTCTCAACCTTCTCAATTTCGCCTGTAACTGCGAATTTTGCGAGATTAATTAAATTCTTCTTGAAATCATCAGAGAAAGAATCTTTTACAGACTTTTCTCCTGTCATAGATACCATTCTAGCCCATGTTATATCAATTGGGTTATCTAAAATAAAGGTAATGTACTCTTTTGTTAATCCATTTATATTTCTTCCGAAAATCTCTCCAAAAATGGCTCCATAGAACAATCCTGAAATCTGGTTTGCGGCGACTGTTCCATCAAACTCAGGATGTTGCATTTTTTGGATATTTTGAACATCAATTTCGATTTTTTCGTTAGGAGGCGATGGATAAGGGCCAAAAATAAGTCTATAAGGTGATGTCCAATCTCCTGATGATATTGGTACCTTGAATTCTCTTCCAAACTTTCCTTTTGGTGAAATTAAACTAAAATTGCGAAGTTTTGGAGCTTTTGTAACTGATTTGCAATCCTTCAAGTAGAGAGATACGAGTAGAGTTGAAGGAGAAACAGAAGAAAAGGTAACTTCGGGAATATTTGTTTCAATTGCGGATAATTTTGGAATATATGTTAAAGGTCCTAAATCGCAAGATTGAATAGGTACATTGTTGAATTTAACGTTTTCTAGCATTGAAAATGATGAAAGTGCTGAAATATCTGTGATTTTTGTGTTTGAAAAATCTAAGTATGTAATTATTGGGTAATAACCTAATTCATTGATCTGTGTGTTTGCGATAGACATGTATTCGACAGCAAGCATATCGCAATCGAACTTCTTTAAGCTGATACAGTTGGATAAGTCAATTGTACGAATATTGTATGTGCTTTCAAGTGAAATTTTTGTTAGTTTTGGACAATTAGAAAGATCGAGGCATTTAAGGCCACGGAAATTCAATAGTGAAATTGATTCTAACTTTTCGCAATTTGATAATCTTAAAATCTTCAAATCATCGTGATTTTTCCAGTCTATTTTTGATAAAGAAGTACCTGCAAGATCTAGAATTTGAACTGACTTTGGAATGTCAAAGGAATTCAGTGAAGTATCGAATGAATGACTAATATATTTATCTGAAGGTTGAGTATATGCGTTATAACACTTAGGGCATATATTAAATTTGGTTGCTTCACCACAATTTTTACAAAAAATATCCATTTTACAAAAAAAGGACGATATTACAAGTAATCGTTGTCTGAAGATTTAAATTTATTGAGAATAATTTAAAAGAAAAGAGAAGTGTGCAGCACCGCTGGTCTAATGGTAGAATTTCACCTTGCCAAGGTTGGGGTCCGGATTCGATTTCCGGGCTGTGCAATACTTTTTCTATCTTTTTGCCTTGCTCATCTCTATGAAGCATCGTATCTTTTGAGAACATGTTTTTTAACTTGAAACATATGATCAATCATATTTTGGAATATTAGCCTAGTATGTGCCTATGATTTTGCTAAAATAAAAAATCGATTCTTGAAAACAAACATTGTTTCAAATAGATAGATGGTCTAATTTTGTCTGATTGGAAAAGGTTATATAATCATTGATAATTACTAAGCCTTTCATTTTATATTATTTGGAAATTGTTTGTTATAATCGTAATAGTTATTGTATGGTACTTCTTAAAAGTTGAAGTCCTATAATAGATTTCCATTTTTTTCTCATGGCTGAATGGGTTCCTTATCTTGAAATTTTTGATGATGAAAACATTCAAACTAAGACTAGCATTGATCAAATTAACACTGAAAAGGCAGTTTCTAATGCTCAAAAAGGAGATAAAACAGTTCTACGAATTCCATCAAGAGATTATCTTATTGATAAGATTGTTCATTTAGGAAAATCTTACCAAAACTTTTGTTACCAAGAAACATGGCTTCCATATTGGTTCTTAAATTCCATGTATGTGTTAAAATTACATAAAATAGGAGGATTTGACTTCTTCAAAGATTCAATTATTAAATACCTATCAAAGAGAACCTCTTACGATGGAGGATATGCGTCCTCTCCAGATCAAAAAGGAAATATTATTTTAACTTACACAGCCATTAATTCTTTAGCAATAATTGGAACTGAAAAGGCTTTCAGCTCTATTAATAGATCGGAAATTTACAACTTTCTAAAGCAATCTAAGCAACCAGATGGATCTTTCTCTGCTGGAGCAGCTTTAGAGTCAGATTCGAGATCAACATACTGTGCTATCTGTGTAGCTTCTCTTCTTAATATGCTTACCCCTGAACTTCTTGAAGGAACTGTTGAATTCTTAATTTCTTGTCAAGGCTACGACGGAGGCTTTGGCCCACGTGCTCACTGCGAGACTCATGGTGGATATGGATTTTGCTCCCTTGGTGCCTTGTCAATCTTGAATTCTATTGATAAAATTAACGTCGAAAAAGTAATTAACTGGTGTGCGATGAGACAGACATCGTATGCCGGTGGGTTCAATGGTAGAACTAATAAGCTCGTTGATACATGCTATACGTGGTGGGTTGGCGCAATGTGTAGAATATTATCTGATGAGTTCAAGATTGAACCATTTTGGAATCAAGAAGGTATCACAAATTGGGTGTTATCTGTATGCCAGCATGAAAGTGGTGGCGCTTTCGATAAGCCTGGTGTTAATCCAGATTTATTCCATACAATGTATGGATATATCGGACTTTCTGCATCGGCTAACGATTATTTGAAGAAACAGGGTGGTTTTGAACTCATAGATATGGACGCAAGGTACGCTATTCCAAAAGAATCTGTTGAGGCGATCAAAAACTACTTTGCGAATAACCCATTCACGCCTTGAAGGTATTTTATAGTTTTATTGTTATTTAGTAAATATTTGAGAAAAATATTTTTCTTTTTTGTTTTGGATAAACGTAGAATGTATCTATTTATGAATAAATGTAAAGTTATTTCTATTCATCCAATAATCATTGAAAGATAGAAAGAAAAATTGAAAATAAATTTTTTATTTCTCTTTAAATTAAAACACTGTATGAAAATTTCCTTAGATTTCTCGTAAACTAAATATGTATCTAACTGTAAACTACCTGTTTTCGAATGCAATGCATTGATATTATTAGAAAATGAAATTTATCATTAAACATGATAGCTATTCAGTTAGTTGTATAATTTGTATTGTGGGTCTAAATGTTGTTTGATGGAAATTTTATGTGTTTGGAAAAATTGAATACAAATCATCTGTTTTTGGTTCTCAAATGAAGAATTCTTAATATGTATCGTCTATATTTTTAATATTGATGATTATTGTTTTTCCAAATTTTTAAGAAAATGCGAAATACAAGCATCAAATCATAATATTTGTAATTAAATTTACAATTTTGGATTTTTTTTGGAATCAAATGATTTTAAAATACAATTTTCATGGTCTTATTTACGAATTTCGAAAAATCTAACTCTATCATTTAACTTTATAATAAATATAATTTTATATTTAAGGAGTAAATGCTCAATTAACAAGAAATTTAATCGATATCTGAAATACGCCTTAAAATCGATTATTAAAACGTAATTCTATTCATATTGTAACTAGAAAATACGTTGTCTTTTTAAAATGAGAATTTTCCAAGCGACAAAAAATTTCCATAAGTTTTTCTCAATGCATAAGTATGGTGAGACTGATCGTTGTACGAAATGGGAACGAGACTACCTTCAACACATGCGTAATTGGCAATATTTAGAATCGAATTTTTCTGATTTTAAAAAACATTTAAATTCATTTTCAGGATCTCTTACACCAAAACAAGAAATTAAGCATTTAAAGCCTTTCTTAAACGAATTCAAAGACAAATTCACTCAGGAATTCAAAGATATCTCGAACGCTTCTGATTCAAAATTATCAATATTTGCGAAATACATAATTTTCTTCTACGAATATTACATCAGATTACTCCAAAGGTCGAGTCTCACTGAATTTAAGGAGATTCTCGATATCATTTTTCAAATTTTTAATCTCGAAATTATCACAAAAATTCCAGAAATATTAGGTGAAATACTTATGTTCTTGAAATCAGATATGCCTACTTACTATTCAAACAACTATTTTATTTTATTAATAATTCGTTTTTGCGAATACAGTAATTTTCAATATTTCCAGACACTAATCAAGAAAAATCAATACAAAAAACAATATTTTGTCGATGCCGCCAATAAAATCCCTAATTTTCGGCAAATATATATTTTGGCAATCCAAACCTTTCAAAGTAATCAAGTTATATGCGATACTTTATTCCAGACATACATAGAAAGCTTAATTGATGTTAAACATTACATTAATTCCACTTCAATAACATTTCCAATCGCAGAATTTTATTACAAATCAACTCCTATCGCAGAAGATGTAGCAGCAAATGATTTCATTATTGAAAACGAGCTAAAACCGACATTTAAATGCATTTTGTCAAATTCAAATTCACTTGTCGAAGAAACATATGGTTGCGTTAATGTAGGCGAAGGAAAACAGCTTACACAAGCTTTGGAATCATTACTTCCAAAAGAATATGATAATATCGAATATAAATTTGGAGATCACATGTTATTTTTGATAAGTGGTGGAACTGATATACCAAAATCATTTGAATTCCAAAATTCTAAGTTTTCTTTGAATATAATTATAATTGAAATAGATAACGGATATTATAAGCTTTCAAATTCATATTCTTCAAGTCCAATATGGCAAATAATCATGTTCTATACCAAATGTGTAATTTATAATGTAAGTCGTGTTAAATAAAATTTTATTTTCTAATTTGGATATTTTTTTTTTAAATTTTGTATTAAAACTTTTTGCAAATGAAAGCAGAAGTTTTTCTTAGTTAATTATATAATTCTATTATGCTGGATTCTATCTTTTAGATAAATTATTCTATAGTAAACATAACTTTTCATTCCTCATAATACACATATTGAATAACTTTATAGATCTAAAACATAACCATGTCATGTACCCATTTGCATCATTATTAAGAGAATTATGTAGAACAAATTTACCAATAAAATCGTGATAGCATTCAAGGCAAATGAATCATATATATATATATATATACATTGTTTTATGTGGGTAAATATTTCTAGATGGAATTCTATAACTGACTCATCAGATGACAAAATACTATCACTATGAATCTAGACCTTTTTTTTAAATCAATACTTCTAAATTCATCGACATTTAAAAACCAACTCAATTTCTCCAATGCTATGCTTGCAAATCACATAACCATAGATAATATAAATCCAATAACTCTATTATAACTTATATACATTACTTTATTTGGAAATGAAATTAAGTAAAAAAACACTATTTATTTAAGCATAAATTACAGTTCCTTGAGTAGATTCTATTGCATCTTTGAGGTGAGGATATATTGCACCGAATCCATCACGGTTATTATCAGAGAAACAAACAACATATACATCTAATCCGCTTTCTAAAATCAAATCTTTGCATTTTGAAATTGCGTTTCCAACAATTTCTGGAGGATTGTTGAAAACTCCCATTCCAAGAGTAGTAAGCACACACTTCTTAGAACCAGCTCTATCAGGGTATTTAAGAGAATTCTCCCATGCAGCTAAAATCGTCAATTTATATTCATAAAACAAAATTTCAGACAAAATTTCCAAATTTCTTTCATTTCTGGCGACGTAACTGCCTAAAGCAAAGGAAGCAGCGAATACTTGGTGTACATATTGATCAGGCTTTGCATCAATATAGTTAAACTGCTGCAATCTGTTTGTTGTAACTTCAACATTTTCGTGAACTCCAATTTTATAAAGATTTTCATTGGAAAAGTCAAAATTCTCGACTAACTTCATCTCTTCGTCTGTACTTAAGCATGCTTTGCCATGATTGACGAAAATTGGAGTAGAATCAAGTAGATTTATTTCATCATCAACATTTTCTTGAGTTTTTCCGTAAGGCAAGAAGTAATTACGATATAATATTGCTCCAAATGATGCTATTGATAATGTAGGACCTTGAGTAACATCTACTGCGTAAAAACGAATTCCATGCGATGCTCTTGATTTGGCGCTAGGAAATTCGAGACAATTGAAGTTAGAAGCCGCTAAAAATGTTGCTCCATTAAAATCTGGATTGTTTTGCATTTGTAAAACGTCAACTAAATCCATTCTTTTGGAATATCTTCCTTTTCCGCATATAATATGCAATTTACCATTACCAATAGGTTCTAAATTAAACGAGTCTATAGTTCTTATAGTAAATTTTCCGCAATTAAATGTTTTTCCATTAATTTTCGATTGAATTTGGCAGAATCCATCATTTTCTGTGAGGACCATGTTCTCATATACACCCTTAACATATTCTTCAAATCCTGCATAATGTTTAAACCAATCTTCCCCTTTAATTTGCATAAAAAAATTTGGAAAAAATGACAGATTTTATCATCAAGAATCTCAATTTCAAATCAATTTCAGGGATTATCATGCATGAAATCAATGAAAGCATATCTCAAGCAATCATTCATAACATGAAAGATCGAATTTCATGTTAATTATTTTAATTTTCCAAAAATATTTCAGATTTATTTTCGGTGAGCTGTCACTCTTGCAATAATCTCTCGTATGTAACAGCGTTTGTACGTATCAAATATCATATTTATTATAATAATTTACTTGATATAAGAAATTACAACTTTTTTTTAACAATAAGAATAAACATATATATTATTAACAATTCATGGTTTGATATATAATATATTTTTTTTTCTGTAAAAAAAAATTAATACAAAAAAAAAATCTAAAGTCTTACAAATATTTATTATTAGTGCTTCAGCATTTCTAACATATCAGAACGCATATTGAGAACGCCCATTGCTTCTCCAACAGATAATATATACAAAGGTGGAGGATCCTTTGTTGGGAAACCCAAGAACGTGACGATTTCCCTTCTTGTCGGGCACCACGAGGCTCCCATTGAGTGCGCGCGCGGCAGCATGAACAATCCAAGATCGCTCACGCATCCGTCAGTTTGCGACACAGTTTCGCCATCAGGCAGCACGTGTAGCACAAACCACCAAAATCTAGTAATATCGCAAGCGTATATAAGTGTCCAGTCAACGTGAAATTTTCCTCCGATCACTATCAAATAATGGTCGAAGAATATCATTGAGCTGTTGGCCAGTGACGATGGCGGCTCAGCGCCAGTTGTCTGAACGAGAGAAACTTTAAGTTCTGTTAAATCTATCTGAAGAAGTCCGCCGGTCTTCGCAGAGCCGAAACAGTAGATCTTGTCGCCGACTAACGTGTAGCCAACACCTGTCCTGCCTTGGATCTCTTGAGGATAGGCTTTCCAGACGTTAGTACTTAAATCTAAAACGTGGAGGTCAGAAGGCCAAAGGGAATCGTAACCTCCCCAAACGTAAATTTTTCCGTCTAGGCCACCAACTATTGGCGCGCTCCTCGGGGATGGAATGTCACCAGTGGTTTGTATTAATGTACATTGTCCTGTTGTAAGGTCGATAGAAAATAAATCGTTATAAAATACAGGCTCACAAGCACCGCCAAATATATAAAGAATATGACCGAGACATGTGGCCCTTGCGTTAGCACGTGGAGAAATTTGATCGCCTGTAATTTGAAGATTTGTCCATGTTAGCGTCTGTTGATTGAGAGCCCAAATATCGTTGAGGTATGTATTATCGTCCGTAATTCCTAAACCTGTAATTGCTATTCCAAGTTCAGTACAAGTTGAATAAAATTGACCTACGCGCGAATGAGGCGTTAGAGGCCCATTGGGTTGTATTTGAGACCATATCGCCGTAAATGCTGTTCGAACTATGTGGTTTCTTTTCGTTGGTGTTTTTAATTGCGATGCTGCGCGTAGCTGGGACATTACCTTTTCATCATTCATTCTGGTACCGACGACTGGAAGGCACATGTCACTAGGAGTTCCATGCGCTCCTGCCATGGCACTTTCATTTCCTCCCATTGCAGTGTTGAAATCTGGTCTATCGTCCGAAGTTATATAGGGTAAAAATTGCCCTAATAAACCATTGAAAATAAGGATGATCCCTCAATTTATATATGCTGGAGAGAACATATAGAATAAAATGAAAATGAAAAATATGTTATAAAAAAAACTGTTTGAATACGATATTTCAGTTGAATATTGGAGAAGTTACGGATTATTATAACATTGAGATTAATTTGCATTATTCATTCATTTTTTTTCGTAAATTTTACATATCATCAATGATTTTGGACTCATAATCACAAACTTTAATAGACAGATTAAGAAACAGCCAACTACCAAAATAATATCCATACGACTATCTCATATTACAGTGTTATCTCTCGTTAACTTCGACATCAAACTACATTTTGATTTTTTATTTGTAAAATCAATGCATCGAATTAATAATAATTATTTAAATCAATTAAACAAATCTATGGCTTTACTAGATACAAGCAGATCAAGTTTGATCGTTCATATTCTTATCCAATTTTTCTCTAGCTATTCATTTATCTCAGTTCGCAACGAAATAATTACAATCTTCCACAAATTGTAGATATAACGATTACAATATCTAAGAAATATGAGAGATTCAAAGGATAAATAATTTTAATCTTGTTTATTAACTCTAATTCTTGAACTCTGTATGAACATAGAGTATTACTTTATAATTTTAAATACAGGAATCTTCATTTTTGCTATTTACTTCTGATTGTAATATTTTCTCGAATTTATTATTTGTTATAGTAATTACATATAAGCTTAGTTATGACATATCACATTAAGGGATATTGCGTTTCACGTGTCGTTGAATTGAGAAATATATAATGTTAAATGTGTCGAACTCAATTTATGAAGCAATGAAACAATTTCCTGTGTCATATAAAGTGAAAGTTTTATATATTTTTAAATACTAGTTATTAAGGATGAAATTTCGTAACTAGATGTTACCTATATTCATTATGATAAGTCATGTATATGGTCATTTATACTATATTGAAATGATAAAGAAGTATGAGCTTGAAAACCATAACTCTTCTCAAGAGAAATGGAGAAAAGCTCAGATTTATGCATGAACTAAAAGACGTACAGTTTGCCGAACCAGAATCAGAGAGTATCTTACGAAAGAAGACGCATATGTATGTCTCTGGAGTTGCTCTTTCTGTCATTACTATTATAATGCTATTATACGGGTTTATAAAAGTTCAAAAAGATCTTTCAACAGTTATTATTCTATACGAACTGCAAAATTTATCATTACATGTTTCAAATTCAAATTCTAAAAAAGAAATTGTTGAATTGGAACTAGAATTCCAAGAAAATGTTCAAAAACCATTATTCATTAAACTAGAAATAAGCGGAATTCGGACACACGCGTCGAGAACGCAATATATACCGGTGACTCTAAATCAGTTCATCGGCCATAAGGGGAATTTAAAGAGAATCAACAAGTTTAATACAGATTTTGTTTTTATTAAGAATGATATGAGAGCAATCCCTATAAAACTATATAACACAATATATCCAAACAGTAACGTCTCATTCATTTATAATTTTGAAGCAAATGGCGAAATTTTTAAAAGTTTTATCTGGAAACTTTACTATTTGGCTACTGATATCACTCCAATGATTAAATTACGTAGCGGAATGCTAAACATTACTCTTATTTCGACAATAGTTCTCTCAATTCAATTTTATTATTGCAAAAAGTCTTTTTCATCATCAATGGCTTATTTTGTAGGATTAGTCGCAATATTGGCTTCAAATCCATTGATTACTCGGCCAACTTACAATGATATTATTGATATTTATTGGAGAATTTCGTATTCTTTCTTCAGAGCATACTTTCTTTCAGTTGTTCCAGCAATTGGACTATCATTCTTCCCATTCTTTGAATACCTACCAGTTATTTGCCTTATGCTATTTCTTTTCTTTTTCATTGTTATGTTTTTACTTCTTTGTCCTATTTTCACTGTTCATCATCAGCCATTTTTCATTAATTCCGGATTTAGTAACTATCCATATCCATATGTCATCACATTTGCGACTCCTTTGATTATTTTCCTCTCATTTTTCGGAATTTTACTTCTTTTCATTGCAATTTACTTTGTTGATGGAACAGAAAAGTATAAGCTATTGATTACAGCAATAGTTCAGATCTATGCGGCTTATACAACGTTGACAACAACATTTCAAGTTCCATTTCTTCCCCAGATTGCAAAACTGGAGTCGCAACAAGGAATATTTTATGATGCTTTTGTTCAAGTAATTTGTTCATTGATTTTTGGTCTCCTATTAACTAATGTTCAGATCAAAATTGAAGATTAATTTGTATATTTGTTTGTTATGTTATAAAACCTTTCTATTCAACTCATATTTATTAGAAATACAGCAGTGCATTTTAAAACAGATAAATTGACGATATCAACTATTTCTATGACGAAATTAGCAGTAAATTATAATTTTCCACTTTCTTCTTTACTTAGGAACTCCAAGTAGTTCGAATTAAGACATGTATCCTATAATTGTGCCAAAGAGGGGACTTTCGGATGGTACTTATTGAATTAGCGAAATTCCTTCAAAATCGTAATACATTCTCAAAATGTGCGACAAAATATTGGGAAATCAATATTTGTTTTTGAAAAATTCGAAAATAAAATACAATTTTTAAAATTCTCAATTTTGTAAACTTAGGTAAAAAGGATAGTGATAGTGATTAATAGTTTATAAACAGGATGAATAGAAAATTAAGAAATTCAAAATTTCCTAGCAACATTTCGAACCTTGTTGATTATTTTGAGTAGATGATTCGCTTACAAGCTTTAGAGATTGTTGCTCATTCTGCTTTTGATTAATCTCGGCTTCTTTCTCTTTTGCCAAATCGGAAATTATATCGCAAAGATCTTGAATACGAGCTCCTGTTTTAGCAGAAACTTCTACATATTCTGCCTTGAATTCGTTGGCCAAAGAAATCGCTTGTTCTGTTTTAACTGCTTTATCTTCTTTATCTGATTTATTTCCTACTACAATCAATCTGACACCTTCTGTATTATCATTAATTGAATTAATCCATGAGATTAGACGGTCAAACGAGTATTGATCATCCATTGCAAAAACAACTAAACCGATTTTCGCGTCATGGTAGTAAATAGGGGCCATAGCTTGGAACTTTTCTTCACCAGCTGTATCCCAGAATTGTATTTTAACTTCTTCTCCTGGAGGACCTAAAACTTTGAGATTATATTCAGCTCCAACTGTGGGATTGTATTCTTCCTCAAACAATCCTGATGTAATAACCTTTACAATTGAAGTTTTTCCTACACCGCATGATCCTACAAGGATAACTTTCGTCATCGGATAAAATATCAAATTTTAATCTCACCGAAGTAAATTTTGTTTCCCAAAAATTTTGTTGAATTGTCTCATTAATTATTTCGTAATTTCTTAGTTCAGAGCAAGCCATGTAGTATTTCAACTTTTTTTCCGACTTCTGACCTGATCTGGAAATTTTTTAAATTCAAAAATTGACAAAATTTCAATACGAAAGGGAAGGGATTTACTCTTTATAAAATTTAATCAAACATCTTACAAGAAACACCAATAACGCCTTCAATCTTGGTGATTTCATCAGCGAAACTCTTTGGGACTTTCATCCTGATAGCGGCGATCTGGCAGTTATCGCCCTTGAGGACATCGTTGTTAACAGACATGATCTTAGCACCGTGCTCTTCGCAGCAGGCAATGATCTTTCCGAAAACACCATTATGTCTAACAGAAAGGACTCCATCAACCTTTGGTGACTGATCAATGTTGACACAGTGAAGTGCTTCACCTGTCTCAACGAATGTGTTGACAATTCTGATTGTTTCATCGGCAATTCTCTCTGAAGCTTGCTGTGTGGAAGCACCGATGTGGCATGTAGCTGATGTAACAACTTCAGCAATCTGATTGTTCTGGAAAGTACCGAATGAACCAGCTGGCTCGTTCTCGTAAACATCAAGACCAACCTTGATGCCCTTTTCCTTGATTGCTTCGATCATAGCAACTGTATCGACAATTTCACCTCTGGATGTGTTGATGAAGATTGCCTTCTTCTTCATGGCATCGAAGAATTGCTTGTTGATAAGATGGTGTGTCTCTTTCATGTAAGGAACGTGAACTGAGACAACATCAGCAATCTTTGCGAGTTCTTCAAGTGTTCCGCAGTATTGAACACCAAGAGACTTAGCTTCTTCTGGGCTGAATGGAATTGAGTAAACAGCAACGTTCATGTTGAATCCTTTTGCGATGTGGATCATAGAGTGTGAAATGTTGCCACAGCCAACTAAGCCGAGTGTTCTGTCTCTAAGACCTGTGGAATTGAGGAATAATTTCTTCCTCCATTCACCATTCTTGATGTGCATTGTATTCTGTGGAATGCAGCGGTCGCAAGCAATGATATGGCCGAAGGCGAGTTCAGCAACAGCATCATTGTTCTGGCCTGGTGTATTTGTAACTAAAACACCATGATTTGAAGCAGCGTTAACATCAATTGTGTTAACACCAGCACCTGCACGAATAATGAGTGAGAGAGCACGAGCATTTTCGATAGCATGTGCATTTACAACTTTAGAACGGACAATAAGAATGTTATAGTCTGTGATTTCATTTGCAAGGGAATCCTCTGTGATTGTTGGATCCATCTTGACCTGGTGACCTTGCTTGATGAGAGTATCAACAACGCGTTGTGCGAGAGTGTCTGCAATGAGAATCTTCATTGTTAAAAATGAGTTGATTTTGTTCAGGTACAAATCTCTCTCAATTAATGAACAATTTTGCAATCAAAAAATTCCACTTTTTGAGAGGATTGAATTTATATAATATTGAGTATATAGAATAAGCACATAATTACATGCAACTTTCAAAATATTTAACCTAAATTTTAATTCAAAAGTCTCATCACACTTTTCAATGCTCGATTTTTAAAAACTGTTTAAAAATGGAGCTTATATTGAAATAGTGTAGAGACTAAAAATTACCACAGACTATTTCAGAGGATTGAGTTGCCACTCAATCCTCTGAAAAGTCTGAGGTAATTTGCAAAATTTAGTTGGTTTAAATATTTTTTTGTCACCTAATATTATAATGAATATTCACTTCCAGAAATAAATTTGATTTTATGATAATGACCAAATTTGATTCAAAAATATTTTGATGATTCCTAGGCTTGATAATTCTTTTTTCTGAGTGTCCAACATCATTCTAAGCGTTTTTTATTTGTGGAAGGACCGCTCTACTCTCAAATGTTTTAATTTCAGAGTTCCGATCACTACTCAAATTGTCAAAAAGTCAGTGATCGGAACATCAAAATTGATAATGTTCAATTTTACTATTTCATATTTCATGTTATCCAGGATCTATTACATGACAGTTCAGTGATTCTCTTGATTTCGGTGATTTTTCGATTTGGGAAGATATTTCCTGAACTCTGAATATGCGGTACATGTGATTATAGTTAATATATTTAATCACAATAATATATACGTATTATATTAATTCCGAAAAGCTATAAATTTGGATCAACACAAATCTTTTTTCAACCTTTAGATCATGCATACATGAAACCGTTTTAAAAGAAATTCTATATTCCTTAAGAACACTTTTTTTGGATTTTTAATGAATTTGACCAAATTTCGTTGGTCAGTTTTTGAAAGTAATATTACGTTGTATTTTCCAATAAAAAACAACAACTATAGTTCAGCTTAATAGAGTACTTATATACTTATTGATTTTTAAGAATTTTTATTTAATCACATTAATTATTCTTGATTGAGACAATAAAAATATCAAGAAATATGTGTACAAAAGTATTTCACTAAATATAGATTTATCTTTTATTTAACCGGAAGTTATTCGGTATCTCAATAACCATTTGACCATTCTTTTCGACTGAATGGTTTCTATTTTATATTATAACCAATAGAGTTTAGCATACTTAAATTCATGAAAGCCTTTTTTGGCTATTTTTATAAGGTGACTGCTTCTATTCGTTCTGACTCATTAAGGTATTTATATGGAAAATCTTATCTCGTTTGATTGACACGGGGAAACAACGAAGTTGATACCGACGTGTCTTTTACTTGTTGCATATATTCCTTGATATTATTCAATCTACTTTTTAAATCGTAAATGACTCGATTTATTAAACCAATCGTATTGCCATATAAAATACTCACAATTTTCAAAAGCAAAATTGAGATATGAATAATAATTCATTTTAGTTTGAAATATAATTGGCTCATTTTTATTTTTAACTTTTCCAAATAAAAGATCTGATAAGATGTAATGAAAAGTCTATAAAAATATCTTTATTTCTAAAATAATAAAAAATATAATCTATAAAAATTACTTGAGAAGCAAATCTATCTTTCCGATCAACATTGCTGCTCTTCTTTGTTCCTTAAGCTCCTCACCTATCTTCGAGGAGAGCTCATCAAACATCTTTCCTACCGCTGGAACGTCTCCAATAACTCTTCTGTAAATTCTCTCAAAAACAATAACCGCTTTGAGAACTACGGACGACCACGTTGGATTTGAAACGTTCGCGATAAGGAATTTGAGGAGTGGTTGGACACCCATTGCATCTCTTCCAGCAATGGCAGCGTCAAGGCCGCCAAGACGGTCAAGTTCATCAATCATTCCAATTCCGATGGCCGGATCGCTCTCTTTCAGGGCGTAATCGAGAGCTTCTGCGAATTCAAATCTGATTAAGCACTGATTCCACTTTTCTTTGCGTTGGTTCTGCGGGGGTCTGAAAACTCTGAAGTTTGCAGGCATTTGAACTTGTGGTCGTTCTGTCTTATTTTGAGATTTTTCTGGTAAATGACGGATCTGGAGGACACCGCCGGAAAGGGCGCATGCAAACTTGGTTGCATCAGGTAATGCTGCAATACTAACGATGTCTGAGTGCATTTTAATGGTATATAAAACTGTGAACGATGCAGGATCAATTATCTTGATCTGTCTATCAGAAGATGCCGTAACAAGGTTGGATCTGACAATAGTAAGGCCAACAATCGGTCGATTATGTAAAGTAAAGGTTCCAACTTTTGTAATTTTAGCGAGAATGTCAATAGCTACGACATTTTCGGATGAGGCAGCAAATACACGTCTACCTTTTGCTACTAAATTCGATACAGGATTTTCTGTTTCAATTGATCCGATTTTTTCTTGTTTATTTAAGTCCCAAATACCAACAGTCTTGTCGTGGGAGCCGGAAACCCAGATATTTCCGGATTCCATAGGGATAATTGATGAAACGGCGTCATTATGAGCTTTAATCACTACAACATCATTAGCACCGGAAACATCCATGATTTGAATAGTTCCATCTCCACACGCTGCAACAACAGTGTTTGAAAATGGAGAAAATGCAAGATCATGAATAATTCCGGAATGTAATTTGAAACGACGAAGTAATGTTTGGTGATCCTTTGTAGGATAAATATCAACAGTTCCATCTTCTCTGCCGAGTGCAATTAAAACACCATCGTTTCTGAACGCAACAGCAGAAAATTGTGCCTTTGCTTTAGCAAATGCGAAGTCTTGTGTATATGATTTGCCATTAATCCATGGACCTGTAAGCCCAGAAAGTACAACTAATGGATTTGGATCGAGGGGTGAGAATTTAATTCTATTAATCGAAGCATTAAACTGAATAATTTTAGTTTCGGTCAGTTTTTGCCAAACGGCTGACTCTTCTATTTCTTCTTTGCTGCGTGTTTCGCCAACAACAAATGGAACTGCGCCTACATTGTTGAAGACTTTCATCGCAATGGAGCCAAAAAAAATTTTTGTCTTTCTAATAAAAATCATTTTTAGCATGAAATCTAATCATGATATTGTATGGAATACATATTTAAATTAAATTCAATCCTAAAATTTTTGAATTTTGAATATGAATTTGTAAAGTTTCTCATTTAACAAATGCCATCTTCATAAATGATCAAACCATAACCACTATCAACTGATTTTTATTGTTGCATATCTTATTTCCAAAATATCAATGATTTTGGAATTATTCTGAACATATTCTAAAATTCATCTAACTTTATAACAAACTATTGGCATTTAGTTGAATAATGCTTCTTTTCCATGATTAATAAGCCATGAATATATTTCTTCCAAAATTAATTCCGTATGGCACTAGAATCTAAGCAATATTAAAGCGACCAGACGGAACATTTTTAAATGAATTTTTAAATTTGAAAAAAATTATTTCTTCTTATATTTATTTTCTCAGTTTAGTCTCAAAATGGTTCAATTAAAAAGGAAAAATATAAATTTATTTTTTTTAATAATATCGATTTTGATTTTGCATAGCTTTGGTTGCAAATGCATTGAGGACATCTCTAAGTGATGGGACATTTGTTAATTGATTTCTAACAGTATCAACATTACCTATTGCCATTGGATTTGTAAAAACGAAACGAATATTGACAGCATCTTCGTTTGCGCATGTGAGGATACCATTCCCATGATCTTTGAGTGCAGGAACCTTTGCAACTTCGCAAAGAGCAATCAAAGTCAAATTTTGGCCAAAAGATGAATTCCTATAGTTATTAGGAGAATTGACAACATACCCTGATGATGTTGATGCATTTGAAGCCAGGTAAATACCTGCGCCATATGCTTGCCCGACTCTCATCAAATTTGTTCCGGAAAGGTTTCGTAATCCATTTCTAAGGATCGGATACCATCTTTTTCCTTCAGATCCATGCCATAAAAACATAGATCCGTATCTTGCCTTTAATGCTCTAAATCTGTATTCTCTTTCTGGGGAAGAAATGATTGCCAAGAAGTGATCTGGTGATCTAATCTGCTGTAACATCATTTGTTGCGGTAAATGGATGAAATGAGACTTGTTTGATAAGATTATCCATTTGACTAATGAGAAAAGGTTATTTCCTATCATATTTTTGAGTTCCTGATCATTGTTAAGTCTCGTTATGTTATTCATGGCCGGCAAATTGGCTAATTGGTTTGAATAATTCATTAATTCAGGTGGAGGAGCTGGATTAAGGAACTGAGACCCTGCAGAAGTTGCAAAACATGATATAAGGAGGTCAGCAACCAATGGATCTCTCTTGATTTCTTGAATAACTGAAACTCCGATACCATTTTGCTCAAATTTGTGGATGCATGCAGGATTAGTGCAAACAAGAGGTTTAATAGAACCATCTTGTATTGGAGCTCTGCAAATACAACAATGATCTGGAAGATCTAAAAATACTTCGATAATTTCAAGTACAAAGTATAAAAGAGGACACTCAGCGTATGTTGAATTGATTGGCATCGTATCAACTTGTGCAAGTCCTGTTCTAAGCTTCTCTCTGGCAACATTAATGTCATCTTTAGCGAGAATTAAAGCTGTTTCTGATCTTTGGTAATCAAATCCTTCCGCAACAAGTACATTAAGCTTTGCATGAGTATAATTACCATGACAGGCCAGAAGTGAAACGGCTGATTTATAATTTTGTCTTGGATAGTACTTTGGACTAAAGAAATTAGGAATGAGATCTTGTATTAAGTTATATCCTACAAAATTCTTGTGGAATTGGGGATGGTTGATGGTGACTTGATTTGGTTGACGGCTCCATTTGAAATTATTGAGTGAAATACTAACTTCTAATAGAGTATCACAGTTGTTAAACGATAAAACACTTTGGAGAGCAAGAGGAAGAACATTAGTCGGAATACTTAAGAAAATCATGCAATCAAGCAATTCTGCTTGATAATTTGGGACCCATGCATTATATGTTGATACAACATCTAATAAATCTAGGTAATCTGGATTTTGCATCAGATCATCATAGTCAAACATCAAGATTTCGAATAATAAAATTATTGGTTTTTTTTTGGGAGTCAATTTTTTTTTCACAGTAATATTAACACCAAATATCATTCAAAATTAAAATATAGTTGAATTTTATTTTAAATTTTTTTTTCAAAGTCGCTACAAAATTTTCCAGTTTTTTTTGACATCCTAAGTTTTATGGTCTATAGATGTCAAAAAAGTTAATATTTTATTTAAATAATCGTTTTTGCGTAATTTTTTATACCCAAAACGAAGTTGCCTAGAAGGGCTCCCACACTAAGGGCAAACCTAATCGTACTTTCGTATCTGACGATGGATATAGATAGTTTAATATATTCCTACACCAAATTTTATAGTTAGAAATTTTTGGGATCAAAATTCAAAGTGGGATTACTTCTAGTTGCCTCAATTTTGATTGGCAGTGACAGTGAAGATGATGAAAGATCTACTCGCGAGGTCTCTTTTAGGCACATTAAAAGCTCTTACCGAGGAAGAAGAAGAAGAAGATCAGAAAAAAAAAAAACTCTATATATTTATTACTGTGTGTGGAAAAAAATCAAAACATTACTTTCCATGGTGTTGTCTTGCTATTTTTGATCTAAGTTTGTCCATTGCCGGGTCATTCTTGAAATTAGAAGCAGTTGCATCAATACCGTATCCAGACTGTTCAATTACATCCTTAAATCTGTCATCATTCATAATTTGGTCGACTATTTCTTCATCATCTACACTTTGTTTTTGTTTCTTTTCCTTTTTCTCTTTCTTCTTTTGTCTCTTCTCTTCCTTCTTCTTTTCTTCATTAATTTCCTCTTCTTCGACCTCTTCTTCCTTCTGTTTCTTTGCCTTCTTTTTATCTGGTCCTGCATGAGAAACAAACTCGAAAACCATGTCATCCATCTCTTTCTGCTCTTCCTCCTCTTCTTCTTCCTCGGCAAGAGCTTTCAATGTGCCTAAAAGAGACTCGCGAGTAGGTCTTTCATCATCTTCGCTGCCACTGCCAATCAAAATTGAGGCAACTTCGTTTTGGGCGTCTTCATCAAGGTCATCCTCCCAGATCGAGTTGACGGCGGCAACACGCTCGACAGGGTTTGTGTCCCAGTCATCTTCGGCTTTGGTGTTTGTGTTCCAGGCCGCGTTTATGTTCGGCATATCCCAATCTGCGGGAACTTCTTTGGCCATGTCACGTAATTTGAATGCTGAGAAGTCAACATCATCTGGTATAACTGAAAGATCAAGGAAATTGCCTGTATTGCCGAATTCGCAACGAGATAATTGTTCATATGCATCATCTGCAGATTTTGAATCAGTAAACTCTGCAACAGCAAAGTAGCACTTGGAAAGAACCTTTTGACGATAGCGGAATGCAGCTGCACGAACATCATCTGGCTCATCATCAGGAATGTCGTCTTTCTTAAAATCTTCAAGATGCTCTTCGCCATAGTGTGATAGGTAGACTGAAACAGAGTTGAGTGTATCGTCTGAACTCAAAGAATAGTTGATAAATGCAAAAATGTCTGAAGCTTTGACTTTTTCCCAATAAAGTCCGGTGATTGCTAAACGCGATGTACTTTCCTTTGTTGTTATTTCTTCATCACTGGATGAAAATTCGTATTTTTTAAATTCATCTGGAAATTCTTCATCACTTGATGAAACATAGTTTTCAGCATACTCATTTGGAATGCCATACATATCAACAGGTGGATGACGCTCTTCAACTTCGAGATCATCGAAACGGGAATCCTTTTTCTGCTTTCTCGACATTTTGAAATTCAAAGAGCGGTTTTTTGGCTTTGAGATTTTAAGAAAATTTTATTTGATAAATAGAACAAGGATGCATCAACAAATCAATTTATATCAAATTCATAGTCCCGCGCTATCATTCAAAAGATGTGTCTAAATCTAGACTTTCAATTGGAAAACTACAAGAGCAATATTATTCATACTTTTATTTGTATATTACGATATGACCATCAGACATGCAAAAATGGCTGATTAAAAAAGATTTTATTCTTCAATTATATATTATTAAGCAATATATAAGAAATATAATCTCACTAATGACACATTATTCATTCAGAATAAGCAACCCTTTAGATATTCATATTATCCAAATGATTATATAATTTCTTTCAATTATATCTCCCGGAAGCTCATGTATAGATTTAACCAAAATCTTAGATAGGTAAAAAATATTTTTAATTGTATTTATAACAAATCCATCAAAATAAAGAGAATAACATGATAGTAATGTTTGATATTATCAACATTTTTTTGTGCATCCTGACAAGATGATCCTATCAAGACCAAGTCACGAGGTGAACTGTCTAATTTTCAATTTCTTAATATAAAGTTACAATAACTGAGTTAAGAGTTTCATTGAAGTATTTTATGTAAGGTAGTCACAAAATCTAAGTAGTGAGGCTCTCAAAAATTGAACCGTACTCCATACAAAATTTGTGTACCCTCACTACTTAGATTTTGTGGCCTTCAATTGAGAGGTTAGTTTTGATAGAGCAAGTTATAAAATTAAAAGGGAAAAATAAATAAAATTTAAACATTTAATTATATATAATGTAAGGAGTGTAATTCCAAATTTTCTAAAAACTATTCAAATTTGAGCATTTTTTTGGAAATAGTAAATCTAATATGTACATCTAATAACAACATGATTCATCACCTTTTCAAGCTCTGCAGTCAATTTTTTGAAATTTGATTGAAATAAATGTAGCAAAAATTACATTTAATTAGGGAATATATGAGTTTCTCTGGAAACAGGCTGATAAATTTTAAATTTTGTCCAATCAACATGAATGCATTGAGAAATTTGGATTGATTTTCTGGTAGAATCGGGAACAATTCAACCATGTATAAATGGATCATGTAATCATCATGAAATGTTAGTGTTAGAGTTCAAAAGAAACAGAATGAGTGGAAATCAAACACAATCTGAATAATTTTAAACGTATACAATCTTTAAGTTTGTATTTTGAATTCTACATATATGATTGTGTAATTCGTTCTTTCAAATTTTCGGATTCAGGCATGTTTTGATAAAATTCATTCCCAAAAACGTCAATTAACAATTAAATTTAGTGTATTTTAAATATATATACGTATTATATTTTATAAATTATATTAAATTCGCAAAATTTTAAGTTTTAAACAAAAATAAAAAATGTTCAAAATATGAAATTATGCATAGGATATTAAAATTTACATGTTAGCAATTTTTTTGAATTGCTTTCAATTTTCATATTGAAATTTTTAAGATTTTTTTCTGAAATAATAAGCAAGAATATCAACCTAAATAATATTAAATTCCATGCGTTAATTTCCCCTCAAAAGTCATTGACCGCCTCTCAATCTAGATTTTGTGAGTACTTTATAAATCAATTCGAAGATAAATGTATTGTTTAATACACAAATTGGATTGACCACATATGTCTTGGCCTGTTCTTTATATGCAGCGATGGCAGCATTGCAAATATAAACAGGAAGGGAGAAATTACAATTTTATTCTGTTTTTCATTACTTAAACAATCTTATAAAATTCGCATATTCTTCTATCATGGAATCAAACTTACACACTCTCGAATCAGCATTTAATTAACATTAAAATTTAATTTTTAGAATACAAAATTTAAAAATCTATGGTCACTTTTCAAATTAATTTAATGCCAAAAGAGAATAAATGAAGATGTTCAATCTATCCTTTTCAATTATAAAATTCTGCAATTATTATTTGAACCATGCGAAATAAGAAATCTGGCTATTTCATTGTGTTTATTACATACTGCATAATGAAGAGCTTTTTTGCCATAATTATCTTTTTCATTGATATTTGCATGATGGTAATAAAGAAATTCTGTCATTTCTCTTTTATTATTTTCTACTGCATAATGTAGGGCGGTTTTCCCATTTTTATCTTTTTCATTGTTATTTGCGCCATATGAAAGAAGAAGTTTGGCTACTTCTTCTCTTCCACATTTTGCTGCTTTATGAAGAGGCGTACCTCCATTTTTATCTTTTTCATTGTTATTTGCGCCATATGAAAGAAGAAGTTCGGCTACTTCTTTACAATTCCATGCTGCTGCAGAATGAAGAGCAGTTTCTCCATCATAATTTTTATCATTGATATTTGCGCCATGTGAAAGAAGAAATTCGGCTGTTTCTTTACTATTATTACTTGCTGCACAATGAAGAGCGGTTTCTTCTAGTTCATTTTTTTCATTGACATTTGCGCCATGTGCAATAAGAAGTTCAGTTGTTTCTTTACTATTATTATATGCTGCAATATGTAGAGCAGTTTCTCCATATTTATCTCTAACATTGATATTTGCGCCATGTAAAAGAAGAAATTCTGCCATTTCTTTACTATCGAAAAATGATGCTATATGAAGAGCGGTATTTCCCTCTCTATCTTTTATATTAACATCCGCACCAAGTGTAAGGAAATATTCACAAACAGATGGGGCATTAAACATCTTCGAAGTAATAAAGCATTTATTAATATTATTTGTTCGAAGAAAATAAATTAAAAATGATTCAAGATTATTATAAGTTCCACAAGAAACTATATCAGGGTCTAATTGATGTTCATTCATTAAGAATGCAATAAAATCAATATTGTGTGAAATAATTGCATATTTCATTATTTTATAATTTATTTCTTGATATTTTAAGCATTCGCTCATGATCTCTGGATTTTTTCCTAAAAACGAAAATTTTAAGCATTTCTGAGTTATTTCTGAGTTAAACTTTGATCTTAAGAACTTGAAACAATCAACTGCTCCGTAATAACAACACAATTCAAGTAATGTATAGCCTTTTTTAGAATCTGGATATAATTTGCTTTGAAGTCTTTGATTTTCATCAAATCCTTCTTTTTCAATGAATGCTATGAACATTTCTATGTCATTATACATGATTGCTCTGTAAATTGTATTCTCATTAAGAATATTGAGACTTTTTAAATTTTCGAAATCATCTTCATTGTTTATTTTAATTCCATATTCTTTATAAAACAGTAAGTTTGAAATATGATTGATGTGGTTGACTTCTTTAATATGATAATCATTAGTTATAAGTTTTGCAAGATATAAATATGACTTGGTATAGCGATTATTATACGGAATGATAAACAAAATATCTCTTATAATATTGTTAGGACAATATTTCCTTGAATCAATCAATTCTGTTTTGATCATGTTGTAAATCGAGTTTAATTCTTCTTCTTTTTCTGTTTTCAGCTGATACAATGCAATATATGCATCAATATGGTATTTGAACATATTTCGCAATTCAATAAATTGATTTATTTTAATGTCTTGAACAGCCATTAAAAATTTTATGTTCACAAAAATGTTCTTCTAAAATAAACCACCTTTTGGCAATGGCGACATGCTTAATACATGAATGGGTTCTTTATTTATACAGATTATGGAAAGGTGTACCAACCTCAAAATTTTTGGACCGGCACTAAAAGTGCTGCTGCTTGACCGATTACAACCTAAATCAAGCTCCTTTTTAATTGCCAATGCATTGAATACAGCAGCAACTATTTTATCGTGCAGCCTTTTTCCGTCATGTCTAATTTGTGATGAAATATTTGCAAGATTATCTCAAAAATTTTACCATCCATTCACAATCTAGCAGTATCAATATCTCGTCAGTATAATACGATTCCGATTTCGAAAACTACCTGTTAATTCTGAAATCTTATATAGACATACGCCGCCAATAAAACCTCAAATGGCTGCACAAGCTTTTAACGTTCATTTTAATCGACGTGTCCATAAATTTTGAATAATTCAGAAAATTGGGAATCTTATTTCTTGAATCGATTTTTTGAGATTAAAGCATAAGAAAAACTAAAATATTAACTGATATACGTGCTTTATATACAAGTTTTTTCATAACAATGGTAGAATACATAGCTGAAATCTTATTCATAAAAAAATATTGATCTTAACTTAAAGATTATAAGGCTCAAGAGATACAAATAGAGAATATATATCCTCCGTTATTCAAAGACCATTATACGCTCTTATAAGAGCATAAAATTGATTTAAAGTAATGAACTTACCGATATGTTATGATTTTAATAAATGCCATAACAACCCATTAATTACATAATGATGAAAAATGATCTAATCAAATGAATTTTTTTTTTGATTTTGATCTTCTCTTTTCCTATCATAATTTTTGATCCACAAATTACTATTGTCCATGAGTATTAATAATATCCTAAACAAATCTACAACCTTTATGAATAAAAAATCTTTCGATCGAAATTTCAATTTAAAAAAATGAAATTTATTATAAAAGTAAAATTTAGGAAGGATAAATATATAATCACTATGAAAATAAAAAAGAATTTTCTACCAGCCGTAAGTAAGCGGGGTATTGAACTGATCCTTAGTTGGGATTGCGGAATCATCGTTATCACCAGATTTGCAGGCGATCCAGAAGAGGATGACAATAATAAGTGAGAAGCCGACGAAGATACCAATTAATATTCCGCCAACTGTGTTAACACTAGATGCGACTTTGTCAGCCTTGCCCTTGCAGTCTACTGTTAAGTAATCCTTGGAGCAGTTATCTTTGTATTCTTTATGAGATTCGAAATTGCAGCATTTGAAGGTGTTTTGAATGAGAACACCAAGATTTCCTGACGTCCATTTGTCAGAAACAATTGTGGGGACTTTCTTTCCGAAGATGAATACTATAATTGCGATTGCAAGAATAACTAAATTGAAGATAATCAAGATAATTGAAACGAGATTTCTTGAGAACTTGCTGTTGCATAGAGAGAGAAGGATACATAAAATTAATAATACAACAATTACGGCAAGAGCAACTATGAGCCATAAACGGATTTTTTTGAAATTAGTATCGCTCAAAATCTTCCAATACTTGCCAAGAAGATATGCTATAAGAGATCCAACTGCTCCGATAAGGATGCAGCATGAAATTAAAAACGTAGTGGCTTTGCAGCAATCACCCATTCTTAATCAAAAAACTGAATTCTGAAATTTACACCGTAATTACATTCAAAATCCATCAGTTGGATCCAATGTCACTTTTAGTGAACTAATGGTTTTTATCTGCCTATAATAGCGATAATTTTTTGATCGATTTTCATCAGAAAAACTTCTGAAAAACGATAGAAATCCAAGCAAATCTTATTTTTTTATTCCCAATATTTGTTTATCATTTTAGCTAAATCGAAATTTTGGAAACATTTATCTGATTAAAAAGTGACATTTATATTTTTTGGAAAATTTCTCATTATCTGTTTCGGCTTATGATTCCAACTCGTATTTATGGATACAAATCTTTTAATGCAATTTTGTATAGAAATTGTTCTGAATACATGATATATAAATAGATATTCTCGCTTTTTTTAAAAACAATTGCTTTTCTTGCATAAATAACATATTTACCTTGTATCAATATCGGATAATGGTATTCGATGTAGGTGCTTTCGTATTAAAATAAGTTTTTCTAAAATTAAAAATTGAATTATATAGCGAAAACACTTTAAACAATGCAGTGTTCATTTTATTTTCATGAAAATATTGTATTATTTAACTACCATGAGAATTAATTGAGTTTATTCAATAAAATTTTGCCTTATTAATTTGTTTATTGTTAACGCTTCAGAGGTACACTTTTATTACGCAATCATAACACATGCCTCTTTTTTGACTTCATATCATGAATAAAAATTTGATAATTTTTTTTCCCAAAAAATGATCAACTTTCTTTTAAATTGTGCATGTTATTTTTAATTATTGATTATTTCCTATTTACTGAAATATCTCAATAAAAAATACACGCCCGTAATTTATTCATTGAACACAAAGTTGAGCTAGGTACGATCATCTTGAAGATTATCTAATAAGAAAGCTCCTTTTACTTCTTCTCATGATATTTTCCTTTAATTTAAGTCCGATATCTCAGCATGGATGCATAATTCATGCAACCCATTATAAAATTTTCATACTCACAATTTCATATCACTTGTCATTTTTCGTATAAAATGTATGCTGGCGGAATTAAGGCAATTAGTCCAAAAGGGTTGATTGATTTGATCAAAGGTGGCAAAAAATTGAAGATACTTGACGTTCGAGATGTTGATTTTGGCGAACATGCTGTAATTAAAAATGCAATTCATCTTCCATTAAATGAGCATACAGAAACGAACATTTCTAAAATCGTTGATAGTAGCATAAAAGAAAAAATCGATAAAATGGTATGTTACTGCCATACAGGTCCTAGATCCGTATTTTCAGCAGACTTAATTAAGAAAGAAATGAAAACTTTAGACGAAAAGCCTAATTTCGATGTGGAATTCTTGAAAGGCGGCATCCTTGGTTTCATTGAAACAGAAGGATACAGAGAATTTGTTGAATAACTATTAAAACATATAGAATATTCATGAAATTACAATAAAGAATAAATATAGTTAAATTACAATAAAGAATATTATTAAACTATTTCATATCATTATATATTTTTTATTTTTTCTAATATAATGGGTTAAACTATTAATTTTTTTTGTACTTGGCGAAATAAATAAGCATTTTAAATAAATAAATAATAAATAAATAAAAATAAAAAAAATTATAAAAAATTACTCTTGATCTTCAGATTTTGAAGACTTAGAATATTTTTCTTTCTTCTTATTTTCTTCATTCTTTGGCTTCTCTTCCTCATTCTTTGACTTTTTCTCGTCATCAGATGATTGAGGCTTCGGTTTCTCTGCTTTCTTTGTTTGTGGCTCATCCTTGGAAGCGATCCTAACTTTCTTCTTCTTAGGTGTTTCGCTTTTCTTTGGAGGTTCAACTTCTTTCACCTTTTCATTGTCACTTTTTTGAGGTTCTGGATTTGTCACCTTTTCTTGAGATTTTTCTTGATTTTCTTGTTGTTGTTTCAACTTTGCTGCTTTCTTTGCTTCTCTTTCTGCCTTTCTGCATCTTTTCTCTTCTTTCTCAGCTCTTCTCCTCATTCTTTCCTCTCTTTCTGCTTCTTTGTCTTCCTGAACTAAAATATCAGCGATGTTTGCATTTGGTTTGACGCGCAATGTCGCAGATTTCTGTTCTCTCTTCTCCTTTGAACTCTTGTGTTGGTGATGATGCTCCTTCTTTGGTTTCGGAGTAGATTCACCTTCTTCTGGTGGTTTTGCGGCAATTGCAGGATTCGAAACCTTCAAATTTGCGTTTGAAGTGTTGTTGAGAGATCCAAGTGGAATTGCAACAGAATTTCTGATGAGAGGGTTTGGCTGTGTTGAAATGGAAGCCATCCTCATCAAGTTCTGTCTGCGGCGGAGGAACTCTGATTCTGCATCAGGTTGTATTGGTGCTGGTGGAGAAATGTTCTTGCAAAGCCAATCGAACATTCTGCTCGCGTATTTCTGTGGATCAACACATGACATCTCGTTTGACCTGTAGATGATGGACTTGAGAGCGTGCTCTGTGGCTTTCCTCGCGTTGTAGTCTTGGAGGAAGTCGATGATGCCCAAAAAGTAGATTTCGGATAATGGTTCATCGCGTTCATTCGTTGCTCTCAAGCCGCCACAGAAATTGAGAAGCCTGTTCGAATCATCACCTTGGTATGGAAGACACGCGGCCTGTGGAATGATTCTGTCTTCAACAGAAAGCTTTGAAACGGCTTGAGGTTCGATATCATGACGTTTTGTACGGCGGCCGTTCGCTTCTTCGCGCTTACGTATGATGAAGGAGTTGCCATCGTATTGGAAGTATGAGGATTTGTCTGGAATGAAAACTGTCCACAATTCGATTCTTTCGCCAGGCGCTGGATGCAAAATGTGGCTGGAATCAAAACGGTGGATACCAACAAGAAGTGAGTAGTCCATAACGCCGGCAAGAGCAAGGAAACGTGTGTCATCAAGTAATGTAGCTTTTAATAAAACCCAATCGTGAGGTCCTACATGCATGTAACGCTTTTCGGCAAATTCTGCTTCTTTCCATGTGGATCCAGGGTGAGCACGCTTGGCAGCATCAACAGATCTGTTAATGATGGAACCTTTAAGGTCGAATTTGTAATGAATTTGATATCCGATTGGGAAGATGTTGTTCATGACAACAAAATGAATCTTCCTGCCAATGGATGTTTGTGAGCGGTAAGCACCGTAAAAATGATTTACTAAAGTATCTGGGTGATTTGTAACGTGATCAAAGTACTGCGGGAGGATTTTCTGCAAAACTTTCATTTCATCTTTCGTTTGAGTCTTAATAACATATCGACCGTCCCAAGTGTAATAAAACATCGCAGATGAACGTCCGATAGTCTTTAATTCAGACATCATGTAATCTGATGTAAGAGAAACAAGATACTCGACATCTGAAACACCGAAAAATTGACGAAGTGCGCGAAAAACTTTAGGTTGATAAGCTTTAAACTTGTAATCGTAGTTTCCTTTATGTGCAGGGGCAATATTGTTGCCTTCACGCGGAATATCGATTTTTGTATATTCATGAAAAGCTGCTTCGTTAACAGGTTCAAGAGGATGTGATGAAATCCTACTTACATGCACACGAATTCCAAGAAGCATGCCGTAAATACGATCAAAACTCTTACTACCTGTATCAATGGCTGCTCCTATAGCAGGAAGTTCACTATATTCGGAGCGAGACATTTTGTGAAGATTTTATTTTGTTATCAAAAATCAATAAAAAAAGCTTTTTCAAAAAATTTATTTTCATTCAAGATTTGAACCATTTCTGAAATAGGCATGTAATACAAAGTAACATGTAATTAAGGGTTTCGTTTTGCTAAAATTGTCACTTTTATAGCATATTTGTTTTTGGATGTTTTGCGAAACCAAAAAAAAACTATGATATACATTGTGTGTGTAAAGAAAATACTTTATTTACTAGTTAAAAAATCATTTGGTATTGATCAAGTTATTTTTTCTGGATAAGATATTATATGGATAATTGGATAGAAAATACAATTATATAATCTTGTACCTGGTTTAATTAAGCTAATTGTCATCAGAAACTTGTAATTTTTATGAATTTCAGATTTTCTTTTCATTACTGCTTTTCTTAATAGGTCAAGTTCTTATTTACGTTATAAAGTATGATATTTACAAATATCAAGTTATCGTGTTTTTTGAGAAATTATGAGAAACAAACAAAAATGAAAAAGATAGGAATAGCAATGAATAGTGATGTGGGTATAGAAAATGTAAGAGATATGAATGCAAAGCAATCAGTATTTAGGATATTGACCATAGATTTCGAAAAAAAAATGCTGCATATTGAGCGAAAACTATGATTATATTATAAGGCTGTCATTTAAAGCATAATGAAACTATTCCCTTTTCATTTTAATCGAATAAGATAGTAAAGATTTTTGAATTAGCTAGAAACTGATGAGATGTTTTCACAAATCAGATTTTTAATCTCTATAATGCATAATTCACTCAATATCTCAATTTTGATATTGCGAGATATTTTTGCTATCGGTTTCGCAATTTTGACACAATAGCAAGAGGGTTCTATAAGCATTATTATCAACGTAGAATCTGAATATCATATCAGAAAATGTCGCAAATCTGACATTTACCCGACCAAATAGCAAAAATAATTGAATACTTTTCGCAAAAACTATAAAAATCGATAAAAATATGAAATATAGATATTAAAGAGACTTTTTATATAATATTCATAAAGATTTTCCAAAAATATGATACCGCAAAATTAAAAAAGTGACGTCTTGAGTGGAGTCAAAGGTCGAAATTGCTAGCTAAATGTTTTTTTAGCGAAATTGCGTATTGTACGTTTTTTTCGCAAAACGAAACCCTTATTGGATATGTAAGAATATTATAATTAAGAACGATTTTTGAATATGAATTTAAGCGGATTTTGGAAATTTCGAATATTGTAAATTTTCAAATTTACTTCATTTTTTATAAATGCAGCCCGCTGATAGTGGTGTTCCATACACATGCGCTATGTTAACTGATTTCTATGAGGTTACTATATGCCTTGCACAGTGGCTTAAAGGCCGTGCCGACAAGATTGTCACATTTGATCTTTTTTATCGTACTCAGCCATTCAAAGGATCATTTGCCATCTTTGGCGGCCTCGAAGAAGCAATTGACTTCATCAAAAGCTTCCGCTTCACAGAAGATCAGCTTAAGTACATCCAAAACAACCTTCCAGGCGTCAATCCAGCATTCATTGACTGGCTCAGGAAGCTCGATCCAAACATGTTAGTCATTCACGCTCCAAAGGAAGGCACTGTTGTCTTCCCGCGTGAACCATTACTTCGTATCACTGGTCCCATGGGTCTTTGCCAACTTATTGAGACACCGCTTCTCAACAGAATTAACTTTGCAACTCTCATGACCACAAACGCTGCAAGAATCCGCCTTCTTGCCAAAGATAGAAAGTTAATGGAGTTCGGTCTTCGTCGTGCACAAGGTCCAGATGGTGCTATGTCTGCTACTCGCTATTCCTATTTAGGTGGCTTCGATTCAACATCAAACGTTCTTGCTGGATACAAATATGGAATTCCAATTGCCGGAACTGTTGCTCATTCCTTCATCAGCTCATACTACGATGTTAATGATCCAATCAGCCACTTAATGAAGCATGCAGTTACAGGCGAAGATGTTGATCTTCTTGTTCATGCTGAAAAGTGCATCAACGAAAACGGCTGGCACACAAACCAGACAGAACTCATTGCCTTCATTGCGCAGGCTCAAGCTTTCCCTACAAACTTCCTCGCATTAGTCGATACATACGATACAATGACCAGTGGAGTTCCAAACTTCCTTGCTGTCTCGTATGCACTTACAAGGGCCGGCTACAACGGTAAAGGTATCCGCCTTGATTCTGGCGATCTCGCTGAGCTTTCCAAGCAAACAAGAAAAATGTTCAAAGAATTCGCAGAGAAATACAATATTCCAGAAGCCGCGCACTACATTATCACTGCATCTAACGATATCAACGAGAAAGCATTACTAGAACTCGAAAGAGTCGGACATGAGATTGATGTCTACGGTATTGGCACTCATCTCGTCACATGCCAGATGCAGCCAGCCTTAGGAGGTGTCTACAAGCTCGTAGAGATCGACGGACATCCAAGAGTCAAACTTTCAAATGATCTCATCAAAGTTACACTTCCTGGCAAGAAGAACTTGTTCAGATTATATGATATCGAAGGGAAAGCAATCTGTGACTTGTTAACTTTAGGAGATGATGAAGTTATTGAACCAGGAAAGTATACTTTCTTCGAATGCTGGCCAAATGCACAACCATTTGAATGCACTTTCTCAAAGGCAGAGAGATTGTTCCACCCTGCATTCGAACATGGAATTGTATCTGTCGATGACCTCAACAAAGCAAGAGAAAGAGTAAGAGAACAGATTCACGGCGGATTCAGACCGGATGTAATTAAAATCATCGATCCCGCCCAATACAAGGTTTGCTTGTCACCATCACTCCACCAGAAATTGTTACAGCTAATCGAAGAAGCTAAAGAATAAAATAATTTTTTTTTTACTTTTTAATGTTTTAACTGCAAAGAGATTTGTTATTTATTAATCACAAAATTTAATGTATTAGATTTAAACTAATCTCTCTAAAAACAGGCCTGAAAACAAGCAAGATTAACTAATTAATTTACCTATTTAAAACTCATTTCCGATCTTTTTTGCAAAGTATATAAGCCTCAACTCATATGAGTGTCAAAAATGTGAGGATATAAATAGGAGAGTATCACCAAGTCACCCAGTTTAGTTCATAAAAATCATAAAGAGAAAGCTAAGATCACATTTTTGTGAGTGAAATCACTTCACTTAATAATAATAACATTGTTGTCATAAAATAAATGACTAACTATAATGAATTTAAGGATGTACGAATCTAGACCATCAGGATCATCAAGTAATGTCATTCATTACATATGGTGATGCATAGTATTCATACTTTATATCATTTGTATTTCAAAGTGAAGTATATAGAAATTGGGACATAAAGACATGGAAGCCAAAAAAATTGAGAGAATGCCACTTTTTAATATAGACTCGAAAAGTTGACAAAATGAATTTTTAAATAAGTATGTGATTGAGCTAATTGGCACAAATGGTTTTTAAGTAATCTCTTACTTTACCTTTTGCAACCATCATTGCAGTTTTTCCAGAATTTTCCTTTGCTTCTTTATTAGCTCCAACTGATATAAGATATTTAACAACTTCAAGTTTATCTTTAGATGATGCGTGAATGAGTGGAGTCCGTCCATAATTATCCTTTGCTTCTTTATTAGCTCCAACTGAGATAAGATATTGAACAACGCTTAGATGACCATATTGTGATGCATAAATGAGTGGTGTATATCCATCATTATCCTTTGCTTCTTTATCAACTCCAACTGAGATAAGATATTGAACAACGCTTAGATGACCATATTGTGATGCATAAATGAGTGGTGTATATCCATCATTATCCTTTGCTTCTTTATCAACTCCAACTGAGATAAGATATTGAACAACGTCAAGTTTACCATTTTGTGATGCCTGCATGAGTGGAGTATATCCATATTTAGTCTTTGCTTCTTTATTAGCTCCAACTGAGATAAGATATTGAACAACTTCAAGATGACCATTATGTGATGCATAAATGAGTGGAGTATATCCATTATTATCCTTTGCTTCTTTATTAGCTCCAACTGAGATAAGATATTTAACAATGTCAAGTTTACCATTTTTGATGCCCAAATGAGTGGAGTATAGCCTTTATTATCCTTTGTTTCTTTATCACAACCACATTTAATGAGTGATTGAACGAGTCTGAGATTTCCGTTTTCAATTGCAAAGTGAAGAACATTCCTTTCAGGATCCCATTTATCTTTTTCAGGAGCAATCTTTTTCCAAAGTCCTTCTTCGATTGATTTTGAAATCATTTCCTGGTTTCCTTTCGAAGAAAGTTCATCAAGGAATTTGTAAATGGTTTCAAAATCATTAGATTCCTTAAGTTTTTTAATTTTAGTTAAAATATCTCGTGAATGATTGTAATTTTCATTAGCTTGACTGATAGTGGTATCTTTGGTCGCATTTTCATTTTCATTTTGTAATGCTTTTAATTTATCTTGAACTATTACTGGTTCGTTCGTAGAATAGTTTATTACTTTCTCATTCTGTTTTAAAAAATCAATAATACCATCACATATACTGAATTTCATGTATCTTTTGACAGATTTCAAAATTGAAACGATTTCTTCGAAGTTTTTGATAGTAACTTTTGCAACACGTGTACATAAAGATAATTTTTTGGCACTAATAGTTGAATGTGATTGTTTGAGAAGAGAAACGTACTGATCAGCTGTCAAATGTGAATATTTCATGATTGTTTTGATGTCTTCGATCTCAAATGTATCGAAAAAGTTTTCATTATTAATATAATCGCTGATATGAGCAGCAATGTATTCGAAATTCAGATCCATGTCTGTTTCTTTTTGAAAAAAAATCGTTACTTTACAAACTTTAATCAAATCATGTTTTATTTGCATGTAGGTTAAACAATTTGTATTTTAATGAATTAAATTTCACCCAAAATATAAATTTTTCATATTTTTGTGTTTTTTTCTCTTGAATAAGTTCTTGCATGCTGTAGATCTAATATTATAAGAGATACCAATTCTAAAAGTCCTTAAAAGAAAGCTAAAGCCCTATTTTTTGGGCAGAATCAAGTCTCAAGAATTTTTTTTCTTTTATGATTAATCAATGTTTACCATAAAACTATTAGAAATTATGATGTCAAAAATAGAATGTGCGCCTTTCGAAGATGATGCTGTACAAAAAAATTGGTGTAATCATAAGTCAGAAAAGATTTTTGATAAACAAAGCCAATGAGTCTATTAGCTAAAAGCTTGTGAAAAATCAAAAGTATCCATATGGAGTTAAGATTATTTTTTTCGACTTACATTTGCAATGCTATATATCAATAATTATTCATTTAATATTACATTAAGTCAAAATATCCGAATCCTATAATGTATCGATGTTTCAATTTGTTGTTAAAGATATGAAATCTAAAACCTTTCAACAAATATATTTTGAAGTTGTTTTTAAAATATATGGCAGAAGTCTTTGCGATTTCAACTATCATAACTCCTTTTTCGGTCCGGTACGTGATGACTCAAAATGCTTCAAAATCACTTGAATTTTAGGAATATAACTTATGCATTAACAAATTTATGATCTTATAGTGTGAATTTAGAACTATGCTGATTAGATATGAAGAAACATCATGATCGCAAAATTTATAATCTAATGGCGATTATATAAAGCTCTGCATGATTAAAAAAGTAGTTCCTGCAGTCAAACAATGCGGTATCATAACAATTATAATGAAAAGTCACATGATTATGAACGATTTCGTTAGCCAACGTTAGAAGTTTTTTACAATCAAGAAATTTTAGAAATTACATTAAGGGTTTCGTTTTGCGAAAAAAACGTACAATACGCAATTTCGCTAAAAAAACATTTAGCTAGCAATTTCGACCTTTGACTCCACTCAAGACGTCACTTTTTTAATTTTGCGGTATCATATTTTTGGAAAATCTTTATGAATATTATATAAAAAGTCTCTTTAATATCTATATTTCATATTTTTATCGATTTTTATAGTTTTTGCGAAAAGTATTCAATTATTTTTGCTATTTGGTCGGGTAAATGTCAGATTTGCGACATTTTCTGATATGATATTCAGATTCTACGTTGATAATAATGCTTATAGAACCCTCTTGCTATTGTGTCAAAATTGCGAAACCGATAGCAAAAATATCTCGCAATATCAAAATTGAGATATTGAGTGAATTATGCATTATAGAGATTAAAAATCTGATTTGTGAAAACATCTCATCAGTTTCTAGCTAATTCAAAATCTTTACTATCTTATTCGATTAAAATGAAAAGGGAATAGTTTCATTATGCTTTAAATGACAGCCTTATAATATAATCATAGTTTTCGCTCAATATGCAGCATTTTTTTTTCGAAATCTATGGTCAATATCCTAAATACTGATTGCTTTGCATTCATATCTCTTACATTTTCTATACCCACATCACTATTCATTGCTATTCCTATCTTTTTCATTTTTGTTTGTTTCTCATAATTTCTCAAAAACATGATAACTTGATATTTGTAAATATCATACTTTATAACGTAAATAAGAACTTGACCTATTAAGAAAAGCAGTAATGAAAAGAAAATCTGAAATTCATAAAAATTACAAGTTTCTGATGACAATTAGCTTAATTAAACCAGGTACAAGATTATATAATTGTATTTTCTATCCAATTATCCATATAATATCTTATCCAGAAAAAATAACTTGATCAATACCAAATGATTTTTTAACTAGTAAATAAAGTATTTTCTTTACACACACAATGTATATCAAAAAAAAAAAAAAAAAAAAAAAAAAAGGTAGTGGGGCTTCCAGGGGCTGCGCCCCTTCTAGCCCCTAAGAAATTTTGCCCAAGACCCAAGAGGAGGACCGAACCCCAGCCGACCAGCCGTTGACTTTTTTGTAGAGCACTCAAAATAGTATAACTTTGTCCGGACAAGTAAGGGTCTATCGTCGCTACAGGAAAAGTTACAGGCGTTCCACGGAAGTATACTTTGAGAAGCCTTTCCCCCTTATAGAATGAGATAGGACAGTTATTTTACAAAACTGACAACACTTTGACCGAGTAGTTTTTTGTGCTGAACAAAAAGTGTCATATAAACATCTGTCAAAAACCGTTTTTTACTTCACTTAAAATGCCAAGTAAGCTACGTAAGAATATACGTAAGAGGAAGAGAGCATTGAAACATCCAATAGTAAAACTGACACCACAACAACAGTTGCAACAACAAATTATGAATGACCCCACTATGTTGCAACAAATGTCAAGCAACCCTATGCTTTTAAACCGAGTTATTGGTGCACAGAGTGGAGGTTTAAGAGCGGCACTTTTAGCGAAAATGGCAGGCTATGGTGGAGCTGCAGACGGAACAGCTTATAACCCTCAAAGTCAAATGAATTTGAGTTCACTCAAAATCAAATAACAGATGTCAAAAAGTCAAACATAGACATACAGAAACAAATAAGTGAAAACGAAAAGAAACTAGAATATGACAGACACACAAAGAAACTCAATGAGTTAAACGTAGAGAAAAAGAAGAAAGAAGAACAACTGAAAGAACTAAGTACAGAGGAATATGCGAAAAAAGTGTCAGAAAAAGCAGCAGAAGTAGCAAAAATGGAACAAGATGTTATAAATTTGAAAAACCATACTACTCAATATAAAGTACTGAAAGATGAAGAGGTAAAACAAAAAGCCCTGAAGACATATATGGATAGCGATGAGTATAAAAAAGAAGTTGAAGCAAATGTAAAGCAGAAAAACTTTTACAGTTGCAAAACCAAACCGTACAGTATGAAAACTTAGCACAAGAAAGTAAAAATAACGACGCAGCCATGCAAAAGGCAATGAAAAGCGCAGAATATATAAAAGCTAATAATGACTGGTTAGATGCCCAAGCCAACGCTAAAGCAGCCCAACTTATAGGGTCAATAAGGACAAAAATACAAGCGGATGAAGACAGTTCAAATGAAGCTTTAATGAATGCTGACTTTAAGAACGCCTTTGAAGCTCTTCATAGTAAGGTGAAACTAGTGAACGACTTCTCATCTGGAAAGAAACTGAAGTCTGAAGGTTTCGACAAAGAGTTAAGAGAAGTAGCACAAAATATGACGAAAATAACAGATGCAGCAACGAGACAGGCAGTTCAAAGTGCCTATGACGCCGTTAGAGCAACTGTTGTGGAAAGTCAAGAAAAAGAGTTACAACAGACCAAAACAGACCTAGTAAATGCTTTCTTAAAAACGAAAAGTCAGGTAGGACATTATGCTGCAGATGGAACATATGTGCCAGCTGGTGGAACTTATATACCAGCTGGTGGAACTTATATACTAGCTAGTGGAACTTATATACCACCAAACCCTCCAAGAGAAGCACCTGCACCAGGACTACCTAAAACATTTACATCGTCACATGGACACAGACACAGGCATGCACCAAAACCAACACAACAACCAACAGTTCAAAATCCAGCACAACAACCAACAGTTCAAAACACTGCACCACAACCAACAGTTCAAAACACTGCACCACAACCAACAGTTCAAAACACTGCACAGCAACAATCACAAACAGAGCAAGGACATAAAAGAAGTAGAGAACAAGGAAACCAAGAATTCTTAAAAATGCTTAAGGAAGACTATGGTTACCCAGATACTCTTGACTTTAGTGACAGATATAAAGAAGCTATTAGAAAGTTCAAGGAAGGAAATACTGACCCGAACCTATTTAGCTTTATGGTTCAGCACCAAATGGGATATAATTTCAAACCTGGAAAATACAAGCTCGCTAAGGGATATGATTTAATAGCATATCATCCAAATGACATGGATGAATTTACTCCGAGATATTTGGTGTCAGAGCTAAATGATAATTCAACTCTCTTCATGAAACGCGTAAAAAATAGAGACGGAACGAAAAAAGAAAGGTTTATGAGTCCGGATGACTTAGATAGGGAACTTTTTAAAAACGGTCTCGGAATATATGAAATGCCAGCAGATGAGGTACAAGAAACTCCACAGGAAGAAGTTCAGATACAACCAGACATGGAAGAAATAGTTCAGCAACAACAGCTAGAAGAGCCTGAAGGAAACGAACAAGTCCTTCCTTTGGAAACTAACTTCACAGAACTAGATGAAGATTTGGAACAGCCGAAAAATCTTGACCCTCAACAAGAGTATGCGGAGAATATGGAATATTTCCAAGAGTCTAAAAAAAATTCGGCTGACATAGTAGAAGAATATCGAAAAATGTTTGCCGACATACAAAAGACTCCAGCACCAGATGAAAATATTCAGCATAGAATGGAAGCACTGAAAGAAAATGTACACAAATACAACAACCCTTTTTACTTACGAGCATTTAACGTTCAATCTTCGGATGAACTCGGTGAAGATAAAAGGTTAAATTTCAAGAAAACATATAGAAATGAAACATTGTTTAAAGTTCATTCAGAACCTAACCAAGATGGAAACAAACCTACTTTTGTTTCTGCAGACGATGGAACTACAATGAGATGGGGTCATAAAGCTAATCCGGATAGGTGGTTCATAAACTTACAACCACAATTCCAAGAAGTTGTAGACGCAATGGAAGTGAATGGTGAACCAGATGTAGCTGGTATTTTCAGCGCGGCTTTAATGCCATTGAAAGATATGAAAGATGCAGATATTTTGGACCAGTATGAAATGAACATGGCTGATGGAAATATAACACCTGACGTTCTAGAACATTTATCTCAAAGAACTACACAGAACCATAGAGATGGTATATTTGGTGAAGAGTTTAGAAAGAAAGTTAGGGAGAGAGAAGGAAGAGAACCTATTGTACATGACCTTGCAAACGAAAGTTTGCAAAATGTCATAAAAACTTACTTTGCAGACAATGAACCGAGAAGGGATGAATATTTAAGAAAACTCAAATGGACAGTACCAAATGAAATGTTAGTATTGAAAAACATGTTCCTTGACAAATAAAAAAACTACAGAAATAAATGACGCAAGACTGAAACATTGGGTAAAAGCTTTCCCATTCACAAAAGATATTATTGGTAACATGGAAAGAAAACCAGAATGGCTACAAAAACATATATTTGGAAACGAGCTTATTCCATATGGACAAGCACTGTTTGAAGAGCTTGAACCGGAAACTCAGGAAAGAGTCATGCAAACAATACGCGAAGACTCAAATACAAACTATGACAAAATCTTTCTAGGATATAGGTTACCTGAGATGGGCGACCAGAGCCCAAAGGCAAAAAGGACATGGGAAATTTGCAACATACTAGATGAACATAATGCAAAGATGCAACAACTTCAAGCAGAGGGCAATGAAGGAAAAAGAAGAGTTAAAAACTCAGTCAGGAAGAAAGTAAAGCTTGGTCGGAGTGGGTTCTATTATGACATATAAATCCAACTATTCTATATTTTTACTCATATGAAATGTACGCCGCTCAGAATATAACGCCAACAGTTTTGGATGCTATGAATGGAAATGTTTCCGAATGGTATAACGAATGCGACAATGCCATTAGAAGGTCAGAAATAGTTCCTGGAACTTACGAATATACAACTGCTGTTTCTTATGGAAACGTAGGTGAGTTTGGAGAAGGTTCTTCAACAACAGTAGATATTGCTTGCGACAGGTTTCATATAATTTCTATTGACAACTCTTTCTTATACGTGGAACAAGACATTGAAATAAAACCTTCTGCCAAGTTGTCTGACAAGAAAGGTTGCAATGGAATTTTCTATGTCGGATACCAATATGCTCCAGAAGTTTTCATGGGATATAAGATATATTCTAACTCTGACTTAGTTCAAACAGTAACATGGGCAAACTATGAATGGTTCGCTTTGAGAAACTCAGTACAACCACAAGCTAGAGAACAAACAGACCAGTATGCAACTATTGAGAAAATAAGAAGACTTGACCCTAACGTTCCAGGAGTTTATGTTAACCTTTCTGGTTCAGATGGAACTGCTGCCACTAAAGTAAAACTGAAACTTAGAGTTCCTTTGTCATCTTTCCTCATCTTCAGGTTTTTAAGATACTTGCCAAACTGGGCAGGAAAAATTTCTATTGAACTTACTCCAAGCAAAAATAACTTAGTCATTGCACCAACACAAGACCCATTCACTCTTACTGTAGCTGGAACTGGTGGAGCCAAGTTCTGTGACTTTTGCAAAGACAAAGTTGACTTAGACTTTGGTTTCTCAAACTTCAACAATGAAGTAAACTATTATTTCAATGCTGCTGGAACTGCTTGGGACCCAGTTAAGTTTACATGCGAAAAATTTGAATGCAAGAGAATAGAAAGCAGACTTGCAGTCTATATGTTGGACCCAGATATTTCAAATGCTTTAGCTGCCAAATATATTGCAGTTCCACTTATGTTCCCTATACACCAAATATCTGTCAAAGACTTTGCAGGTGAAGTTGGAAACCAAAGTGCTGACCCAGGTGCAAGAACAGATATTGCTTTAACAACTGCAATGAAACATGCAGAGACTATGTTTGTACTGTTCAGACGAACTATAAATGACTATTCTTGTTTCTACAACCCCGGTATTAAATATCATATAAACATAGATGGCAAATATTATCCAAGAGAAGAATATTCTACAGTTGAGGATATGAGGTCATACAACTTGACATTAGATGCTATGAACTTAACAACAACTTCACAACAACCATTAACCCTGAAATGCAAAGTTCTATTATGCCATATGTGAAAGTATGGACCCATACAGGAGGTCAAAAAACTCAATATACAAATGGAGACCGTTCAAACTTTTGGCTTGGCATTCCATTTGCTGACTCAGAAGACTTTATGGGTGGTATTTCAACTGTTGGTACTGTACAAATACAATATACTGGTGACAGAGACGGTCCAGATGAATTGAAAGCAAAGAAGTTTACAAAACCAATAGCACTTTTCACGGAAGATGCTCTTTTGAAGATTCGTTCGATGAACCTGCTGGGGCTCCTCAGATTGGCATAACGACAGCTTCCATCGAGCAGATTTTGGCAGCAGGTCAGTAAGTTGTTCTTGAACTGACTTCTCTCCGTCAAATATTGACAGTACGCCAGTTTTGACATAATATTGTATTATAAACTTACCTTTAGAAATATCTGTAAGTTTTGAAGTTATATTTTTGTCTGCTTCAAGAACTTTCACCATTTCAGTTATACCAACTTTCTTTGCTTTATGAAAATATTTTGGTTCAGCAAAGACTGCTATTCTATAACATTTTCCATTGTTTGTATAAAGAACTATTCTGTCAATGTATTTGTATTGTTTGTGTGTGTAAACTTTGTTCTGCTTCAATTCAATAAGATATCCGAATACGTCCATCTTTTTATTCTAAGTAAAATGTCATTTCCGAAAAATAGAAGCGTAAGTGTTTCAAAAGGTTTAATGGTGGCAGATGTGAAGTTAAATTCACCAACTCAAACAAACAGTCAAAGTGTTGTTGTCAATGTCAAAGACAGAGATGTTGAAGTGGGGAAACCATACGAAGACCAAGATGGTATAACAATAGTTCCTGTAAAAGAACAACCAACAACCCTGAAGTTAGCAGAGACTTAAGTTCTGTTGCAGATATTCGAAACGACTACCAACAACTGAAAGACAAACTTCAAACTCAGGAGAAGATTTGTCAAGCTTTAGGTATAATGTTAAACTTGGTCGAACACAACCCTGTAAAAGTGAACTCATATGTCATTGCACCTCATGAAGTTTTGAAAGAACTATTGAAACTTTTGACAGAGGCAGACGATATAAACATCAAAGAAATAGAACCCGACGTTAGTTGCTGTGGTGTTTCATATAATGTCATTGACAAGATATACGTTATGAAAGGAGGTGAAACGTTGAACTTAAAGTATAGTTTCCCAGACGTCATAAAAATATTTGACGACCACAACATTTCATTAAAATTTATTTGCTAAGTAAATGGCAGAAGATATAATGGTTTATACTATTACGACTAAAAACCCTGGGTCATATAATTCTATAACAACAAACTTACAAAGTCCTCAAGGACGATATTGTAAACTAACTTTAAACACAATGACGACTAAAGCTTGTTTTGCTCTTTTGACACCAGAAGATTTTATTGTTGTGAATGGTAAAAAATACTCCTTTGAAGATACTTACTCAGATATACCACAACAGGTTTTGTTGACTTATTTAATACTTTAAGGACGGATGTAACATGTGCTGCAACTAGAGCAGGTTTCATTATGTTTGGATGTCCGACTGAGTTTTACTATAAACAATATGAGCTATAATCAAAACTTATTTCTGGTTTTTACTACCAACAGTTTCCTATAACAGGAAAAGGTGTCATAACAAGGAATGTCTATTCCATTGACATTAAGCACACCTATTTTATATATTGTTTCAAACTTAGGTTCAAAGTGTTATTCGAATGTCGACAGAAAACTACTATGACCAAAAGATACTTATGCGTATAAACAATACTTTCTCTGCTGGTTTGCCTATTGTTCATTCGAATGCAGAATTTTCAACCTTAGTGAACTCAACACTTTGGCAAGTATAACGTTGACATTAGTTGACGCAAACTTTGTTCCTGTAAAACTTTTATGTCCTATGTATTTGTCAATGACGGCAGAAAGTTTCGAATTGGAAGATGCAACTGGTGAAAGTATTGTACTACAAGAACAACTTCAACAACAAAATAGCTCAAGAACAACAAATAGCTCAAGAACAACAAATGCAAAACAAGTCAAGAATAAAAAAAATATTTTTTTTTATTTTTATAAAAATGTACAGAATAGATGTTTCAGATTTTTATGACTTCCAAGCATTCAGAAATATGTGTCCATTTAGAGACTATAAACAAAGCAGTCGAGAATTTGAAACGTTTAGTCATTTATGTTGACTCTGCCCCAGAATGTTATGTCATGAAAGAATGGGATGTTGTCTTTAACAAACCAAGAGCAACAATAGTGTCTGAACAAGAATGTAGACAGAAACTTAAGAAAATAAAAGTCGTACAAGTTGGTATGAAGATGTTAGATGCTTGGGATATCTTATTGTCAAAGTTAGAAGATTTTTCAGTTCGAGGTATAAAGTTCTATACACCTTCTCCAAACTTCTATTCTATCTTCACTGGATATAAATACGAACAAGTAGAATGGAAAGAAAATATTATAGAAGCTTGGTTAGACCATGTCAAAGAAATTATATGCAATGGAAACGAAAAGGTTTATGAGTATATCTTATGTTGGTTTGCAAACATCTTACAACATCCAAGTGCTAAGAATGAAACTGCTCTCATTATAATTGGAAAACAAGGAACTGGTAAGAATACTTTCTTTACAGATATTTTGTGCAAACTGTTAGAAGGTTATTCGAATCCGAATATGACAAACTTAGAAAAACATCTGTGGCAAGTTTAACTCCTCAATAGAGAATATGAAACTTATAGTTTTGCAATGAACTTCAAAGTATAGATACAACAAAAGTTTTGAACTCAGATGCTTTGAAGAGTCTTATAACAGACAAAGTTGGAGTTGTTGAAAGAAAATATAAAGACCAAAGAGTTTGTGAAAATGTTGCAAACTTCATTATGGTTTCAAACAATGCTGTTCCGATGAAGTTAGAAAGTTCTGACAGAAGATATGTAGTTGTCAGAACGTCAGATTCTCATATGCAAGATACAGAATATTTTGACGACTTAGCAGAAACTTTGACATCTGACTTTTAAACCACTTGTTCTCATACTTTATGACATTAGATATTTCAAAGTTCAATCCAAGACAAATTCCACATACCGAAGAGAGACAAACATTGTTAGAAGCAAACAAGAGTGTATATGAACTGTTCATAGATGAAACTGACTTTGAGTGTTTAGATGAAAGGTCATTGTACGATGAATATAAACAATATTGTCAAGAATATGGTTATATGGCAGCTTCTAAACGTACATTCTTGGCAAATGTCAAAAATCTTTTAGATGTTCAGAATGGTGTATATACAAAGAAAAATTTTTCTGAGTAAATTTAAAAAAAATATTTTTTTTATCCGATAGAAAAGATGACGAAATATATTTCAGTCAACAAATATATGTCAGGACTTAAAGAAGAACTAGACCCATTCGCATATTTGAATGTTTACTTCTACAATTTTGAAAAGTCTACATTTGACAAAATTTGGAACATTGCACCAGTTAAGTTTGCTGTTGTTAGAAAAAGTGGTGCAACTTTTGAAGACTTAGACATAGAAGGTATGTTGACAGTCAAAGAAAATTTTGACAGAAAGTTCTCAAAACTCGAAGAAGGTAAAGCATACAAACTTGTTATACCTTATGAACCAAAGAAAGCAGACGACTATGAATATTATGAGTCTAAGATAGTTGAAGTTCAAGGTAAATTGGGTAAAAAGATTTTAGAGTCTAAGCCAGTGTTTGCTCCTAAAGAGGAAGAGAACATTGACATTGACCCAGAAATGTTCTAAAAATAAAATTTTATTTTTACATGTCATATCTCCCCTTCTCTGGAACTGGTTCAGGTTCTTTCTTCTCTTCTACTTTCTTTTCTTTCTTTTCTTTCTTTTCTCTCTTCTTCTTCTTTTCTGGTGGAGTTATGTCAAATTTGGCGCAACCATATTTATGTAAAAGTTCTTTGTCCTTTAATAGCTCTTCTATTCTGTTTTCTATTTCATCTTCAAGAACAGCGCATGTGCCTTCTTTGCATTCTAAGAACTTTTGTTGGACTTCATCTTTCCAATCGGCGTCATCTCTGTCAACAAGTCTGTCATTGACAAATTTTAAGACTGCTCTTTGTAATGTTTTATGGTTCTTGTCATATTCCCAGAAACAGAACTTTAGAACAAATTCACCTTTCTTGTTTACACTATGTAAGATTTTATGGTCGACAGAAGTTTTAGAGTCAAAAAGCTTGTCTCGAATATAGATAGCGAAATCGCTAGACATTTTCAAAAAGATAAAAATTTTAATTTTTCTAAAAATATGTTAGAAAAAAAGTTTGCTGACATTGACAAGAAATTTG